CAATTTCATTATTCACCCCTGAAGGCCATTCTGCCCACATGCTTTCCAGTTCACATGAATAATGAAGTGACATAACGGAGGGGCGGAGGGTGGGAGGCTGAACAAGACTGATTCTTGCAACTAGTTTTGTATTAGATAGAATCTAGCCTCCAAGCTCGGACCGTTCCTTGCTTTTGCCAAAAAGTTCATCTAGTGAGCCTACGTATGGGGAGTGCGGAAAAGCATGCAGCATACCCTTAACAGGCACGTTCGGCACAAGAAACAGTGGACGAAATAATTAAGACAGTGATGAATTCCTCTCTTACAGTAGAAGAAGGTAAAGGTATCCCTCTAACAGGCCATGGAGGCCCTGAGTGCCAGGGAAAGAAAACCCCGACAGAAATTCACCTGGTCTTCCACGTTGGAGTTTGAGCGTGAGGCTAACGACCCAACCTCATAAAAATACTGTTATGAGAACTGAAAGAGAGGAAATCGGACGGATCGACAAGCGACCAGGCGAGAAATGGCTATAAGTAAAATGGCAGAAGAGTGAATTAGGAAACTACAGGAGTAAGATCTAGTTAATGGAAGGTGAGAGCCGCTAGACGAGGCTAAGGCCCATCCAGGGTTGTAATGCCAAAGAGGAGGAGGTTACTATATGTACTACTCACTTTAACAGAATGAAAGGCTAAGAGATTCATTTTGTTTCTTCATCAAGCGAAAAGTAAATGCAACCGAGATAACGTGTGCCGTACTGTTGAAGGTCATGGCTAATGCATACTGGACTCGTGTCGAATTCTCTTGTGAGGAGCATGTAATTGTTTTCGAAATTACGATGAGCCATTAATAGCTGCACTTAAACTATAGCGTTCCGAAGGCCTCGCGAAATATAAACGCATTCCATGTTACGAGCTACAAAATAGATTACATTCACTGTACTGCCGCAACCCATACATAATGGAGGCGATTCATTCTGCATGTTTTAACCGCACTTAGTAACCTGTTCCACCTCTCTGGTCTTCGCAACCCTTCTCTGCTACTTTCTCATTCTTTCTACGTCTTACATCTGGTTTCTTTTTCAAAATTCTGCATGAATTCCTTGTATCCTTTGTTCTAAATTGAAATACGTAACGTCATCCCTGTAACAGGCCGTGGAAGCCCATAGGGTTGTGAGACGTTGAGGATCCCACATTTTCTAGACAACCGGCTCACAGATGGCGGTGAGGTCATCAGACTTACGCACCGGCCGCCCTTTACCCCCCCAGAAAGATTCCTGATACTCGTTTCTGTTAGAGGCTGAGTCGACCCCAGGGCCATAGAGGGGCTGGAAGGATTAGGTCAATTGAAAAAACTAATGACCTCATGGAGAATCGAACCCGCGACCTTCCGGCTTGTAATAAAGTGCCTCAACGAGTACCCTACGACGTGTCGCCCCGTACTCAACAGCTGGCCGCAGGAAATCCCTGCCGGCCGGACACAGAGTCTCTGGATTGAGGTTTTAGGTGCTTCTCAGGTCCTCCTGCAAAATGTCTTAACAGTAGCTGACGTTAGTTCACGGCCGTGACAGCCATCTTGTTTTGCATTTGTTGAAAGCCGCGAGCTGTAATTTGCTCTCAGTTGTGAGCATTTGGGATGTGATGCCATGTAGTTTGACAGACAGGCACTGAGACTCGCCTTCTTCAGCGAGTTGAGTCTGCAAATTTGGTTTATTCAGAGTCAGTCATTCCCCCAGTCAAGGCGGGGTGACCAGTAATAGTCAGACCCCTCCTCTCGTCGAAGAGAAGGTCCTATTTCAAAACACGCAAAAATCTGGAAAGAACAAATATATCGTAATGGGTGCCAACGGGACACGAAACCAAGACTGTGCTAGCGAGGCCAAGCTGCAATTTACCCAACCGACCAGAGAGGCACCAACGTTTCGGAGGAACTTGCTGGCTCTCCTCAGTTCTAACCTTACCTTCTGATTAAGCAAACTGGCAAGACGATAAAACTTCTGACTTATTCGGGAGGCGTCCCGTTCGAATACCGGGCGGGAAACCGACTATGATGACAGAGGTTCTTCATGATTTTCTTCAGTTTCTCTACGTAAATGTTGGTACGGTACTCCAATTGTGCCATACCGCTACCATTTACATCCTTTCCAATTTATCATTCCCTAATTATCCTATCATTTGATTTAATGTACTTTCTTTTTATTGCTAGTGGGGTGGGACTAAGTCCCTTGTACTGCGGACACTTCTGGCCTATTGTACCAGCCCCAGATGATAGGTGAGGGTGATTGTGGAGCAATTGGTGGAATGAAGATTGGCAAGGGAAACCGAAGTACTCGGAGAAAACCTGCACCAGCGCCACTTTATCTACCACAAATCCCACTTGACCAGACCCAGGATCGAACCCGGGCCACCGCGATGGGAATCCAGCGACTAACCGCTTGAGCTATGGCGCGGCCATTTAATATACTTAGTCAGGTATTTAGCCAGAAACTTATTGCTCGAAAGATCTCTCGTTGCAAAGCTCTAACCATTTTCTAGCAGACAATTTGGGCGGCTACGGTCTGAAGGCTACTGTGTGTCTATACAGCTGTGTGGCCAGCTGCATAGCTATAAGGGAACTGTTGCTGGCGTCAACAGCATTTTCGTGTATTTGTGGGAAATCAATCGAACGGTAAAGCTAAGTATTTGCATGAATTTCATAACGAGATTTCATTCAAATTTGTCGTTAACTCGCACAAGCCCTGCCTCACGTGGACAGCGTTTTCAGATGCTCTTTACTTCCATATCACAACTCCTTTCACACTTCCTCTAGTTCGATTATTTAATTAATACTACACGAAAGCCTGCTGAAGCTGCCATGACACGATTTAACACCCTCCATTTATAGCGACGGTTTCCACAGATAACACTTGTACAATCGTGCTTTCCAGTATACAGCATCTTTTCTACGGGAAGATCCAGACACAAATCGGGACACGACTGACAGATGACCAGTCAGTAGGTCCGTCCGTCTTACTGGGGCTCACATTCTGTCTTGACGATTATGCAGTCGAAACGTCCGGTTTGCCCATATTAATAGCCTGTCAGTGTTAAGTATCTATGCTTTCATACCACTTGTATTCATAATCTTGATATACACTATATATTTCAAGCACTATGCTCCAAGCCGGAAGGTCGCGGGTTCGATTCCGGATGAGGTCATTGGATTTTCAATTGAACTAATCCTTCCAGCCGCATTACGGCCCTGGGGTCGAATCAGCCTCTATTAGAAATGAGTATCAGGAATCTTCTTGGGGGTAAAGGGCGACCGGCGCGTAAGGCTGACAACCTCACCGCTATCTGTGAGCCGATTTTCTAGAAAACGTGTCAGCCTCGACGTATCACAACCCTATGGGCCTCCATGGCCTGTTATAGGGATAACTTTATCTTTTTTACGCATATATTATATACTCGTATGCTAGAGTCGAGATAGCTAAGTCAGTGTAGTGACTAAGCTACGGGCTGGACGTCCTAGGGATCAGGGTTAGATTCCCGGCCGAAGAACCCCAACCCCTTATCCAATAGGAAAGCAGGGCTCTTTCCATGAGAGGGTGAAGTTGGCTACTCACCTCCATACAATGTCAATGTTAAGAACGCTTGCAGCTATATATCAACTTCCACATATATCGTATGTTGGCCGCGCCATAGCTTAAGCGGTTAGTCGCTGGCGTCCCACCGAGGCGGCCCGGGTTCGATCACGGGTCTGGTTAAATGGGATTTGTGGTGGACAAAGTGGCGCTGGGGCAGGTTTCCTCCGAGTACTTCGGTTTCCCCTGTATTGATTCAGAAGGAGACTATTTTGAATAAAGAGAGTGAAATTTTGAAAATAATTCACGTCTTATATTTTTTTTAATGAACACAGCTCTAACAGAACCTGGACACACTGTGTACGTTAGGTCGTGTGGTCTTGACCTTACTGTCGTCTTGTTGAGCTTATGCTCGTTAATCTGTATGTCACCAAACAGGTTGTTTATTTGGAGTGATGTATATTTGATTTTCTTGTGATATGTGTACTGACTGCTCCGTGTTGATGTTGCATACTATTAAGACAGAAGGAAGGAGATCACTAGAAAGACTGAGACGTATGTGGGGGATAATATTAAAATGGATCTTAGAGGGATGGGAAGGGGTGGTGTGGATTGGATTGACCTGGATCAGGATAGGGATCAGTGGAGGTCTCTTGTGAACACGGTAACGAACCTTCGGGTTCCATATCATTTTGCGAAATTCTTGAGTGGCTAACCGACTAATGGTTTCCAAAGAAGGGCTCAGTTCCATGATGTTAGTTGGTTTAGCCTATATAAAGTTACAGAAGGCTTCATTAGGCAGACTTGCCCAGCTAATTACACAGCATCCTACTTAGTCTATTGAATAAAGGCTATTCAGTAACTTCGACAGTCTTAGGCTTAAAGAGAACTCTCTTCTTGGATGTGACGCCGTGAAGTCCGGTAGAAGTTCGCTGAGTTTTCTGAGGAACGCAGTGCTTCCATCTTCAAGGCTGAACATATGCTAAACAACAAACATGGATACCAAGAGAATTTTTCTTTTCCAAGAGGGAGGGAGCTAGAAAATTTGTTTGCAAACTTATGTTTAAGCCGTTTAAAACTACATTTAATGATCACCCTATACCCTTGGGCCTATAGCATTCAGCGTAGAAGAATAATACATTTAATTTCTTTTAGTTGTTATTATTATTTGGCACTTTCCCTTCTTTTCAAAACTCCTTTAATTTTCAATCCAATCTTGATCCTCCTTACCGGCGCCCATGGCAACCGAAAGAAGCAAGCAGTAAGCAGAGTTCTGCTTGTTTAGCATATCTTCGTCCTTGAAGATGAAGGTAGTTTGTTCCATCGAAACGTCCATGAATTTCTGCCGTACTACACGGCGCCACGTCCAGAAATGGTATACTTCATAGTTCCCGTTGTGAGAACCCCAAATTCAGCACGATCCGCTTGACCGCCGTCAACTTTAGCCTCTTACACTCTACAGGATGTTCAAGTCTCGGAGCAGCAAGAAGCTCTCCGGCCAGAGATCTCGCGTGCTGCGAGAGCGCGCCAACCTCAGCTTCTTCATCGTGGTCATGTTCTTCGCGGTGTTCGGAGTCATCGTGCTTACGGAGATCTTCCTCATCGACGAGAGAGGGCGAGGTGCCGGAGTGCTGTTGCGAAACGGGGGGCGCCGCCGAGGGGACAAGCCCGACTACGAGGATGCACAGTCTATCCTCCAGGCAAGTTCAGCCGTGTTTCTTCACCGCAGACATCTCTGAGGGCAAGCAGTGTTGCGGGCGATAGGGCCTGCGTGTTCAAGGACATCTCTGGTGTGCCGATTTTGGTGCCGGTCGTAAGTTTAAAACAGAAGCTACGCCACTATCTGATGATGACGTAATCTCAAAGAAGTTTTAGACCAAATATAACCATTTATGTGACAGCACTAACTATGTGTATGCTTGCACCGCAGTAAAACAACACGACACTTGGTTAGTAAAATTTATATGTAAGATTCATTTGCTCCTGAGACAAAACAGTGCCAATTAGGCCTACTGTTTTCTGGAACGTGACACCGTGTAGTTTGGTAGATAGCTATTTACGAAACTACACGACGTCACATTCCTCCTCTTCATACTCGTCGCAGTGAGAAAATTCTCACGGCTTCCTTGAACATCAACTGACTATGAAGATCACTGCCGTCCAGTGACTCTGTATCCTGTTTCAGGGGGAAGACTATCTGGTGTACCGCGGAGCCGGGTTCGATTACAATTTCGGCGTATTCGTACGCGAGGACCATGGAGGCCTCATTGAAGGCGTCAATCACGCCGGGGCCCGCATGCTACCTGCCGGGCGTGCGGGAAGCGATCCGTCAGATAACCTGAGGGCAATGCAAGAAGCGAACATCGCAGCAAAAGGCGGAGTTCCCGCGGGAGTAGAGTCCAGACTGCCTGGACACAACATCACTGCCAAAGATGGGGTTTGGCAGATAGTTTCAGGCACAAGGTAAAACGTGGTCGAGATTCCGACAGACCTCTCGAATACGAAGCTGTTACACCGTAACTTCCTTTTCCGGGATCACAATTAGGAATTATCTCAGAGTTCATCGTGCGAAATTAGTTGAGGTCGCCATGACTGTATACATATACTGTCTTTCAGGACATGAAGGACGCATCGTAGTAGTGGGAATTGTCTGTCGCCTGCGTGGGGCGTGACACCACGAATATTATAATTAGGTAATTCGGTCACACAAAAGCTTTCCTGCAGTGTAAACACAAGTTTCTCCTTAACAGTCGAATTTCTGGTAAATATACTATATTGTCTTTTTTGTGTGTGTAAGCGCTAAGAGATATTTTGGGGAATGGAAGTACAGGGTGAATTTTATAGAACCGGCCCGATGAATTTCCTAATAATTCCGCAGGTGATGCATATAACCGCTCACAATTACGACATAATAATCCGTGGGCCGTGCTGAGTCGAATGGTGTGCGCATGATCCGGCAAGTAGCAGCCCTTATGCTGCAAGGTCAAGGACAATGCCGAAACGTGTCTGCAGTGCGCAGGCGACAGTCATGGAGTTCACTGTTGAACAGCGAGTGTTTCTAGTGCCTACTTGAAAACGGCTGACACTTTCAACACCTGCTCTGATCACGGCACACAATCCAAGATAAGATATGTGTAAATTACTTTAATATCTGTATGGTATATTTTATATTACAGCTCATTTCGTCGGGCCGGTTCTATATGAATCACCCTGTATATTCCTGCGGGCCGCATAAAACCAGTTGGTGAACCATCCTGTGCGCAGCCCTGGTTTTGGTAAAAAGGAAATACGAAGTTTCGAAGGTTCCATCTGTCGCCGTCTTTAGGTATAACCAAAGGTTCCGTTACATGAAGCTGGCCCTATTCAGATGACAGTGAAATGGTTTAGATAAGGGAAGTTCCTATTCCTTGTGGAATTCATATGATTGGCTCTGACGCACGCAACTGTCGTATCCGTGAATTTATTTTCAGAGCCTGTATTTTTCCTTGTTTCAGTTTATGAAGCTGACATGGGCGCAGTTCTCCTGATTTTGAAATAGAAGCTTTCTGGCATTCATAAGAACTCTGTAATTATTTTTATGGCACAAGATCTGAAGCTTTCACAGCGGCTAATATTAATACAATCTTCCTGCGTTATCAGCCTTGCTAATTGGTTACAATTACCGACGTTTCAGGCACCATCTCTGTTCACATTGCTAAGGTCTGACAGAGATGGGTCCCTGAAACATCAGTAATTTTTAGCCAGTAGACACGCCTGATAGCCCGAGAAGATTTTATTTAGGCTCTGTGGTTTGGTTCGATTTAAATCTCATTCTTAGGTCAAGAATAAGTGGACATTTCCTTTCACACCCCCCGTACACCGTCATGTTGCGATTAGGAGCGGATGAAGGCATAAGCGAAGTAGGCTATGGCCTAGGGACCAACGGCTTATGGGTCCCCGCTCAAGGCGACCACACAACTTGTCTAGCATGAGAGGGTGGAGGGCCCCTAGGGCTTTCAGGTACAACAAAAATGTGTTTTCCGCTGTCTTCATTGGTTCTAATAAATAATAAAGCGTCTAACACACACCGACACGACATTTATCAGCGCCCTGAGGCCCTAGGCTGAATATTGATGTAGGGCCCCGCGGATTCTTAACTCACCTCCAGGTGTGATGCCTTGGTCCAAGGACAAACGTTTACTTTTACACATCTGTAGAAATATCCACTGCACCATGAGATACTTATTTGGACGTAAGAGAATAAAATAGGCCTAAATAGTGAAATCAGAGTATTCTAGATTCTCAGCAAGATCAGTATCATAAACCAGGCCTGCACAAATCCCGGATGCCAGGACGTCAAGGAGCCCAAAATTTTATTGGTGGCGCTTACAATTTTCTTTCCGTTTATATTACTACTACCGCATGACGCGACACAAATGAGATAGAATAACTGATTTCTCCATTTACTTTAACCCTTTAGCATCTTTACTTCCTTTCCTCCTCTCTCCCTTATTGTTTTTCCGTTCATTTTATTTGTCAGCCCAATCGCCATTCCTTCACATTAAAAAGTTCCCTCACCCCAGTTCTTCTTCTGTTTCTCTACATCTTTAACACTTTCCCTCCTTTCTCACCACATTCCTTTTAATTGTCCAACCTTTCGCCATTCCTCTCCCACATTCTACAATCATCACATTTCCCATAGCATGAAAGAAACTGGCTATTATGTGTTAATGCGATAATCATCTATTTTATAAAAACGAGCGGATTTCTCAACGAGGTACTTTTTTTTAATCCTGACTCTCAGTTTCTGGAGGTGAGTCGGAGATGTAAAGAAAATGTATGCAGGCCTGTCATAAATACTTTACAGAAAATAAGAATATAAGCACACTAACCTTTAATTCTCCTGCTGAGCATGGGTTTGTCTGGCGTTCAAATCGGTTCCAAAAGATCACCTCAGAATTCTCAGGTTGACTAAATACTCGTAATTAACTTACAAATGTTCACAAACTGTCACCTCGACGCAGCATCTGTAAATTAGTTCAACAGAACCACTCTGTATTCTGTTTGCTGCATTTTACGAACTTTTCGGCAGAAAATTAACGATTTGCAACAGGCTGTCAGATAATCTGCCTGTACAATGAATGGTTCGTGCCTGTTCAGCACAAATCCATCCAAGTTACATTTAAATTCATTCCTAAACATTATTTTTTAATGAACCGCTATTGTGTCATTCTTTCCTTAGAAGAGAGACATGAAAATCTGACAGCTCAAATGAGCCAAGCAAACTACCCATGTACATTCGTGTTCATTTAAACGACACAAATTCATTAACAAATCATTTTAGTTGTTTTATAATAAGTGAATTTTCTTATTTAATGCAATTAATCTCACGTCTTTTATCATTAACTGTTTGCAACTACTGGTTATACAACACAACAAACATCAGTTCATTACCACTGCAAAAAAACTAAAAATGAATGTTACAATGTCGTCAATCACACCAGGGTAGAAGTCCCATTGACAATTGCCTACCTGTAGGGAAATTTATATTTTGTGGCCTGCTTTAATATAATGTCCACAGGGAGTACCAAAAAATATAATTACATATCCTTCCAAACTACAAATATTGTGGAAGTGCTCTTCCGCACAATTAATTTGAAGACAAGCACAAATGACTGAATAAAATAAAGTGGGACTAATGTAACGCTCCACCATTCCAACTGTATGAAACAATTACATAATTTCTGATCCTGCACAATTCATGGGCACAAAATTCTATGCCTGAATTTTTAGACATTTCACATTAAAAGTTCGTTGACATTAGAAATGCGAGGAGGGTAGTTTTATGAATAATATGTGTACATTTGTATCCCCAGATAATTATTTAAACTGCTGACTGATTTCCACAAACTTTGGTATGTCTTGATCACTGGTTTCTACCTAAACTGTGTACTTTTAAAAATGTCCATGCTATTCTTTTACGACTGAAAAGTAAAAGATACTTTGTCCCCGTGCTTAATTAATTAAGCACTATGCCATGACGGTATATGGGGGAGTGGATGTATAGTTCCACATTTGCTTGACATCAGTGCTAGCTGGAGGTGAGTGGTCAGCCTCATGTCCTGACCACTTTACTGGAAATTAACATCACACATTTAGATTGTTATTCGATTTGAGGGCTGGAAATGGGTGCAGGCACTTGTAGATTGAGTCTTCTAGCAGTCTACTTCGAACTTATCTTTACTTAGTTCCAGAGCAGTTCTTTTTCTAATGAAGCTACCACTAGTGGCTTTACACATTGTAATTGTCTATATATATATGTGTGTGTGTGTGGACATGTTCTATATCCTAGGTGATCACTGTTATGGATTACTCGAAGAAAAATAAAATGAATGTATATAGAAACAACTTTCCCAACCTACACTGTAACAATTTCTTTTATGATTTTCATTGGTCGAAGCCTTTGGGTTCTCTGTTAATGTTGAACATTCACAGCACAATCTACAGCACTTACTTCTGAAAAGCCATTTCAACCCTTGCTAAGGCTGGAGGAAATTTGAATGTGTTTTACAACTCAGTTGCATACATTGTGGTTAAAGAGACCATTAGTGAGAATTAGACACAGAGAGGAGGATAAATTCAAAACTGATTCTACAGGATTATGATATCCAGATTGGACTCAGGATTGTGTCCCATGTTGGCTTTTATGAACATGGCGACAAACCTTTGATTTCCATAAAAGCAGAGAATTCCCTCATCAGCTGAATAACTTTTAACTACTCACAAAGCATATTAAGTTGAATAGGCGAGGCAAACATAACCTTACCTACCCTCTAATGAAAATACTAAAATATCTGCAAAATCTTACATAACCAAATGAAGCAAAGGAAGACTAGTGACCTCCTGCCTTATATTGTATAAGATGGGAGAGAAAGCACTGCACGAAAAAAAGTAAATAATGAAACATGTCTTGGTTATGTGAAGATAAACAAAGCTAAAATAACATACATCTAGAATGTAAAAATCAATTGTTATTTTCTTCGTGGACTTAAGATATCCACAGTGGGTCATCTCCTCAGCATTTTTAAATATATTAATGCTGAAATGAATAAAGTTATTATCCAGAAACATATGTCACAATATTAAAAGTCATAACTGCTCAAAATACCGCAACTGATATAACATATAATGAAAGACATATACTGGGGACAAAAAGGAAACTTTTGGGATCCCACTTCTTTATGCAAAGTACCAGCACTGTTCTCATATTACCTACAGTGGAAATCTGTTCATATATTTGAAGTGTCAATTGTGCCTGCAATAGTAGTAACATAGCTGATATATTTTTCAGGTTCAAGTTCTTTGTGTTTTCTGCCTTCTATGACCAGCGTGAGGAACGCAGCATACGTATTGTGGGGGCCACTAAGACACGAGGTCCTGAACGCGTGTGGTGCAGGCTGTGGTATGGAAACACCACTAGCACCACACATTCTGTGTCTCTTGCAGCCAAAGTCAAGGTTAGTTATACATAGTAAAATGTGTAATGCTGGTTGCCACTTGCCAAAATTTTCTGCATTTTTATGGGAACAGTAAAATCGTATTAATTTATGTGACCAACCATTTCCTCATGATTGCTATGGTTCTGTACATATTTTAACATTTTCATGTTAGCCACAGAAAAAAATGACCACCTATGCAAATGAAAATCCCTGCACCCTTGTAACTTGCTAAACATCCTCTTCAATATGTCATTGCAATCAACAGAGAGCTAAGAATTCAATAATGACACATTTTCTTTTACCATGCTGTATTCTGTACTTTTCATTGATCACTGAAATTTGTAAGTATGTGTATGTATGTATGTATGTGAAATTAAGTTCAGATGTATTGACTTGATACAAAGTATCTAATCTGGTTGGTAGTCACAAGTCAAAAATGATTCTTCAAAGAACTTAACATGTTGGTAAAGGTAACACAAGACAGTAGTCACTGTATGCATACATAAGTAAAGCTATCCCTGTAACAGGCCATGAAGGTCCATAGGGTTGTGAGACATTGAGGGTCCCACATTATCTAGAAAATTGGCTCAAAAATGGCAGTAAGGTTGTCAGCCTTATGTGCTTTACTCCCCAGCAAAATTATTTATTTAATTCCTGGTGAACCCCAGGGCCATAGTGCGGCCAGAAGGATTAGGTCAATTGAAAAAAATCCAACGAGTCTGAGTGAAACCAACAGAAGTTTCGCAGTAACTGGGAATGCATTTTCTCTCTGGTTGTACTTCATAAAACAAAAAATACATTATCTGAGGACCTGGTCCCTTATCTGACACTTCTCTTTCAGGTTATAAGGGAGAACTGGAACCTCAAGTACAGTGCATGCTTCATCCTGTGTCCCTTACAACAGAATCTCTCTGCACCACACAGTGTATCCATTGTCAGTCGACTGCGACTTCCACCAGCCAACCACCTGCTAGTTCGCAACGCAGACTGGGACCCTGACCTCAGAAATGCCTCTGCAGGCATTCCAGACAGGATGGCTGTCTGCGTAAAACCTATCCATTTCAACTACAATCAGGTAAGTAAATGTAGGATTTGAGGTTCTCACAGTAGTGGTTATGAAGTATACTATCTTTTGGGATAAAAAGGCATGAAAATCAACCAACGTTTCTGAGGAACATATTGCCTCCATCTTCAGGGTCTTCAAGGTTGACTTTCAACAGACCAGATGGCATTATATACCACTTCATGTAAGCACATGTTGATTCAATACACACCCTTATGGAACAACTTGGCTGAAGCAGTAATCCCTCTGAATTGTTTGTGGGAGGTGCATGGTATGACTCAGCCATGACACTAACTGTCTTCTGACTGAGGTTTTTTTTTTCATGGCTTTTCTCAGTTCCTTGAGGACATGCTGGGATAGTACTGTCAAATGTAGGGGTGACTTTTAGACTGGGTATGCATTGGATGATTGGATTTACTGACACCTTATACACAACACTCAGAACTACAGGTAATTACAGCACTACTGCTGATCTACACACTTTACAGTTCACCATTACAAACACAACAGTGTCCTCAGTCTGTTACACTCTCACTCTCCACTAGTCGTTTCCTGGTAATGGATTTTAACACAGGAACTATAACAGTTTCAATATAACCGCGCACTCCAAGATATCACCATGCTACAGCACACATAAAGACTTCTCTTCACTGCCACACTTTCAACTCTCACCTGAATGCTCGTGATTCTTCCATCATCTACCAACTGCCAACTCCAGAACTCTCCATCCAATTATCTGCCAACTATCTCGTTGCCATCTCTTCTCTATCATCTTAAACTGCCTAAATTCTCTCATTATATAGCCTTGGGGCAGCCCAAACACAAAACACCATATTGTAACAATTTCTCTATTGTTACAGAGGTGAGTTTATACCTCACCATTGCATAGAAATGGTACTTCTACTGTGGGGTGCATGATCAATGCCACAGGAACCTGTTTACCAAGTAGTTGCATAGGAACAGCTGAGGTAGTACTGACATGTTTATCAGCTGTTACCAAGCAAAGAATGTTCCTTCTTGCAATCGTTGGATAGCAACAGCTATGCATGTTACAGAATCTTAAGTTATACCATGACTGCTTCCTTCAACGTCCTAATACAACATTCGTTATCATTCAGTCATTTTACACTATACAGCCTCACAGCACTGTTAAGTATTCTGGGCTGGATTTCAATCTTCCGCTACTATGGCACCAGCAGGTGGATTTACATTTGGCAGTAATGATATTTATATTTAAACTGTGTCATCTGGGCAGGCTGAGCCAGAGTATATAGTAGCAAAGCTATGTGACACATACAATAAGGATTAAATAAACTACGAATAATCAGATATGAGTATATAAACAGACAACTTAATTACTCATACTTCATATGTCTTGATACCAAGCACATGGTACATTTGCAGTGCTCTGCACATGTATTTGGGGCATACTCAGTTGAGATTACAGTCTGGACGACAGCTGTCCTGACAAATGTTTCTTGTGGTTTCCCATACACTCTCTACACAAATGCCAGGGTAATACACTCAAGAGCATCACTGCAGTTTCTTTTCAAATTCTCTGTTTCTGTTCCCTTCTTACCCACTGCCATATAATTTATGTAAACCAATGAACAGCTTGATAGCCAGATTCTGGTGAGTTGCAGTACTTTTGTGTTATGTTTGAATGAGTTGAGATCATCGGCATCAGATTAAAATATTGTGGCATATAGACTTTCTAAATAGTGGCTGTTACTAGGTAACAAAGTCCATAAAATATTTGCAAAGCATTTTTTTCACTTGTAGTACTTTTACAACACAACTTTATTTACCTTTCAACATAGTCACCATGGATTGCAACGGACTTAGTAAACCTGGGAACGACTTCTTTTACTCCAGCGTCGTAGAAATCTCCCGCCTGTTCTCTTAGCCATGTTATCACCGCACCCAACGGGCGCACAGTTTCCGATAGCCTGATCTTTTTGTAACAATTTCATGGAGAACAGTTCTTGATACTTCTGGACATTGTTGATGAAGTTCGCCGATGGTTAAACGCCTGTGAGCACGAATGTTTTCATCAATTTTTCTGGATAATTTTATCAGTGACAACGGATGGCCTTCCACTCCTTATTTCATCATGAACATCACTTCTTCCCGATTCAAATTCACGACACCACTTTGCCACATTTTGCCTGTTCATAACATCTTCACCGTTAACAGAAACAAGCTGGCGATGAATTTCAGCAGCAGTTTCTCCTTTCGCGTGAAGAAATCGAATTACTGCACGAACCTCACATTTGGTGGGATTTTGAATCGACACGGCCATCTTATATACACAACACACACACACACACACACTCCGAACACATCATTACGTCGTTACCGTGACTACAGCCGGTGACCTCTTCCCCCTCTGCCCTATCATTTGGTTCATAATTCAAGCACTGCCATTTATGAAAAAGAAACTTCCCTTGTACTTTTACGGGACTTGTGTCTTTACTTTCCAATATTTCTCCAGGTTAAGTCTATACATAGATGAAATTATTGGGGATCATCAATGTTGGTTTCGACGTAACAGATCAACTACGGATCAGATCTTTTGCATTCGCAGATGCTGGAGAAAAAATGGGGGTACAATGAGACCACCTATTCATAAGCTTCAAGAAAGCCCATGATTCAATTAGGATGGAAGTATTGGACAATATTTTGTAAAAGTTTGGGGTGCCCATGAAACTAGTTAGGCCAATTAAAACGTCTTTAAACGAAATGTATAGTAAATCCCGTTGATAATTTCCCTATCCAGAATGGTCTAAAACAAGATGCTTTATCATCACTCCATTTCAACTTTGCTTTAGACTATGACAGGAACATCTAGGAAAACCAGGTGGGACTGAAATTAAATGGGACACATCCGTCAGGCGTATTTGTATCCTAGATTGGATCGATGGAATTTTACAATAAAAACTAACCTCAGCGGTTGGTCTATGCCGATGATGTGGATCTGCTGGGTGATAATATAGATACCATAAAGAGAAACACACGGCCTTTAATTGACGCTATTAACGAGGTTGGTCTAGAAGTAAACACAAAGAAAACTAAGCATATGTTGTCTTGTCACCAAAATGCAGGGAAAACTCACGAAATAAAGACAGGTAACATGTTTTGAAAATGTGGCACAGTACAGATATTTGGGAACGACAATAACAAATTAAAACCTTTTTCTGGAGGAAATTAAGAGGAGATTGAACTTGGTTAATGCTTGCTACCATTCAGTCCAGACCATTTGTCTTCTCATCTGCTGTCTAAAAACATAAAAATTAGAATATATAAAACTATAGTTCTGCCTGTGGTTCTCCATGGGTATGAAAGTTGGTCTCTGACACTAAGGGAGGAACATAGATTGAGGGTTTTCGAGAAGAGGGTGTTGAGGAGAATATTTGGACCGAAGAGAGATGAAGTGTCAGGAGGTTGGAGAAAACTACATAATGATGAGCTTCATAACTTGTACTCTTCTCCAAGTGTAATTAGAATGATCAAGTCAAGGATGACGATGTGGAGGAGCATGTAGCACGAATGGGGGCGAAGAGGAATGCATATAGGATATTGGTGGGGCATATGATTCTCCCTGAGCTGGCAGCAGTGCATAAGCTGTCCACTCACCTGTATCTAGAGCTAAGGTTAAGAACGAAGAGTTCTGTCTTCTGGGATATAATGCTGTGTTTCAGCAAAAGTCAACCATTGTTTTGAAGGAAAAAACATGTATCCTCCATTTTCAGGGTTGAAGAATAGGCCAAGCAAGAAACTAGCATAAAGCAAGCAGCAAGCAGACCCTGTTTTTTGCTTTCTTTCTTGATTTTCACTGGACAACATGATGTTATATGTGAGAACTTCAGTTCGTACAAGGTTGACAACAGTGTTCCGCATTATATCACTCCCCCCCCATGTCTTCATGTTGTGGTGCAAAACCCTTCAAAGCCCAGTGATTATTATATGTATCTTGCTTTAACATGAAAGAACCCTGCTCACACAGTGTATTATGTGTTCTTTTTTATGATTCTCACAATAAATGGTGATTATGTCCCTAAAGAGTACTAAGTAACTGAACGTTGTAATGGAGTCACAGTGGTCTCTGTATTGTAAGAACTGAGTTTTAAAATATTATTTAGAAGAAATTTATGCTTAAAATGGTTAATTTATCACAGGGACAACTTTACCTTTACCTTTTAACCCAGTATTTGTTTCATGAAACTGATAGCCTCTGGACAAGAAACATGTCTTACTCTCTTATGTCTTAGGCACTGCAGATGCTGGAGTTCCTGGAACTGAACTCAATTCTTGGAGTGCATCACTTCACACTTTACAACGACACTTTGGGGCCTCAAGTGGGCTGCATCCTACAGGATTATGTGTCCCATGGGATTGTCACTCTGTTGCCATGGCAACTCAATATGGTTTCCCAGAAAGAAATACGTACCGAGGGCTTGTTTGCAGCTCTCAATGACTGTCTGTACCGTAGTATGTATCGGTACTCGTATGCCGCCCTGGTGGACCTAGATGAGTACATCATACCTCGGCACAATGACACCCTTCCGCAGCTTGTCAAGTGAGTCCTGATTCAGTTGATGATAATGCTAGAAACAGACAAATAAATAAATAAATAAATAAATGGAAGCATAATATAATATAATATCTTTATTGCTTCAAGAAAAACGTACAGGCGACACAATCACCACAGTTGTAAAAGCAGTCCCGAATAATAACATATACTGTAATAAAACAGTTGCAATAATACAACTTAGTCAATGCTTAGTATAATAAATCAATAATAACTAAAATATGGACATTATAAGCAATTGATAATAAAAGTATACATACATTTATACAAAGTCTACAAAAACTACTACACATAAGTGTATCTAAATAAAACAAATATTCACCTGTATTCTATTTCCTTTCTTTTGACCACTCCAAGTATTCATTTATCGAATAAAATGATTGATTTAAGAGAAAATTATTTATAGCTAACTTAAATTTTTTAAAATCACTTGATAATTTTCTTAAATTAGTTGCATGCACATGCACGCACAAACACACATATATATGCAGGTAATGGGTTAAACAAGGGACACTCACAGGCCACCAGAACCGGAATAAACTCACATTAAGGTAGTGGTTCTAGGGCTATTTCCTTGTGTCTTGCATTTCATGCTCTGTTTCATGTCATCTGCTGGATATTACAGTGTCATGTTGGTAAAGTTGCTTTGAATTCTCTGATATTTCACCATTATTATGTAACCTGATGGTGACCTATGAGGTTGAAACATGCGACTATTAGCATTAATATATACGTAATTTGTAATATTTACATTGTTATGTGAGACTGCACACACACACACACACACACACACAAATCAGATGCGGGAGCCAGGATAGCTCAGTTGGTACAGAAATAGTCTACAAGCTGGGTGGGGAAGGAGTCATGGTTCGATTCCTGGCAGGGGAAAGAGATTCTTCTCTTCTTCATAGCCTCCAAACTGGCTCTAGGGCCTACCCAGCCTTCCATCTAGTGAATACCATGGCTTTGTTCCTGACGGTAAAGTGACAGGGGGCCTGAAGCTGACCACTCACCTTCTTCTAGTGCTGACATCAAGAATGGTGGAGCTATACTTCCACTCCCACATATGCCTTCAGGGCATAGCACTTAATTACATAATTAAGTACAGGGACAACTTTACCTTGAAGGGGTGTCCAAACTCTAGCTTGCAAGCCACATGCAGCTCTTTTGAACCATTAGTGCAGCTTGCAGAAAAAAATATTAGTCAGCCTTTCTTTACTAATGCATTAAATTTATAGAAATCTCACATGCAAAGCCTGTACCTAAACATCTATACCTTCCAACCCATGACTGTTGGTGGTTCCCGAAATTCTGAAAATTATCATATATTGGCTCCAATGTTCAATATATTTGGCTACCCCTAGTGTATATATTGACTAATTGATTGTTAACAACACAACATGACGCTCAGATATAATATTTCAAATTCAGTAATCTTCCTCATCAGTTAACCTTTAAAATTTGGAGTACGTATTAATTCCAAGACTGCATTAAGTTTGGACAAATGTTGTACATAAACATTTTTGTTTCCAGATGGCTGGGTACTCGACTTAACACCCGGACAACTGGATCATACTCATTTCAGAATGCTTTCTTTTACCTTCAGTGGGGAGATGATCCAAGTATTGCCAAATCCACAGACATGACAGAGATAGGGCTCGTGACACTACGCAAGACTCGCCGTCGAAGCAAACTGCATCCCCACAAACAACGCTCAAAGTACCTGTGCAGGCCTGAGTTTGTGGTGGAGGCAGGCAATCACTTTATCTGGGAGTTTGTCCCAGGTCATGGAACGCTCAATGTACCCCCAGATGCTGCCATCCTCCACCACTATCGAGTGTGTGAGTTTGGAGGCAATGATTGTATCAAGACTGCTTCTGTCGTGGACCACACAGCATATCGCTACAAAGAGAGGTTGCTGGAACGAGTCAAGTCAAAGTGGAAGGATCTTAAAGCAAAGTGTAACTTGCCAGAACTTTCATATCACCAGACAATGCCCCAAACGGTTGCACCACTTAACAATAACACAAAATCAAAACTTCAACCTCTGAAAGCTGTGGTAAAACAGAGCTAGCAATAGTGTTGAGTTGCAAACCCACTGGTATATAGCTTTGTAATTCAATAGTGCGAAGATGTGATAATGTGTTAACGGAATCACAGATGTCTCCTACATTCTTCAACAAGTGTTTTGCCCTTTCAGAATCACACCATTAGGAAGAAGAAGAAGTCACTGCTTAATAGAGTAGTGCTTCTCTGAAAAACACAGGAATGGAGATGACATAAAAAGAAATATTTCTATTTTATTCCTCCAACCTCTCCTTTTTTTTATACAGAATGTCCCAGGAAGAAAGAACAATGTTCTTGGAGGTCATAGTATTGGTCATACTAACCCAAAAGGTGTATATGTACGTATGTCTTATTCTGGATGGTTTCCAACATAGAGCTATTTTGCTGTACAGTAGTTTGAATTTGGTGCCCAATATTATTCTTCCCTCCTGCATGAGAATTGGTGTGAAGCATCAGTTGGCTGTTGCGACTGTTGATAGTGACATTGTAGGAGTGTTGTGAAAAATGTCCCACATCTTCACAAATGGTGAATATGCTGATATGCTATATGCTATCCTCACATGAGATGTAAAGTGCATTGATGTTGATGGTGGTATTTCCGAAAATATATTATACTAGGTAAGCTGTATCAACTTTATCACTTGAACAATTAATACCAGTATTAGAAACAATATGTAATATCTCTTCCTTAACAACAATTTTTAACTGTACAGTGAAATAGTTCTATCTCGGAAACTGTTTGGAAAGAACAAGTTTACATATACACTTTTTTTTTTCTTAGACTGACCCAGGATATTGACTTTTCCTCCTGGGACACTCTATATATATATAGACACACACACACATTCTTCTTCATCTCATTTCCCTTGTCCATTTTCTCATCCTTCCTCTTCTGCATCTCCTTTTCCTCTGTGCCATAATTCTTCATTTTCTTCTTTCTCTTCAACTTTTTGTTTCTCCTTCCAATATCGGTTATATCTTATTTCTTTCTACTTATTCTTCTTTCTCCTGCTCTCCTTCCTTATCTCCTCCTCTTCCTCCTCCTCCATGTTTAATATTCTGGTCAGCACAATTGCAGATTCAGAGTCCTAAGAAGTTTACTTTAAAGTGATATGCAAACAAACAAAAATAAGACACTGCATTGGATATGTGAGTGGACATCTCAAGCTGTACATACTGCTTACCAGAGCAAGGGGCAGTAGGAACACATGCTTCAGAAAGGAACGTTTTAGTTAGAAATTCATGTTAGACTGGTAGATATGTCACTGGACAACGGGAGGACAGTGTATACAATTCAGTTATACTGAATGTGGTGTGCTGGCTTTTCTCCTTTCAGAAAATGTATACTTTCTTACTGGTATTTAATCAGAAGAACACTGCCTTTTGGTATGTGATGTCATGTAGTCTGGTAGATCATTACCACTGTTTTGGACATATATTGCTAACTGTCTAACTGGCTACATGGTGTCATATCCTAGAGGACAGTAATTATTAATTTCTCAATATGGCGAATATTTTAGTGTGTGCTGCACAACTGTGTCAGCACACATGGGATCAAGTGGGCTTAGAAAGACATTGCTTGGAATATAAATACCATTATCACCAAGCCGAAATATAGCTGTCTGCATCACAGGAGCAAAAGTCTTAAATGATATGTTCCAGCAACATATTTTCTGTTATGTTATCAATTTCCACCACCAGACTTCAGCACAAGATGGATAAGACAATATGTATGAATAATTTTATTTGTATTTGCAATAAATGGCCAGCACAGCCAAGTGCAATGCAAATTCACAAATAACACATGTAGGAAAAATATGTACTCAACTGGAGTATGCCTTTCTAGTCTTGCTTTGTAAAGATAAAATTATCCCTGTGCTTAACTAATTAAGTACTACACCATGAAGAGGTATGGGGGAGTGGGTATACAAATCCACATTTTCTTGACTTTGGCACTAGTTGGAGGTGACTGGTCAGCTTCACGCCCCGGCCACTTTACTCCCAGGGAAAGAGCCAACAGTACCCATGGTATAGGAGGCTGGGTTAGTCCCCAAGGCTGGTCTGGATGACGTGGAGAAGAGAAAATTCTTGTAAGTTCAATGTCCTCTCAATTATCTGCTAGTAAAGTTTTGGAGCATGGATAGAACAATAAGTTTCTGTATTTCCTTCTTTGAAGCCTGACAGACACAGAAGGAATTGTCTGCAGTTGTCAGTGCAACTGCCATGAGGCATCAATACTGGGTCCAACAGAATAGCTTCACGTAAATAATATATGTAAGTTCAGTCCGTACCTCACAGGAAACACACTGTCTCTCCATAACAAAGGCCAACCAGTTAATGCAATTTAGGAAAATAATCCGTTTATTCCGAGAATCATAAAGAATACATAAATACAATGTGTGTACAAAATTCAGAGTTAACTAATGTTCAAGGAGTAGTACATATATAGTAACTACTGCACTTCAAAATGTAAGCATGTGTTCTACTAGACTTCTGAATTCAATATTTATGCTATACCAACTGTACAGGATATTTTTAGCATTTTATCTTTTTTAAGTTCTTCACTTGTATAACTATTTATCCAGTGTACTTGGATACCAGAAACAGTGGAGACATCTGTGTATCAAGAACTGCAATATGAACTCAAAACAATACAGTCTGTGAGAGGGCCTTTTTTATCTTCCTTTTATGAACTCAACAATATATGTGAGAATATAAAAACAGTGTATCAAAATTTAGAACACCAAGTGCAGTGGCATCCAGAATATTATGGGACACACCATATCAGTTGCATGCTCATTGTCTCGTACAAGCTACTGGTGACCCTGCTAAACTTCAATGTGAATGCCATGAGTGGCTGACTATGTCAAACTGAAATTCAACTTCCTGCCAAATTTTGGGGGAATACTGTGGTCTGCTTTTGCATAGACCTCCATGACACATCTTGGGCTTTTACAGTATCACCAGCAAAGGAAGGCCACAGACATTGCCCTTAACAAACTCCCAGAAGATAAAATCTGTGAGTGGTAAGATAAGGTGATCTCACAGGCATTGCTACATCTTGACATTGCTGCAAAGACATTAACCTCTGGACTGTCCCTTTCATGTCCAAATTAACTTGTTTGCACTCCTGCAGATCTGCAAATTATACTGATTTACTTCGTCTCAATAATGTCACCTCATTGCTGAATAACGTTTTGTGATACTGACAATTATACCTCTTGACAGCAACAAGAATATATAGTAGGCTGCAACCAAGGTGCCACATTGAAAGGTTAGAGCTGATATTTGCAACTGGCATATACAAATAGTTCAAATGTACCAAAATTAAAGGTGCTCTAAGTAATAAAGGAGTAATATTGTAAAGATCAATTATGGACACTTCATAGGAGTGCAGAGCCGATGAAAGAGAATACTGGATGGTGTGTAGCAGAAATAATAAACTCAAATCACAGTGCAGGACATCCTACCAATCTATGCAGCCCATATATGGCACTGTAGACAGTCTACATAATACATCACTTGCTTCAAATTTTATATTGTGAAATAAAGTATTGAAACTGTGCCATGCTAGGCCAACCAATTTAGTCTTGGAACATTATTGTCATTTGGGACATGTAAGGAGAGCAGTGTCAAGAATATTTGACCCTTAGAACAATTGTGTTGAAGAGCAGAGTGATTGGGTTAAACAGAGTGAATCAACAGAATCAGGAGAAAGAAAAGTAAAAAAAATTAAGCGTCATATATTCTTTTCACTGTTCCTAGTTGCAGAGTTTCACTCAGAGCACTGGTCTAGATCCCCCCCCCCAAATATTAATACCAGTTTCTTCAATGCTTGGTTTCTCTGTCTATCCTGAAGGTTCCTCCAATGTTGGTAATTATATACCATGATACCACATCCCAGGGCACAGCAATTTACAGTCACAGCTATGACAACCTCAATCTCACAGAGATAAAAACGTTTTGATTTTCAAAACATGGCTCATTGAAACATAACACAACCTGTAAATGTTTTGGAGTTGGTAAACCTAGAAATCAAACAACCAAAATTATGAGATGTAGTTGTCATTCAATATACAGAGAGTCCCAGGAGCAAAGGTCAATGTTCTGGGAGGTCATAGTATTGGTCATTCTAAGCAAAAATGTGTATATGTACATATCCTATTCCAAACGGTTTCTGAGCTAGAACTATTTAACTGTACACTGTATAGACGAGCAACACGCCATGTCCTTACATGAGTTGCACCGAGATAGAGCTATTTCATTGTACAGTACACCGTACAGACCCGCAACATGCCATGTCCTCACACAAGTTGCACCGAGATAGAGCTATTTCACTGTACAGTACACTGTACACTGTATAGAACAGCAACATGTCATGTCCTCACATGAGTTGTGCTGAGATAGAGCTATTTCACTGTGCAGTATACTGTACACTGTACAGACGAGCAACATGCCATGTCCTCACACGAGTTGCACCGAGATAGAGCTATTTCACTGCACAGTACACTGTACACTGTACACTGCACAGTACACTGTACACTGCACAGACGAGCAGCATGTCATGTTCTCACATGAGTTACAAGTGAACTGTTGCTGATGGTGTAATTTTCGAAAATGTATTATCCTATGTAAACTGTACCAACTTTGTCACTTGAACAATAAATAACTGTATTAGAAACAGTATGTAATATCTCTTTCTTATCAATAATTTTGGAACTGTACAGTGAAATAGCACTATCTTGAAAACTGTTTGGAATAAGATACATGTACATATACACTTTTTTGCTTAAAATGGTCGATACTATGACCTCACAGAATATTGATATTTCCTCCTGGGAAACTCTGTATACAAGTTAATTAGATGTGTTTCATTTTACAAATACGTTGTGAGCCCTATGGACAAAGTATATAATCCACATTCAAGTCATTGTGTGATTTCAGGTTCTCACAGCAGAGACTGAAGATGTCTGTCACCACATAGCCTAATAGGCCATTACCACAATTTCAGAGGAACGTGTTTCCTCCATCTTTTAGCTCTTTAACACTGAAGATGGGAGCAGCACATTTCTGTGAAACATTTGTAACAATCTACCGGACCATTTGATGTCATACCGCATAAGACACTAAATTTTCTAAATCTGTTTACTTTATGTAGCTTCAGACTGAGAACAATACACATACACACACAAAAATACATTAGCCAAGACCTCTGAAATCTTATTTATTTGTGGTTTATATAATGATGTTCTCAGTAGGTCAAACTATATAGTGTGAAACAGTAGAATAAGAAACAATCTAGAAGGGATGTGGAAGGAAGTGGTCATGGCTTGTTTAAAGGTACACTCTTGTCACCAAGTAACATAACAGATGCATTCTTAAAAAAATTTGTATAAGGTGAAATCATGTTAGTTTGACATGAATTTTCCATAAGAATAATGTAAATGGGGAAATCTTGGAAAAATCTTGTTAGACCAGAAAACCAATCATATCAGTCAAAAAGAAGCCCTATGTTTAAGAACCGTGTTAAACCAAATTCACGTTGCTAGAATTTGTGTTAGTCAGGGATTTGGTATATTGTCTCAGTATTCATCTGGTGAGGCCAGAGCCTCAGAGAGGATATTAGATGTCCTGATCACTGAACACCATCCAAACAACTAATCACAGTAATGGAGTGAGACCCTCTGGGTTGTTCCCATATTTTTATACTAGCCACAATGCAGCAATCATGTCTCCCAGTGACAGGCATTCATATCACCACAAATACTAAGTTGTATGCAGATTATCAAACTCATTTGGACCAAATAAATTGCAATACTATCAAAACTAATGCACCTATTTGTGTTTAACATTTCAAATGATGAACACTGAAAACAACAAGGCTTTCTTATTGGACCCACTAGCTAACTACATCCAATCCACAACCTATTTCCTTAACTCTCTCCTGGCCATAACCTGATACACTGGAACACTGAATATTTTCCTATTATGTGAGATTTGAGGCTTTCATGTAAATCACAACAAAGAGTAATACTGTCTTCCGAGATGTGATGTGTAGTATGATAACATATTATAAACGTTTCATAATAACCTGCTGCCTCCATCTTCAGGGCAGAAGAGTGAGTAAAAGCAAATCAATGAGAGCAGCCCTTTTCAATAGCACAGGTTCCCATTCAGTTTACCCACTTTCATGGGTTCACTCTTAGCCCCAGTCCTTTCCATCTCTTCCCCAAATCACTGATTGTTTCTTCCTGGGCAGATTACCCTTCTACCCTAAAAATGAAGGTAACAGTTGCCTTCAAAATGTTGGTAATTATCTGCCACACTATGTGGTGTCCCCTCCCCAGGAGACATAATCTTCACATGAGGAAATATTAGCATGATTGGGGCAGGACAATCAGTCTCTTCAATGATCTTTCTGGTCCAGCTCCTGGCCCTAAATGTGGCATCATTACCTTCATAATCAGTTTTCATGATCAAAAAAGAGAGATCTTCAACCCACCATATATTTCTAGGTATAAAAGTATACAAATTTATAAGATGCTACATCAGCAGTACTTTTTATATCGAATAATGGACAATATGAAATGATGACAGAAGATGGGATCAGCAGAAATGTGATTTATGAGGGCTGCAGGACACATTCCCTTTTGGCATACATTGCAATGAAGAAATTATGAATTACAAATTCCACAAATAACAGAATATACGAGTATATGCACAATACATAAGAAACTGGAAAGAAAACATTGATAGGTTTTGGTCAAAAGGAAATCTGGGGACCTCTGAAATGATGGCTGGATTTTGTTTTGTAATATCGATCTTAATATCTCAATAGGCCTAACATTGCAATGGATGATGATAAAAAAGGAAAACAATCAGATTATCCTTTAGAATTTTGCTTGGGTCATGAATTGAGACTGAAGATTATTGACCTAGAATTCTGTCTACTTTTCCCAATAGCAACTTACTTTCTCCTGTCTGGTAACTTTCAATCATCTATCCCCAATTGGTTCTTCATATTCCACAGGGATAAAAATGCAGGGACAAATCACAAATGTGTAAGGGTAATGTTTTTAACACAAGAAGGTTAGTAGTTAATTTTATTCTTCAGCCATCTCCCACCTGCAGAAAGTAAAACATTTTAAAATAATGTTATGTAGGAAACAGATTTAATATAATACATTGCAAGAAGAAATCATTTAAATGTTATACTTTATTGATACTTCTGGTAAAATGTCCTAATTTTGTTCTACGCATCTGTCTTAATTATTTTCAATGGGCCAATCCTTGAAGTTTTCTAACCACAATAAATTGATTTCCAATTTTGTAATCTTCCCTTTAAGTTAACTTCCATGTCTCAGGCTCTTACAAACCAAGTGAAATATAGTCTTTTCACTCACACCTGACCAACTTATAGAAAATGCCGCGCCATAGCTCAACCAGTTAGTTGCTGGCTTACCACTGTGGCGGCCCAGGTTCAATCCCGGGCCTGGTCAAGTGAGATTTGTGGTGGACAAAGTGGCGCTGGGGTAGGTTTTCTCCGAGTACTTCGGTTTCCCCTGCCAATCTTCATTTCACCAAATTCTTGATCATCATAATCGCCTGGGGCAGGTACAACAGGCCAATCAGTGGCCGCCATACTGAATGGACCCAACTGGACTCCAACCCCTACTATCTGAACTTATAGAAAATACTGTTAAAATTTCTCATATTTGTGTCAATAGTGACTACATGTTAACAATTGTTCTCTGTTACTTTCAGCACCATGTTATGCCTTCTGAACTGCTCTATTTTGTTTCTAATCCTGTAAATACTGGGCAGAGTATATACCTGAGCTCAAATCAACCTAAACTGAACCTAGAAAGAAATATTTATACTTATGAACTCTAAAGATGTAAATAAGTATTTAAATAACATAAAGATGGTAAACAAAATTTCATAAAGAATAAGGGAAATTATGGCAAACAGAATTTATAACTTCTCTAGCAATAAAAGGGTTATGCAGATTTCCTTTCCAGGTTGTCACCAGAAAAAAAAAAACTATCAAGGGTGCAGAGTTTATTTACAATGAATGTATGTACCATGAAAAAGTATATTTATATATCTACAACACATTAACATACAAATTTAGCACCATCTGGTAATCACTGCACAGAACCACTCATTACATTGCTCAGTTGAGAAGCACTGCACCATGTGATGGTATTGCACTCCGATACATAGCATGCTGTCAAGTTGAAATAACAACATAAGAAACTAATGTACAACATCAGCTTTCAATAATTAGCTGCATGGAATATTAAAGGTTTTTTGTTTCAGCAAACACTGCCACTGACATTTTCAGGATTAATGTTTTTGGGGAGCAGGGATTCAGAAACACTCATGCTTATATAGACAGTCAGTGAGTGGGGAGGTGAAGCCCCTTACTGGACAAAACAGAGTACAGGGGCATGCTACCCAACATGGAGTGACCACATGGCTAAGGAAAAGAGGCTATGAAAAAGTTTTTAGAGAGAAGGTGATCAAGAAAAGAGGTTAGGAGAGGGGAAATTTCATGACCTCTTCTAATCACATGAGTACCAGAATTTCTGATATCATTTCCTAACTGCCTGGTTACTTTTAATTTTTTGAACACTCCTTGAACTTTTGTCATATCCCCTTTTCCTAATCATGTGTTTCACAAGACTATTTTCATCACTGATTCTGAACCATGGGGTTATTCGTTATTGAACAGCACCCTACTCCTGTTTCATCCAACCATACCTTTACCTCCGTCTCCACTCACTGACAGATGAATATATGGATATCTGACCTCTACCCACAAATTGATCCTGAAGATGGCAAATGTAATTTTTGCCACATGTGATCTGGTATGAAATGCTTGGGTGCTTTGAACTTCTTATTGTACTTGAACTCTTGTCAACATCAATGATTATGGAGGGTTTCCAGTGCAATATCAGCGTACTCTGTTCAGAGTATAACAGGACCACACACCTTTTTTTACTAGTGACCAAGATTGGAACATCAATTCACATTTTTGTACAGATCGAACTGTTATGGTGAACATGATTTCAGTAGACTCTCCATTACCCACTGTGAAGATTAATTGGGGGAATTTTTATAACTGCCTAGCCACTGATTATTGCCTCCTGTAATGATTTAAGCATTGTCCATTACATCTGTTTCAGTAGTAAGCATCAGTGATGTTTGACAATAATTTCTAGTAGACTAAATATTCATATTCTGTTGCAGCTTTATCACACTGTTTACTGATCAGCAGCATGACAAATAAACTAATTTTTGGGGTCAAATGCAGCATGGATAGTACATACTTAATTTCCCCATTTTTGGGTTACCTATTGCTTTTAGTTACCTATGCTACTTCTCCTTTCCATTACTGTGGATAATCAAGAGCTCACCATATTATTTTGGACACTATCCATAGCCTTGCTTTCCTTCAAACACAATGCTTCAGAAATGGTTTCCATCATCAGTGCAAAGAATAAAAGTTCCTACTCTGTTCAGCCTGTTAGAATGAGCTCATCTCAATAACTGGTCTACCTGATGTCAGAAATAGATCCAGTTTCCACAGTATTGTACTTGAAAATACACAAGACAGTGTGCAGAGTCCAAAATAACAATATTTAACATAACACATTAATGTCAGATATATGTAGACTCAGATCAAAGTGTGTATTCACCCTCAAAGACAATTTTCCTGAATCACATTCAGCACGTCTAGTTCAGATTTCAGAATGAGATGCAGAAAACCCCTATTTAGATTTCTTCTGTGATCAGTAGGTTTGATCACTAATCTGAGGCAATTTAAAACAGAGATTATTGAGTTGGGAATACTGAAACTAAAAGGTTAATTGAGGGAAAGCCTTAAATCAAGGGCCACCAAATTGAGGTTCCACTGTATACAGGTATACCCCAATTCACACAACAGTTTTGTTCCTGGAAAATGCATAAATTAATGATTTTCCACAAATTCAAGAATTGGTGTTATGGAAGACTTCTAGTTCTATAACTTGTGTGTGATATTTCATGGTTATTTGAAACATTTGTACCTAGAACAGAACCTATAAGCCCTCATGCTACTTGCCAGTCACTAAATGCATACTTTTTTTTATTGTGGGGGAAAAAAAATTGTAAATACAAAACAGGTCTAGGCAATGTCCATTCAGCCTTCTGCAGCAAAAACACAAAGGACTGTCCAAAGTGATTCTGCTGCCATCTGTGTGTTGTACTGTGATACTATAGCAAACCCCTGAATCACTTTACGGAAGCAGTGGATCTAACACTAAACCATAGAAAATCTTGAATGACAAAAATTTAAAACTGAGATTATTGATTTTGGATCACTGATATCTAATAAATGGGAGAAAACATTATATGGGAGTTACACTCTATATATGGTTTAGTATACCACATAAGTTGCTGACATCTAGAGATAATTCTCATACACACACAGGAATATTGGTAACAATTTCCTAGAACAGGTTACCTGAAATGGGAAAGAATACAGATACAATAAAAGTGACACAATATTGTAATAACATAAAAAGATAGCTTAACATATAAAGTTGATATTAAATATAAATTTACATTAGAAATATTACTTATTTATTACCGATATCAAATATGATTCAGGATAGCTAATGAGTGTAAATTAAGGTTTAGGGCTACTTGAAGAGTATGGAAGCAGAAGGTGCCATTAATGGTGGCTTCCATGGATTCCTGGTTCATAACTTCTGATGTTGAACAAGCTGAACTTTCTTATAATTAAGCAACATCCATAAAACAAACAGTGTACATGCAAGAGCATGTTGTGTAAATACAGCGTGTCTCTAAGAAAGAAAACTATGTACAGTGTATATACAGAATGACCCCACGTTACAGCATGATATGGTCTTGAAAATGTATTTCTACCTCAAAAGTCCATAATGTGAAACCTAGTCATCCACCGATTCAATATGTGTTATAAGTGGAGTACACCAATTTTGTAGGCCACAGCTGTAAAGAAAACACTTCTTTACCCACTAGACATAGTAACCATGCCACCAGCCATCTGCACATAACACTGACACATGAGGACAGGATTGCCGAAGACAGGATACTATGGGATGTCAATGCTCGAAGAGACAACCATGTAAACTTATAACAAATGTTTATTGCTGTTAGAATGAATATTACAGATGACCAGGGAAGCAGGGCATGCCTGATGAATACCAGTGAAAACTCCCTTTGTAGCAGGCTAGTCTGCACTAGCGATGGCAGTGATATTGCTGTCCCTGAAAAGGACCGTTTGTCAGGAGTCAGGTGCGCCTGCCAGATGCCAGGCGAAGCTCTCATAGCAGCGGACTAGCCAGCACTAGTGTTGGTGTTCTTCCTTGCAGCAGCTTGGTGACTGTGAGTCAGCTCACCTGTTGGATGCCAGGCGAAGCTCTCATAGCAGCGGACTAGCCAGCACTAGTGTTGGTGTTCTTCCTTGCAGCAGCTTGGTGACTGTGAGTCAGCTCACCTGTTGGATGCCAGGTGAAGCTCTTGTCAAAGCAGACTAGTCAGCACTAGCATCGGAGTTCTTCCTTGTGTGGCAGCTCAGTGCTCGTGAGCCAGCAGGATGCCAGACAAAGCTCTTGCAGTAGCAGACTAGCTAATGCTAATGGTGGTGGCAAGACTGGCTGGCTGGATGGCCTGAAGAGCGCTGGCAGAGTTGGCTGCGGTGTTGCCACTAGTACACTTGCTGTTGCAGCGTTCTCTTGATGCTAGTGTAGTTGTGACTGATGTTAGTGTGTCAGACATCCATATCTTTATACTTTTCCTGCTAAGCAGTGTGCTAACCAATGGGCACTGGAGATGCTGTGGTGAGCACTGATTGTTTTTTTTTAATGCTAGTGGGGTGGGATTAAGTCCCTTGTACTGGAGCAACTTCTGGCCTATTGTACCAGCCCCAGATGATAGGTGAGGGTGATTGTGGAGCAATTGGTGGAATGAAGATTGGCAGTGGAAACCGAAGTACTTGGAGAGAACCTGCCCCAGTGCCACTCTGACCACCACAAATCCCACTTGACCAGACGCGGGATCGAACCCGGGCCGCCCAAGCCGGCAACTAACAGCTTGAGCTATGGCGCGGCCCAACACTGAATGGTTAGCACTTGCTTCACTGTGGGAGGCTCCCACATCACATCAGCAGGAAATGTGTGTGGTGGCTAGAGTGTGTAGTTCATGTGGGGAGCTGTAGTGGTGTGGCAGGTGGTGCTCCAGTCAGGGTTGCACTGACTGGCAGGTTGAAGGTGTTGCTCCTGCAGTCAGTCCCATTGAGGATGCAGGCCTGCTTGACCCTGTCAGTTGACACCATGACAGACCTCCCACACATGAGGAGTGGCAGTGTCTTCTCTCTCTGTGACAGGACCTGGCATAGGCCACTGTAGGGGGGCTCCAAAACCCAGCACACTGCGGCTGACAGATGAAGGTATGTGCGCAATTGTCAAGGTCGCTGTGCATGAATGCAGCCAGGAAAGCATGGCAAGCTGCCAGAAATGGTCTGAGGTGGGCCATGTCGTGCTGGTGGAACTTGGTGATGAGATGCACTGGATTCATGGGGTCAGCAGTTGGAGTCAGTAGCTCACTGGGGATCTTTAGGGGCTCACCATACACAAGCTCAGCTACTGATGTCTGCAGGTCCTCTTTGAATGCTGTGCAGATTCCGAGGAGTGTCCAGTGGAAGCATTCCACAAGTCCCTTCGCCATGGGATGGCGGGTGGCCATCTGCGAAAGCTGAATACCACACAGTCTGGCCAGGAATTGGAAAAGGTGAGATTCAAACTGATGTCCCTGGTTGGTGGTGATGGTCTGCAGGCAACTGAAGAGGGATATCGGCTGGTCAGTAGGGCATGTGTCACGGTGTTGACTGTAATGTCCAGGATGGAGACAACGTCTGGCCAGCAGGTGTTGACAGAAGCCAGTGGTTCTGTGAAACAACTTGTTCAACATTTTGTGTTATAGTTACGGCATTGAGTAATAAAGTGACGTTGCAAGAATACTCGAGGTCTTGTTTCATGAGATGTACTCTGAACTAATCAGGATACTATCTATGGACTTTCCTACAGGGACTGAGGAAACCTCAGACAGGAAAGCTAATGTCCCAGGCAAGATTTAAACCAAGCACCTTCCACATACAACTCAAGAGAATTACTGCTATGCTAACCTGCTCAGTGAATCACTATTTTGCAGTGTGTTTAAACAAATTTTAATATATGTCACAAATTGTTTAAGGACATATTTATGGTCTGTAGTGTAAATTTTCTGGTCATGTTTCATAATTTCAAATTCCATAACCTCAATTTCTGTAACATGGGGAAACAGTGTATGGAATTGCACAAACTCAAGATGCACAAATTTGGGTATACCTGCATTGGGAAATATAAAACTTGTGAGAGGTAGTATGAAGCAATCTGAAAGCGTCAACAGCATTCTGTGCTGTCAATATGACCACGGGGCCATCAACTACTCTTTCCATTTTCAACATATGTAATTCACACTAGGAAGGCCTGTGTTAAATGTTTTCCATGGCCAATTCCCTCAGTCCTTCAAAACTACTTTAAAAGACAAAGCAGCAGATGAAGAGAGCAGTCTTCTGGGATTTGGCACCGTGTATATGTGGAGTTAACCGACGTTTCGGAGGAACATATCGCCTCAATCTTCAGGGTAGAAGGAAAACTATAAGAAATCCGCAAGCAGTCTGCTTTTACCAGTTCTCACGGTCTCTTCACTTGTGGATTTCTTATATCTTTCCTTCTACCTTGAAGATGGAGGCGATACGTTCCTCTGAAACGTCAGTTAACTCCACATATACACGGTGCCAAATCCCAGAAGATTGCTTTCTTCATAGTCACCGCCGTGAAAGCCTCAAATCTTACAAAGTAGCAGATGTCTTCTCAACCATTCTCAGCATTAATACGAAGAAGCCTTTCTTCTGGGATGTGATATCGTGCTGTTTGGTAGAAAGGTGCTAACATTTTGGAGTAACCTGCTGTCTCCAGCAGGGTAGAAAAGTAAACTGTGTGAGAAAATGAGGACACAGACATAAGGAAAGGTGGAAAGAAAACAGGATTCAAGAGGGGTAACTGGAGAGGGTAGCCTATTACAGGAGGGTACCAAACACGACGGAGGCAGCAAGTTCCTCCTAAATGCTCTTCCCTCTCTGCCAGATACACAGTAACACACCCAAGACAACAGTAATCATCATCTACATGTTTATTCACCAGGCCAACAAACTGATTTTCATTACAGAAATTGGACTGAACATCTTGCCACTGGTGATCACCCTATTCTCCTACATTCATTACTCAGTACTAATACAGAGACTGAATAATTCTGAGGCACTATAAGATCCTTAAATTTTGTACAGTGACAGACTTCTGAGACCACATGACTCTTTTTAAATTTGTTCTAATGATAGAGATGTCCCTGCAGTTAATTAAGCACACCACCACGAAGACAACTGAGGGATGTGGAGGTACAGCTGCAAGCATTCTTAACCTTGGCACTAGATGATGGTGGATGGTCAGTTTCATGCCCCAGGCATATTACGCCTGGAAAAAGAGCCCCCATCAACTAATCCCAATTTATTATTCCGGAGGCCACCTATGCTATCGAATTCTTACTTTGCAATCTGGAGGCAAAAGGCTATGCATGACTGTACTTTTATAAGGCGACAACATTAGCAATTTGTATCAGAATGTGGTATACTTTTGCCAGCACACACTGTAGGGCCAAAAGATATACTGTATTTTGTTTTGCTTCTGATCTAGTACTGATAAATTTTTCTTGAGTCAGTTCATGTCTTTGTACAGGTATCTTTCTGTCCAACACCAATCCCATAAAACATAAGTTTGTTACGATATTGTGAACTGTTACATTACACAGCACTGTACTGTGATGATACTTCATCCATAGCTTTCTACAGTACTTCCTGCCTGAAGATCACTGTACAAAGATACATATATGAATGATTTCTGGTCAACATTATATTTCACAACACTGTGAACTGTATTTGTATATATCTCAAGGATGGCAAACCACACTAAACAAGCAGTGCTATCAAGACATGCCACCCAGCAGCGGGAGACTAAGCAATAGTTTGGCAAACAACAGTGGACAGGCACTGGCAAACAAATTTCTAGTCAGCCAATCTTAAGAAAATTTTGATTCCCTGAATATTACAAAAAATGTCTGCGTGTTTCATTGGAAAAACTGAGGAATTGTACAAGAGCCAACTTGTGGGAAAACGTCACAGGGCCCCTAAATCTGCACGCACGCATGCACACACACACACTATATTTAGTTCTCATAGCTGCCAGTACAAGTGAACATTTCTTGCCTCAAAGTTGTGATATAAAGAGTGAAAAAATAGCGATGTTCATTGCACATAAAGAATTGTTTATACAAAACAGTATCAGACAATTACACATGATCTCAGCCCGTCAGGGGTCGCAGGTCAACTCGCACTTTCTCCTGCACACTCAGCATTCCTATTGTTGGGAAGAAGCCGCCCTTTGGGATGTGGACTTGCCTCATTCCCACAGTCTTGCCATTTCTTGTGAAGAATACCTTTAAACAAGTAAATACATGTTAGGTTTGATGTTCTTACATAAAGGTTACTATATTCTGGGATATGATACCATGTAGTTTGACAGAAGTTCACTCATGTCTCAGATGCAGCACCTACCTCTGAAATGTCAGTGAACTACCTGCGGCATTCCATGAGAAAATACTCTTCAAATAGACATGTCTGTAACACCGTTTTATATATAAACTGTATAGAATCAAAACAAAATGGGGAGACTATATGCATTTGTCTATCTGTATGTATTTCCATTCCTATTTCAACACCAACCAAAATTCCACGACAGTGAACCCAAATACAGTACACCACTGCTAATCCAGATTAATTGGGGGCAGAGGTCATCCAGATTATGTGATAATAAAGATTAGTGAAGCAAGAGGTAGTACTAAGAGACACAAACAAACTTAGAACACAAACAAATGGAAAATTTAATGATATAAGTAGTGTCAATGAAAATAAATAAAAAATAACAATGTAGAGCTTTTATTTAAAAACTATGAAAAAGACAATACATTTATTCATTGATATAAGTCTCAGAAGTTGTATTTGTTTTTGAATGTAATAATGCAGGTTTGAAGAAACTGTCCAAATTTTGTTTCAATAGACAAATGACTCATCTGCATTCTCATATGCCATGTGTCTCTTAAATTATGTACTCAACTGTGGACAGTATTTTTCATTTTTCATATTTTGATCTGGATTAACTGTAACTGGATTAGCAAGGGTTTACTGCATGATGTACAGACAACAGTTAGGAATTAGACACACAGTGCAACAACAGAAAGCTTCCAAAATCTGTATCAGTTTAATAACACAACTTTGTCACCTTCAGAGCTATGAAATGTTTGTGAACATAAAAGTTGCATGATATATGTAATAAATATCAAGGTGCTTTAAACTACAATTATTGTACATTCACTTTAGATCAATTTTCAGATATTGTGTGCCCTTAATTCTTAAATATGTTAAATTTGAAGATTATTGTCTTGAGGTCACATATATTCTACCATGAAGATGGAGGCAGTCAGTACAGTCAATGTACTATTTAAATAATCTTAGAGGAGCAGTAGATTTGGATTCTTCTTCTTCTTTACTGACACTATGACCCTGTGTGGGGGTCTTGGCCTCCTCCATGGTTTTGTAACAGCAAATTTTTCCAGGGTGGGATCATTAGCCCCATGCCCAACCTCCGATGAGTAAAACCACAGCCTACACTTCATTTTGCCCCTACCCTTTGACCTATCTGGCATGGGTGGCCCTACCAGAGAAGCCTACAGTTCTGCCACCATTGCTCTTTAGGCCACTGGCGTGTGAAAACCTCCTCTCATGATAACGCGGTAGTCCTCGAGATGTTGATACTAATCTGAGGAAAATCTTAAATCACCGAAATTTAACACTATAATTATTTACTTCTCATCCTTAAAACTGGACATTCTTAAATCAGTGAAAACCTTGAACTGAGGAATATTAAATGGGGATTCCAATGTATATTTCTACCAAACTAGCTGGTGACACATCCCAGAAAGCAATGACTTCATATTCAATGCTGTAAGAACCCCAAATCATGCTGTGCCCCCTTTTCTCCGCACATATACTGCAGTACTGGAATAACCTTGGAGCTGGAAGTATGAGGAAATACTGTATGTCATTTCAGAGCACTGTGCCCCTTTAATGTGAGAGTATTTAAAACTGCGTATTTGAGCTTATAATATGCATCTAAGAGCGTTCTTGTAAAGTACAAATAAAAAAATGCTTTCAGAAACCAATGAGACTCTGAAAGAACATACTGGCTCAAATGCTTCGGATCTGCATTCTGAAAGTGCCTGATCCAAATTCAGCTACTATTCTGATGATTTTTCTTGGTTTTCTTCAGACTCTTCACATAAATACCATAACAATACCGTGTGTTTAAGACAACCCTAAGGGTGCATCAGCATTAGAACCTTGTTTTACATTCATATGGTGTCAGAGTGAGTGAGACTTATCCACTTGATATACCAGCCACTACTGGGTCTACTGTACCAGCCCCCAGATGATAAATGAGTGTGAAGCATTGGCAACAAGGGAAATTGCAGTGGAAATCAAAGTACTTGAAGAAAAGTTGCCCCAGTGCCACTTTGTCCACCATAAATCCCACATGGCTTTGTCTGGAATCAAACCCAGGTTGCTGCTGTGGGAAGCCAGTGACTAACCGCCTGAGCTATGGCATGAATGTCATCATCAGATGGCAGTGACGATCATTACATTATCATTAAAAATCTATTATATTCTGTTTTCAACATATGATGACACCAAAGACCCCACTGAAGATGTAGGACTCTACTTTCCTACAGCTGTCTACACAAGGTATGATGTACCTTCAAGCATATTTTAGGCACAGTTTACCATAAGTGAGACCACAGTCTCTTTCCACATCCTTTCAAAATCAGTATTTACTATTCATGGCACCATTCAACACTATACAGTCTGAGATACTGGGAGTGCCACTGAATAAATCATGAATATATAAAACACTGGCCAGGTTTCAGTGCTGTAATCAAATATAACAAGAACTGGTTACAATGTAAATTCCTCCTTATACTGGATTTTTCAATTGACCTAACCTTCCAGCCGCAATGGCCCTGGGGTTAACTCAGCCTCTAACAGAAATGAGTACCAGGATCTTCCTGGGGGATGGGGCAACCAGCACAGATGGCTAACAACCTCACCATCATCTGCGAGCCAACTGTCTAGAAAAAATGTGGGAGCCTTGAACTCTCACAACCCTATCGGCCTTCGTGGCCTGTAGCAGGGATAGCGTTACTTTTTTCTTAATATAAATTCCTGCTATTGTACATGCCTTCACCTTGCTGCTGAATTCAACGGCACACTCGTTGTTCCACCAGTCCTCATCTTCACTATCACTTGAGTCGGGGGATAGCTCCAACAGATCCACTTCTGTTTGGGATGATGGACTGAGCTCTATGGAGCCACCATCACTGCAACATTGTAGCAGAAAACTCCCATCAACTGATTCAGAAAGTCTTGTATTAATTTGCTTTATAGTTTTGGTTTACTTCTTATACATGCATTTTATATGGCAATTACTGGCATGGGAATGAAATATTATTGACATATTGGAAAGAACAGTTCGTTGTAGAATTTGTAACAGTGCACTGTGAAATATAACACAGATCTTTGTACTGTATGTTGTCTGTGGTAAATATGTGGTGAAGCTGATCAGGATGTGAGTCAAGTGGACTCTTGAACTAAGACCTCTGCGCCTGACCAGCAGCACACCTTCTGGATGCCACTGGCATTGGATAACTCCATAAGGCAGGTCCCTTTGCTGAAACAAATTAGTGAACCCAGTAAATTGATGAGTCAGTCTGGTTGAGCTGGTAGCCGAGGTCACTGCAGTCCGGAGCTCAGAGAGGGCAGTTACGAAAAACTTCCCTCCCTGGAACCCTAAGGGTATGGCCTGAGTGCAGCAGGGCGTGGAGCGTTTGGTGGGGCGGGGCATGCAGTGTGCATCACAAACCCGTTTCAATATATTGGTGTGTCCTGGGACCGAGCGTTTTGAGCGGAGCGGGCAGCGTGCTGTACTAGTGTGCAGAGGAGCGTGCAACGTGCATGTCAAACCAGTTTGTGTTTCAGTAGCGTTTGGAGCGTTTGGAAGATGTCTTTTGAGGATATAAACGCTGAACGCTAGAGGTGCACTGAGGACACAGCAGCGGCCCGCTGCTGTCCCTGCCATAAAGTTGCCCACGCCCTGCTCCACGCCCCGCCGCACTCAGGCCGTACCCTAATACCCATACATCAGAGTTCGACAGTTGTATTCATCCATCTGGTTAATAAAAGTTCTGGTTGAGTACATCTCTTGTCCTGCCTCACTACAACCTTCAATATCACCTTGGAACTTGCCGGTTTCTACACACGCCCAGCCCAGGACAGTTCAAATGCTTATGTGGGGGGAACATCAACAATACTCCAGTGCCGGGCACTATGCAGGGAATTTGGGATATAACATGATGATGCTATCAACGCTCACACTATAAAGCATCAAATAATACAATTAATACTGTGGCCAAGATTCAAACTGCGCAGTTCCAGAATATAAGGCAGAAAGAAGTGTTACCACCTAGCCAACTTGACTTGTTACACAGTGTAGTCTGGTAAAAAATTAACAGTGTTTAAAAGAGATATGTGAGATGTGATGCTATCGAGCCTGGCATGAGGAATGTAGTGTGAGACAGTATCCTTCATGGCAATGAATCTTCACATTCCATAAAACCAGAAAATCTCTTGATCATACGAGCAACCATCAGTTTACAAGAAAAACCTTGTACAGTACACTGGGTGACTGACAAGAGGTAAGGTAAACTTGTCTCTGTGTTTAATTGATTAAGCACTAAGCCATGCAGACATTTGGGGGAGTGGAGGTATAACTCAACCATTCTTGACCTCAGCACTAAATTGAAGAGGGTGGTCAGCTTCAAGCCCTGGTCATTTTACACATGGATAAAGAGCACCCAGTACCCATTGGGTACGAGGCTTTGTGGACCCCACAGCCTGTCTGGATGCTGTGGAGAAGAGAATAATCTCTTGCACCTGCCATCCAGCCCATAGCCTGTTGCCACACTGAGCTACCCTGGCTCCAACTGACAAAAGGACAGAGTTGATATACAAGAGTATTCTTGCAGCCAAAGCTCACAGTGTTACAACAGATCCGAAACACTGGAAAGTCTGACGAAAACTCAATTGAAAAATGTAACAATTCCTTTCTCTATCTACACTTTCAGTCATTATATATTACGTTCCCTGAGGTAAACTTTTAGATCACGTCACTGAACATGGAAGCCACAAACAGAAGAATTCTAAAAAGACAGCATGATACAAGTACAATAGTAATAATTGTGATGATGATGATGATAATAACAACAGTTTTGGGGCACCTCTTTTCTGCAAATGTTGACACGGTAATAATGACTGGACCGCTGCTGTTTATTGCTACTTTCTTCTGGGCCTATGTAAACTAAATGAGGTCATAAAGTCTATTATCGTTTGGGATGTGATGCCATGTAACATGTTAGAAGTTTATCATTGTTTAAAAGGAAAGGAACATATGCCTCCTTCTTCAGAGTCAAAGAGTAAGCCCAGAAAGCAACACGCACTTTCAAGATGGAGGCAAAGCATTCCTCCAGAACATCAATAAATTTCTAGCAGACTACATGGTGTCACACACACAATTAGCTGTACTGTTCATACTTACAGCCATGCGGACATCTAATTTAACAAAAATGAGATCACATCTGTGTTTCATTTCCATAGACATGACATAAGGACAAGACCTGCCCTAGTTAAACTAATTACATACGGATGAACTCTCATGCAATTACAAGTATAAAAATTTAAGAAGAAAATAATGTCAACATTATCATATTTAGGCAATTGTGCTTTTGAGATCTGAGGTTCTCCTGGTAGTGCCTATGAAGATTACAGTCTTCTGGGATATGACAGCATGCAGCCTCACAGACAACTACCAAAATTCTGGAGGAGCTGTTCCCTTACGCTGTTTCTTTTTCCTTCCCTCTACCTCCTGCTTCTTCTATGACAGCCATTATTTCTCCCATTCACTCTGCCCTTTAACATGCCAATATTCTTACACCATTCTCCTCATTCCTATTGGCTCAACCAGTGCTGAAGTCTTGGCCCTTCATTTTTCTGATGCTTGGCCTACCCATTTACCCTGAAGATGGTGGCAGTAAGTTTTTCAGAAAGGTTGGAAATAATCTATATAGTCTAAAATAACTCTGAGGGCAGTTATATGTGTACCTTGAGTTGGCAACCTGATGGAAGAAGAGTCCCTTGTACTCGAGAGAACTCTTACTTTGCAATTTTTGTTCCATCACATGTTGAAAACAGAGCCTAGTAACAATATAATGAAGATGTGACAAGACATGTCACTGTTTGATGATGACACAATCTCAAAGATGTTTTAGACAAACAATATGAGACTACATGATGTCACATTCCAGAAGACAATCTTCAATTCTGCTTTTGGTCATTAAGCTTTGGAACTACTGTCTGCAGTCTAACAGTGGACACATGCTGCCTGTGCATACCTGTCATACTGACATACATAATCTCTAGGGAACAGAATTCCACAGCCCATTCTGTCGCCTTTATGACAGCGCGGTCCAAATGGAGCACCAACACCACTTCCAATGAAGATCTTCCCATCATCGGCATGGTAACCTATAGAGCCTTTGTTCCAGCCAGGATGCCTGTGTTTGGGGTAGTCCTGCAAATAGACCAGCCCAGAAGCTTAGCCCCACATATTGGGGTAACGAAAAACAGTCAAATATCAAAGAACCCGTTCCAGAATCTAACTACAGGAAACACAGTCCTTGAGAAGCTAACTGTTGCTCAGAAAGAAAAGAAAGTCCCAACATTTTATGGAGCCCAAAGTTTCAGTAAAGTTTATGAGGAGTTCTATGTTCTGGGGTTATAATGCCCTGTAGTCCGTTGAAAGTTAACGACATTTCAGAAGAATATGTCCCTCCATCTTCAGGACTGAAGAATAAGCCAAGCAAGCTGCCCACTTCACACCGGTTTCTTACTTTGGACCTCATCATGGTAATGGCATGTTCCTCCGAAACGCTGGTTGGCTTTCATTGGGCTACTGGCATTATACCTCAGAAGATAGAACTCTTCATACCCACTGCTGTGAGATCCTCACATCCTCTACTAAGTTTAATTCCAGATTCATGCAAAGCAGAAATTATACATAAGCTCTGCTTGCCACCTGCTTTCATGCTGGTTTCTTGCTTGGTTTATTCTTTGACCCTGAAGATGGGGGCGACATGTTCCTCAAGAACATCAGGTGACTGTCAACGAACTACATTGCATCATATCTCAGAAGACAGGACTCTCCAAAATTAAATTCGTCTAACATTCACTGTACATCTGTTGTGCATGCATGTTTCTGAATTTATTCAATGATACTTTCCCGACTGCTGGTAAGACGATGATAATAACTGATGAAGCTGGAAGGATGTCAAAGGAGCCTGTCATTTGCTATTTTAAGATACTAAAGAAGTATTTGGCTGGAGGGACTGTGGGAAAGCACACTAAGCCTCAGTGAGAACTATTGACATCCAAGTAAGATCCAAACCTAGGACATCCAGAATGCAAAGGCTGGGGGACTAAACATGCCAAACTTGATCATGACATCCACTCCCATCCACTTTTTCAAGAACAATGAAAAACGTGTAAAACAGTGAAATGTGAGGGTCTCACAGTAGTAGAGATTAGATAACAGCCTTCTAGGATGTCACACCATGTAATATGGTAAGTAAGTAAGACTTTCCTACACTGCAGATTGATGCAGCTGTCTGTCTGAAATATCTACCTACCAAACTAAACAGGGTCACATCACTGAAGATCATAAACTCTATAAATACAGAGAAATCCCCATTTAATGAATATCTGGGAGAATTGCTTCTCTTATATCAAACTGAGGTTGTCACTGAATGGGGGTTATGCAAAATTTCACATTAAAATTCTTACTGCATGCAATTATGATAAAATAATTTATTCACATAGCTAATTAAAAATACTGTTCAACAAAAATAAACACAATTACATAATCATTAATATGAAAGTAATTTACAAATAACTGATGACACATAGAATGAACTGAAACTAGCTTAGTCCAGAATCATATGACATATGATACCCTAAGTGACATGTTCTTAGTGCACTTTCTCTATATCATGTCAGTCACCACAGATCATGACTGTGGTTTCTGGTGGACAGAAAACACAAATATCAATTGTTATTTCAAGTACAATCACACTAAACTACTATTATGAGTTCTGGAAAGCTGAAAATTTCTTACACTGTGGGTTACATACTTAACTGAAATTGACTATAGGAAAACAAAACATTGTTTATATTGGGCTGCAGCTAGTACAAAAAAAAAAATTCACCAAATATGGCATTTCACTGAAGATGGGAACACTGTCTCAACTTACTCTCCTAGTGAGTCCAATGGCTATGTAGCAACTCTCCCCAGGATCAACAATTTCTATTTCAAAATAATGAATGGTTGTGTTCAGGGGTGACCTTGCTTGTGCCAGTCCAACATCTATAATACTCTTTCCACGCCCTGTATATTCCAGCACCTGTGACAGATCAAGAAAAGCAACTCTCCAAAGTTTGGTCACTGTATACATTTAGATTAACCTTATCATCCACGATTAGGGGGACTTAAAATCTCCTATTATTACGATGCTGGCAGTCACATATTAACTTGGAAATAACAGTAATAACAATGTAAAAACCTGGAGCCAGGATAGCTGTCAGTATACCAACTAGCATACAGGCTGGATGGCCAAGGAGTCAGGGTTCAATTCTCAGCAGAAGCAAAAGACATTCTCTTCTCTATAATATTCAGAGCGGCTCTAGGGCCCAACAAGTCTCCCATCTAATGGGTACCAAAGCCTCCATCCCTGGGGATAAGCTGCCAGGGACATGAAGCCAAATATTCACAATCAAGTGTCAAGATCAAGACTGCTGGAGCATATCTCCACTCTCCCACATGCCTTCATGGCATGGTGCTTAATTACATAATGAAATACAGGGATAGCTTTACCTTTACCATACACTGTAAACAGTACAATGTCAGCCCTACTGGGACAGTGCATATGCCATCATCAGAGTACTGCACTGCACAGACAGCAAAAGTTAACAATACACATGCATAAACTACATTAACTGATGCAAAGACACTGCCTATACTCTCATAAATACTTGATAGATCACAGCTTTCTAATATCCTAAAATATATGTAGACTTCTACAGATGCAAGTACAGGACATTTAAAGCCTCACCTGGTAAATGGACAGAATCTGGTGGTAGTTCTAGGTTCTAATTGCACCGGACTAGTAAAAAATATAAGCCTACACACAAGGAGCCAGAAGAGCTTCTCAATAAAATTTGGGATTGCTGATATATCAAACATTTGGCCACTTGCAAAAGTTACTCAGGTGTCAATATATTGGACACTCATCCTTTAGAGGTAAATTAAACTGGTCAAGCTATTCCATGAAAACTGACATTTCACATTTGGGTCACTACAGCGCACACCATTATTTTCCTGAAGACACCACTTATACAGTTTTATTTAGGGAGACAGCCCCCATAAATCATTGAAACTTAATCAAAACTGATAGAACTATTTTAATGAAAATTGCAATTTTGTGTTTGGGAGCACTGGTCAATGGCCCCCATTTTTGGACCTAGAATGTTCACTTTAACCAGACACAAACCTATAATTGCTACACTCTTAAATATAAAATATGAATAAACTCCAACTATTCAGGTGCCAGAGAGGTGTGAATACAGACAGACAGACAATTCCAAAAACCATTTTTCCATATTCAGGTGAGCTGAAAATGTGTAAATTCAACAGAATCTCAACATCTAATTCCTTCATGATCATAACGGTTTCTCACATATACTACATACACAAGAAGGTAAAAACTAAGTAACTCTTAGGCTTCGGGGACTTACATTCAACACTCTCAATACCACAACCAGCCTTCAGGCATGATGGTGAGTCAGTTTCATCCACCTCCCATTCTCATAATCTAGTTCCATAAAGACCATTCTTATCCTTACATATTTGCAAACTGGCCATTTCTGAAGAGCTTTCCCCCATGCAAATTCTGTATGCATTCCCTGCCGCCCTATCCTGGCTACTGTCAATCACAGCTTCCTAGAGTAAATATCATAACAATATTAGGTGACCTGTATAAACTACAAAATATCTTCTTATGTAATACTCTAAAGTACCCAATTCATCCACCTTAGGTCCAAATATTTTCTTAAGCACTTGCTTTTGAAAGGAACTTGTAATTTTACATTATCTCAAAGTAAAGTAAGTAAGTAAAAAGTAAAGCTATCCCTGTAACAGGCCATAAAGGCCCATAGGGTTGTGACATTTTGACGTTCCCACATTATCTAGACAATCGGCTCAAAGACGGCGGTAAGGTTGTCAGCCTTAGATGCCGGCCGCGCTTTAATCCCCAGGAAAATTATTAGGTACAGTCGTACCCCATTTAATGATACCTCACATAATGCCAATTCATTTGGTGAGCAAATTTAAATTTTTTGACAGACTTCATGAATAAGATAATTCAATGACACTATGGATACTGCAACTGAAAATGAACCAAATTTTGACTGCGGTACTGAAGTGAAAAGCATTTATGACACCCTGCTACAAAGAAATGCTTCAGGAGAGTAGGCTTAAGACAAGGAAGACAGGTCTTAATGCCTTCTTCAAGAATAACGCTGACCATTAGCTGGAAAACAAGACACACTTGGGCCAATCAATCAGAACAGAATGATAGCTTTTACACATTATACATATCTTACAATGAACTTTAAATAATTTAATAATTTTAGCATATTTGACTATTTTATTTATTATACAAGTGTAATAATTATAATTTTACAAATGCATTTCAATTATTACTGTACTAAAATGATCCTACATAACACTAGCTAAGCACTCTTACTTCCAGGAATGCATTCCCAGTGTTGGGTACAGCTGCACCAGTGTTTTAGAGGAGCACACCACCTCTGTGTTAATGGTCAAAGTGCGAGCCCATAAAGCAAACAACCAGAAAAGCTGCTTGTTGCTTGCTTAAAAGACTTACTCTATTTACTTTCTCCTGACTTCCATCTACCTCTTATTGGTTTGCTTAGCCAGTATTTCTTAGTCACTCTGTCCTTGGAGAAAGGCCCTTGCCCTTCTTCATTTGTTCACGGCCCCAGTCCTGGTCCAGCCTCTCCCTATCTTTTCCTATGATCAGCTTAATCTTCTACCCTGAAAGCAGCAGGTTCCTCCAAAATGTTAGTAATGATCTACCAGACTGTATGGTGTCACATCCCTGAAGACAGTAAGCATGCAGGCTACTTGTAATTAAAAACTACAACCTTCAACAAGACCAAAACAAACCTGTCCATTGAGCCGAATATCACTGAGCCGATACCATTCCTCCTCATTGGTGTCTACAGACATGAGACTGTCCTCTTCAGGTACCCAATTCAAACCCAGAAACAGCCGTACCTCTTCTCCAATTGAGTGCATTCCTACTGCAGGGTACAGGCCTCCCATAGGTAGTGACACTAACATTGTGCCTAACTGAAACATCATTTACATTAAACTAAAATAGAAGAATTACTTTCATGAAGCAAGGAATTCCACACAAGCTTTTATGACAAATGGTGAAAATAAGCCAAAACACTTCTTAACCCTTTAAAGTACAGTGGCTACTATTTGTGCCACATGCTTCAATATTTTGGAAACCTTGCATTTTGCCCAAATAGTCTATATATGTATTTTGTATCATTCTTACAATTAACATTCATTTTTCTAAACAGAATTAATCAACTGGACTTTATAATGGAGATACAGTGTTTTACTGACAGGCATGAACAGGATTATATTATTTAGGTCAATTACAAATTTCAGTGTGTTAATTTATACAGTTTTTCAGAGCTTACTTCTTTCCCATTTCGGACAAAGTACACAGGAACCATCATACAAATTGCATCTCCTCTTCCTTCTGTAAGTTGGTCAAACCTAATTCCACATCCTATCCGGTCCCCACACTCACATCGTGTGCACAGTTGTGTTCCCTTGCTTCCCTCCCTGTAAAGGCTGCAACCACAATAACAACACATATTGCTACATGCTGGTGTAATTATCAACAAATGTGACAATAATATACATTTCTCATTATGTTTTCACGTGCATAATTCTAATTATAGTGAAATCCCACTTTAGCATCCCCACAATTGTTGAACAATTTTTCAGGTTTCAGCAGAAGCCTGTAGTATGTATTACTTCCCTATATTTAGTGAATTCTGTATAGTCAAAAACTGACATTTAATTTGAGAAATTTTTGACCTTCCACAACTCATACATTGATTCAGTATAGCCGTAGTCAAAACAACAATCAATATTCATATTTTTCTTCCACTAGAAATCAGTACCTTACAACCATTGTGTTTACAGGATGTCATTAATTGTTTTGGGGGCATGTGATAGCATAGTTGGTTGAGGCACTATGCTACAAGCCAGAAGGTTGCAGGTTTGATTCCCGATGAGGTTATTAGATCTTTTTCGATTTACCTGATCTTTCCAGCTGAACTATTGGCTTACAGTAGTCACCAGTGACGAGTTTTTGTGAACATGGTATGACCTTCCAAGAAGGACTGACATCCTGTCAAATCCATTACTGACTATCATCCAGGTATAAATATAAATACTGCAAATAAATAACCATAAATAAGCAGATACAAACTAGAACATACCTCCCATCATCAGTCATCAGTCCAATAGACTCTGCTACACAACCGATGTGCACATCCAGTGGACATCGTTTTGAACATAACCCAATTGAGATGCTGCCATCCATACCGGTATCTATGATTTCAGTCTCATAGTAACAGGTGTCAGGTGTCAGAGGGTGTCCAGCAATGTACACACCCACCCTGTCATCTTCATCAGGGGCATAGCTACAGATGGGCAATAAGAATAGATCAAGAGTACTATCTTCTGGGATATGACGCCATGTAGTCCATTGAAAGTCAATCAACATTTCGGAAGAACGTATCACCTCCATCTTGAAGGTCGAATAAGCCGAGCAAGATACCAGTGTGAAAGCAGTCACTCAACTTGCTACCTGTTTTCATACTGGTATCTTCCTCAGCTTATTTGACCTTGAAGATGGAGGCAATATGTTCCTCCAAAACTTCAGTTGACTTTCAACAGACTACATGGCATCATATCCCAAAACACAACATTCTTCATAAGTACTGCTGTGAGAACCTCAGGTCCCAAAAGAACACATCAGGCCATTTAACCTGCTTTTTTGAGCAATTTGTATGATCTCAAGCGAAGCATAAAAGTGGAATTCATTACATGAGGCCGATATTTGCTATCTGTCTGTGTTCTGGTATCTGTAGTGAATACATCTTGATGAAATTCTCACTAAAATTAAAGCCCAAAATTATACTTCTGAAAACTCTTTGGCCATTCAGCACTGCAACTCTTTGGCTGCTTTCAGTCTGATATTTCTGTCCTCTGACCACCTAGGGCAGGGAATTAAATCCATTTCTGAGGGGAGATACCCTTAGGACAGATTCCAATAAGCACAGTTTTAAAGCCCACCATCTTAATCTGGACTGGTACCCTACACATTAAAAAAGTACTTGGTAGAGATGAAGGTTTTGATCTGTGAACAAAGAAAATTTGTACACAGATTTGACTTGGGATCAAGCTCAGAACCTTCTCAGTATGTGTGCAATTTTTTACCTTGGGACCAAGTCATCTTAACAGCATTACAACTATATGTATACACTTAGAACAAAGTTTACTGATTAATCAACTGTATAAATGAAAAATATTTTAGATAAATATTATAAATGTTTGCTATCTGAGAATAAAGTTAACTGACTTATAAAATTCAGAAACAACAATTTAGAAACTATTTCCACATATACAATCCAGCAAAAGCAATAGAAAGGACAGAGGAACACAAATTACATTGAAATTCAGTGACTTATGTAAGACATTAGGATGGATATCAATAATGTGGTTCTATAGTAAAATATACCGAAACAGAAACAAAGTGAAGCTTTTGAGGCTTCTCTACTTTAACTTACAACAGTTGAAACTTTTACTGGCTAGCAACTGTTGCTGTAACAAGAGATCATATACATACCTTCATAACCTAAGCATCTTAAAATAGAAAGCATGATTCAATATACCTTAAAAAATCACCATCTAAAGCCACTCGTTCATGCGTAACATCACTGTCATGTGACACAGAACACTTCATCCTGAGCACGGGGTAGGACTGCAGGTTGCGCAGACTTTCCATTGTTGTGTCATGAACGGTACCAAATAGTCTTTTGAGTAGTTCAAAGAGGTGCGGGCTCACACAACTCAGCATATAGGGCAGCTAGAAATAATTTTAGAACATCACTCTTATAATGCTCACAAACACCTGCTTATCCATCTTTATGAACGCTAATCCAAATCTTAAGAACTGTTAGGGTTCAAATGTAGAGTATGGTTTGCATCTCTCACACTATGCCACGTTCCTGAGTAATATTTGTCTTCGGTTGTGTTAATTCCTGCTTAGATCGGGTTGGCTCATATTAGTTTAGGGAGCCACAAATAATACACTCTCCCCAATTCCTGTCCACGAATTAGAACCGAAGGCCATTACGTTCAGCAGGACATCCAATGGTGCGGTAACCCTATCTGTTTTCCAACAGCAGTAAATACTGTGTAACAGTACTAGCAACTACATTACATGGATAACGCCAAACTCTATTTACTTGCATAAATTATAAGCTAACGTCAGGACCTAATTACCTGGATATTCGGGACCTGACGGTTACAAAGCAGACTTTGTCTAGTTACTACGAACTTTCGGGGTTCAGACAAGAGACAGTCAAATTTCGCGTTCTGTGCTGTTGAAACATCAATGTACAGAAACCACACAAATCACTGTTCCAGTAAAGATAAAATTATATCAAAGTCCATCTTCCCACACAAAAACCTATGCGAACTAACCGCTGTTCATAACCTATAACAAACACATCCCCATTAGCCACTGATTAGTAACAATATTCGCCTTAACACCCACAGATTATTGGCCAGTGAATTGGGACAAGGACAAGCATCTTATCCACATTCAATTCAGGTAAAATATATTCTTTGCCGAGAGGAAATGTCATGACCGTCATGACGGTCATGACGACGAACAAACCTCAAAGTGCCGACCACTGAATTAAAACGTGTAGCCAATTTGCATTCAATTCAGAGAAAACACATTCTTTGCCGGAAACCATGAGCAAATATTAAACAAAATTCAATTCAATTCAATTTTATTTCATCCATGGATCATTATACATGATATGGGACAAGTCAAAGATTAATATTAATACTAATACTAAATAATAATAAGTATATAATAATACAGAAATAATATGACAATATAATAATACATGATAATAATAATAATATAGCAATACAGAGATAATAATATGACAATATAATATTGATTGATTGATTGATCCACCTCGTCACTGCAGATCACTGTACATGATACATGACAAGTCAAGCCAATTCTGAACATTAACAATCCGATACATAAGCAGATTAAAATTACAATAGTTACAATTCCACTGCTGATTACAATCTAGAACCGGCTAGATACTCCCACTTGTGGAGAATTTGATGGAATGAACNGTAGAAGAAAAAGTATAAAAATTCTGCAAGCGACAACACCGTGAGAAACGGTGTTGTCGGTTAACACCACATATACACGGTGCCAAATCCCAGAAGACTGCTTTCTTCAAACCGATAATAGCCTAAATTCAGCAATAATCGACGAACAGGGAAATTGAAGCATTAAGTTGGCTGTATGACATTCGACTAATCTTCGGAACGCTTCGGGACGTGGGCCTATTATGTTGTGGATGTTATATGGTCATTTGAACAACGCGATGTTAAGGAATAAGAGATATGGTAGGCTAGCTGAGATCGCTGAGATGCGCCCCCCCCCACTCCTTCTGCTAAATTAAAATTATCTCAAATTTTTCAACGCTTTGTCGCAATAAATAGCATTTTCTGTATCCACGTTTAAAATAGCATTAAAAACTTAAGTGCTGCTGAATCACTTGAGATGAAACTGAAGGGATGAAGAGCTCATACACAATATTAATGAGAAAAATTTAAGGGAAGAGACCACAAGGGAGTTACATTCATTTCAGGAGGCTAAGGTTCAAATGAAACCTGCAAAACACTGGTTGTGAGAGAGTGAACCGGACTATGTGACTCAAGATAGCAGTGGCAGAATCATGTGAACACATCTGTGAACCACTGGGTTCTGCAAAAGGAAGAGAATTTCTTGGCTAGTTAAGCAGTTATTAACCTTTAAAGGGCCCTGTACCATGGAATTACTTAAGATAATGGTCTTGTTCTGATTCTTCTTTGTTAAGTTTATTTGTGATGGACAAATCCATCTGCAATTAATTTGGGGCATGTACGGAGTCCATAACAAAGATAAGTATTACTATCCACTGCAATACAAATGAATACAGTTCCAAATGTTTAGATTATATAATTAGACAAAAGAACATAAGATGTAGTACTGAAGATTTGCCATATTTTAAGAAATGAGACTGACCTCCAGAGACAAAACTATTTCTAGTAACTCTCACCCAAAACCAAAAGGAGAGGAACCCTATGACATTTAATTGGCTGTCAGTATACTGACTAGGTTACAGACTAGTTGGCCAAGGAATCATGGGTCGATTCCTGGTAGGTGCAAGAGATTTTGCTCATCTCCAGAGCCCAGACTGGCTTTGAGGCCCAGCTGTCCAATGGGTACAGCAGGTTCTTTCCATGGGGATGAGCTGATCTATCACCATTTACTAGCAAAATTAAGAGTATATGGATCTATATCTGCACTGCCCCATATAACTCCCTGGGGATTAACTGGCCAAGGGGTTGAAGCTGACCTACCAACACCATTTAGTACAAAGATTAAGATTATACAGATCTATACTTCCAGTTCCCCATTTACTTCTTTGGAATACGAAAACTTTACCTTCACTTTAACAATAATAGAAGGACCTTGTTTTTGGAAACAGGCCAAAATTATGCTTCCAAGTGTTCATCCTCTTCAAAGTTCTTACGCCCTCAAGAGTTATTAGCCTCTTATTCATACTTTTCTTACCTTGACACCATTTGGACACTTCGATTTACTATGTGCAGGCACTTGATTATCCTTCATTAGTATGTGAACTATTTCACTGGTAACCCTCTCATTAACACTAAATACAAACTGAAAAACTGAAACGTGATTTCCAAATTACACATAACCATGACAGCAAGAGATATTTTGAATATTTTGAACATGGCAGCATTTGTACAAACCTATGTACCCATCAGCTAATTCTGACTGGCAGAATATTTCTCTGTATACAGTACACATTAAGATTACATCTATTTTAAAAAGTGAATGCAAAAAAAAAAAATACTTTTGATTGTTACTATTTTTTCAACATATTGTAAATTTCTAACAGGTGTTGATTCTTGCACGGTAAAAAAATCTGTAAGATGATTGCCTCAAATTAGTTGACACCATAACCCACAACCTTGATCTCAGATAACAATAGGAACGTTTGTTACAGTATTTTCTTCACCAACAACAGCAAAGATTGTTCTGTTACACTGATCACAGATTAATATGAACGACAGAAGTGTCATATTAACAGCTGCAGAATTCAAAGCTTCTGAAAGAATTTCTCCAAATCAGTGGAAAAGAACATTCTGGCACTGTATGAACTACTGACATATTAAGAAAGCAGTCTTCTGGGATGTGGCACCGTGTAGATGTGTTAACCCACGTTTCAGAGGAATGTATTGCCTCCATCTTCAAGTTTCTGCTTGCACCTGTTCTCACTGTCTCTTCGCTTTGCATTTTATTTTCCTTCTACCATGAAGATGAAGGCGATATGTTCCTCCGAAACGTCGGTTAACACCACATCTACATGGTGCCACATCCCAGAAGACTGGTTTCTTCATAGTCACCGCTGTGAAAACCTCAAATCTTAAATACTGATGTATTATTTGCCACTGACTGAGACTATCATGATTTATGTTGTATAATGTGAGAAAGAGAAAAAATTATGGAAGGGAACTCATTTTAAATTAATTATAAAATGGAATAACAATGGTTTGTCTGTAATTGGGATAAACTAATTACAAGAAAATTTGACTTTAATAAAAGATTAATAAATATCAGTATATTAAGATTAAATACAGAACACACAGAAGGCTGTGAGTATGTCTACTATGTGGTGGAGGGCACTGTCAGTTAGGGACATTGACCGTTACATTAATATTAGAAAGTTACACGAATTTTCAACATACTGTACTTTTGGTATTCATATGCCAGTGGAGAATCCAATCATATTTGCAGTAGGGTTGTTCTTAAGATCTAAAAGTTTGTGACGATGGTACATTGTTTTTTAATATTATCCATCATGTTGTCTATATCCAAAAAAGTCCTGTTTATTTTTTCAAAATGCAACATTTCGGAGACTGGATTTTGTCTCCATCTTCAGGTAAAACCTATTCAGTTGGGCTCAACAGATAGAGCTAGTTCCTATCTAGTAGATTTTACCTGAAGACGGAGACAGAATCCAGTCTCCAAAACCTTGCGTTTTGAAAAATAAACAGGACTTTTTTTAGATATAAACAACATGATGGATGATGTCCAAAAACACAATACTTGTAGGGTTGTTCTTCCATTAGATTGCCTATACAAGGTATGACGTTCCCTGGATGGACTTCAGGACAAGTGGACAACAGGATATCACAATTTACTCCTATTCTGATTAAAAGCCATACATAAAATTATAAAGTATCATCATTTTATTAAATTATTTACATGGATATTTTAACTAAAACATCATACAAAATAAATATACTGGGTTACACCACTAGGCCATTTATTAACACGTATTAGTCTTTGCATAAATACTAAAACAAGTTAATACCAACATGTCTGTGTCCCATATCAGTTTTATATTACATGAACCTTCTAATGAATCTATAACACTCTTATGCATTTTGAACACCACTGGAGTCGGCAAGGTTCACGGACAACTCTCAGTGAAATGAATGAGCTTAATACCTTCACTTTATCTGTCCTTATACAGTATATGTACAGATGTGCTAGTCACAGAAAAGATGTTTATGCTCTTAATTTTATCTGTTGCATAAAATTTGGTCTCTCATTCTGAATGAAGAACATGAAATGAAGGTGTCTCAGACTAAAGTTCTGAGGAAGAAAATATGGAAAGAATCAGTGGGATGAAACGGAACAAGATGATTCAGCCAGATACTGCAAAACATAAAAAAAGAGAAAAAGAAAATGGCAAGAAATTGAAAAGGAAAATCTGTGGGAAGAGTGGTGAGAAGACTTTTCATCCACTGACCTATAAAAATAGAAGATGAAATGTCTTTGATGTACTCATCCAATTTTTAACGAAGTCCATTAAATCCTAGAACATACCAAAGGAATATCTTAATCCAGTGAGTAACAATATGAAGTGTGCTGTGTGTCCAGAATATCTTGATCCACCAAATGAAAATATTAAGTATATGGTATATGAGAATATTCTTCCCAGATATGTTCTTTAATACGCCACACAGCCAGACTAGTGGAAATCAGATGGTAGTGATAAAACGTGAAATGGGTTCACAGATTACAGTGAACCCCCCACTTAAGAGTTTCTTTTGCTGCCAGAGGATATGAACACTGAAATCAGGAACATTTCAAATGGAGCTGATTTAACAATAACATTATCAACATGGGATCATTGCAATTGAGCATTTAATGAAGCAAAAACCTAAGGTAAGAAACATTAAATGTAAGTTTCACTGCATTTGATGATGCTGTTTCAAGTACACAGATTACATAATGTCTAATGTTATGGAAAAGTGATCATGAATGAACAGGTGAAGATTTGAAAGGAGGGAGGTGTAGTCTACATCAAACTACATTCCAGGCATTTGTCTGGAGAAACTGGAGAAAATCACACGATAGGTGGCATTGGGGCTCAACTTCAGACTAGAAACTGTCTGAATGAAATAAAGCATTAGCACTACATCAACTTGCAAAGTGTGATAAGAGAGTAGTGATAAAATGGCATAACTCATAAAAATAAGTCTTAAGTGTAAACTATGGTACGCAATAGTAACATTTTAGTCTATCAGATGAGCTTTCAAGAGACTAGAATGGGAACAATACTATAACCTATAACCTGTAACCAATTTCAGTTGCAACTGACCTTTAACCTTGGAAATACAAACGAAAATGGTACACCATAAGATAAAGAACTATGAGCAGAGTACGATGTTAATGATTCTTCACTAAACTCCTGTACTGAATAACAATGACTGGAAAGGATCAGAAGGAATCAAGATGCTACCTCTCAGCATTTCCTTGGAGGGACCAATAAACACCATGAAAAACCTCTATGATAGTCAGTGTTCTGGCTAAGATTTGAACTGAGCACCTCCCAAATACAAGTCTAGTACACAATACATCACCCCACTCATTCTCTAAATGTGATATAACTGACTGTGGTAAGAGATGACCTTCTTTGTCTTACCATGCAAATTAAATAAACATTTTGTGTGACTGAATGGCTTAATTCTGTTTTATGCTTACTCTAACCATAATTATGCACACTGTATAATATTCTCCATATATAATTAAAACTGTACCATTTTTTATGAAGCTGGTACACATTTCCAGGTCCTGGAAGTTTTGATAGTCTTTACATACTATACAGTACATAATTATAACAAATATCTTTATAAAATTACATGATATTTATCCTTTGCCCAGTACATGTATTAAAATACTGATAAGCACAAAGCAGTACACATTACTTAATACTTTAAGGTAAAGGTAAAGCTGTCCTTGCCCTTACCTAAATTAAGCACTATGCCATGAAGGAGTATGGGGGAATGGATGTATAGATCCACATTTTCTTGACCTTGGCACTACACTAGTTGGAACTTTTGACTTAACATTTTTTTTTTATTTTAATTTCTACTGATGAGCAATGAATCCAATTACAGTAAGATTCAAGATTCTCATGGCAGTGAACAAGAAAATTACTGTCCTCTGGGATGAAACCATGTACTCCACTAGAAAGATACCAACATTCTGGAAGATTGTGCTATTTGAATCTTCATGGAAGAAGGAAATCAAGCATGGAACAACTGATAGAGATGGAGGAAAAAGGAGGACTGGAACCAGGGGCTCTGGAAGCCAATGGGAGTAGGGGGAACAGTGTAAATAATATTGGTCCTGAAGAAAGCAGTCTTCTGGGATGTGACACCGAGTAGATGTGGTGTTAACCGACGTTTCGGAGGAACATATCGCCTCCATCTTCAGGGTAGAAGGAAAAATAAGAAAATCTGCAAGCGAAGAGACAGTGAGAACAAGTGGAAGCTTCATCACTGACTAGCATCTCCTTCTCTTCAAGACTCTGCACCAAACCATCATATTTACTTCCATCTTTGCTCCACTTAAGGTACGATGCCTAGCACAGTTCCTCATGCTTCAACAGAAATCAAACCTGCAGTATTTTCATAATAAGGCACATCCTCTCAACTGGACGGAGTGCAGCAAGGACCCAATCAGTGGCTGCAACACAACAAATTGCTTCAATGTAAAGCTGTACCTGTGCTCAATTAAGCACCACTTCATGGAGATGTATGCTCCATGCATTCTTAACCCTTTGGAGTCCTATGTCAGACTCAATCCACCACATGTTTTATGAATGTTATAGATGATCTGAGTCAGACTGAGGGAGACACCACTAGGTCCCCTTACTGGATATTACCTGAAATTAGCCTGTGTCTTACAGCTGACATATGGGTTCTGCAGGATCCGAGGCGTTGTCTCCATAACTCGTAACAAAAGGTTATCCAAGTAGTCCTCTAAATCCTTCAGTTTCTTGGACTGATGATCTACAGATGCTTGGAGACTGCAGATCATCTCTATCAGATCCTGCGGACATCATGCTTACATCTCACTTTATGGTCACCCAGATATTTATCAATGAATGTATGAGGGGATGACCATAATAATTCAGCCCTTGTACCATGACCTTAAATGATCTATTGTGCTTCCCCTTTTGATTAACTCTTTATTAATCCTACACTTCGAATGAAATATAGGGCTATTTATGGGTGCGTCATAGTAGTCACTGGCCCAGGTAACAAAATCTTAAATAAGCTATGGTCTCACAATCACAGAGGATATGACCCAGACATTTCAGAAGAAAAGCCAACCAGGGGGATCACTGTTTTCTGAAATGTGATGCTGAGTAGTCTGGTAGACTGTTGCAGGACTGCCTGGTCTACAGATAACAAATCTGTGCTTGTACTCAGGAGGTGATTGGTTTGGATCTTGGCAAGGACACTGACCACAATCAAGTTTCTTTTGGCCTTCCTCAGTCCCTCCAGGTAAATACCACAGTAATACCTGAATCAGCCCAAGACTGCCTCTATCAAAATCCATTCTAATTTCTACCATCCAATGCTATTTAGTGTAAATACTGACATTATTAAATAACCAACAAAAAGAGTTACTGAGGTTTCAGAGACACATATTGCCTCTATTTATATGGTAATTCTTCTACCCTGATGGTGGGGGCAGTATAATCCTGCAAAATATCAGTATCAATCTGTGAGACTACAAAGCGTCACATCTCAGAAGAAGAAAATCTTCATACTTGCTACTTAGAGAACTTTCTCTCACTGAACAGAGTAGTTTGTCAGATAATGAAAATGGAAAAATCACTGAAAATATTTCAGCAGTACGGAAAGCCAACACAGGACATACTAATATAGCAAGGATAATAAAGTATTAAATTACATGCAGAGTAAGTACAGTCAACTCTCGATTATCCGGGGGTGGATAAACCGGTTTGCGGCTTAACCAGGGCTCTTTTGAGGCTTATATGTTGTTTAATATTCATTCACTTTTGTATCACATGGTGAGTTGTAACACTATTTTCGCACTAGTGTGAACCGAGCTCTGCATTTTTTGGTCCCGTTATGCTAACACAATGTTCTAGGGTAGGGGTGAAAGAATGCAAGGATTTGTGGAAAGTTTCAAGGACAGATACACCGCCCCAGTTGGTCTCTTTGTATCGATCTTCAAGTGCGTTAGCAAAATGTCAGGGAGTAAAAGGAAGCATGTTGTGCTAAGTATTCAACAGAAACTCGTGTGAGCTGNTTAAGTGTTAAGTGTGAATATTCGTAAAAAGTGTTGGATGCTGTTGAACACTGTGATTGAAATAACTAATTCACACTTCAGTGTAATGTAAAAAAAGTATTAAATAGGCCATGAGATGACATAAAAATGAGGTTGAGTAAATTTAAATACAGGTAGGCCTCTAGTATTATGAAGGTACAGTATTACAGTACTACTTTTAATAAAATTTGTCTTAACCAGGTTTTTGATTAATCGTGATTTCCATGCCTGCCATTATCCTGGATAATCGAGAGTTGACTGTATTAGTTTCCTAGGTCAGGCACAAACCAGAGAAAATGGTAAATGATTTAATTCACCTCTCTTGACTTTTCTTTAAATTTATGAAGTACTTCAGGTGGAAGTCTGCTGGGTGGTGACTGTGTAGGTGACCCTTCATTTTCACCCCCAATGATGATCCTCTCTTCTGTCTGTGGAGTCTCTGGCAGCTTATTCTCTACAGAAAAAAAGGAGCATTTTAGAGCCACAGCTACACAAGGGTTGAATGACTCTGGTTCTGGAAGTTCCTGGTTTGGACAGACACAAAGATTACACCTGTCAATCATTATCCCCGGTCAAGAAATGACACAAATGGCCGGCAGAAGAGGTTGGCCTTGGACATTTTACTGTTCATTTACAGACACATTTAGCTTCATGGTACCAAGCAAAGGTAAACAGTCATTTAAAAGCATGCCCATGTTTTCAATTTGCACAGTACATTAGGGCAGGCCTTTGAAATGTCCTCTTCTTCTCTCCATTAACAATGTCTCTACTTCATAGAACGGCAATGAGCCAGGATAAAGCAGCCTCAGGCTGGACAGCTGAAGAACCAGAGTTTGAATCCTGGTAGAGGCATAATTTTCTTTCATTCCATGTTGTTCAGACTGGTACTGGAGTCCACCCAGTCCCTTATCCAATGGAAACTGAGGGTCTTTCCCCAGGAGTAAAGCAGCAGGGGTGAGAAGCTGATCACTCACCTCTAACTGGTTTCAAGGGCATGAATATGTGGATATATACATCCACTATCATGTACATTTTCATCGCATAGTGCTTAATTAGATCAGCACTGGGGCAATTTTACCTTTTTTAATGATAGGATGAATTGGAAAAGACATGGCAGGAACCTGCCATGGCCTAATCAAACTCTGCATGTGCCTTGAGGGATTGATAAAAATCATAAAATCCTGTTTCAGGATAGCCAGGCTCAGAGAAGAATCAAACAGAAAACCTTCCAAATAAAAGTCAACAGCACTGCCACTACACAAACCTGCTTGGTTTCTCTTCACTGGAGGATAATAGTAATATCTTACACCTCTCACCTTTGTACAACTGCTTGAATTTTCTTGTCAATCTGGAGCTTTCTTTCACTTTTTCTTTTTCATCTTCCTTCTTCTCTGGTTCACCAGACTCAAGTTTCTGGGGTGATGGCACTGGTGGAGTGGGTGGCAAAACTTGTGTGACTGGGCTGGGTGTTACTGCACGTGGTGGACTAGGCTCCTTAGGGACAGGAACAGCCTCTGGTTCCTCCTCTTCTGGTTGGCTGCTCAGCAATGATTTATCCCATGAACGACGTTTCAATGTGTCTATGTTACTGTCTAAAAAACAAGCACAAATTTTGGGTTTTATGCAAGATGTATCCAAACATAGGAAAGAGATATTTTGAAAATGTGGCAAAGTTCAGACATTTAGGAACAACAATAACAAATCAAAACCTGATTCAGGAGGAAATTATGTGGAGATTGAACTCAGGTAATGCTTGCTACCATTCAGTCCAGAACCTTTTGTCTTCTCGTCTGCTGTCCAAAAACATAAAAATTTGAATATGCAAAACTATAATTTTGGCTGTGGTTCTGTATGGGTGTGAAACTTGGTCTCTGACATTAAGGGAGGAACATAGACTGAGGGTGTTGAGAATAGGTGGACTGAAGAGAGATGAAGTGACAGGAGGTTGGAGAAAACTACATAATGAGGAGCTTCATAACTTGTGCTCTTCTCCAAGTATAATTATAATGATCAAGTCAAGGAGGATGAGGTGGGCAGGGCATGTAGCATGAATGAGGGAGAAGAGGAATGCATATAGGATATTGGTGGGAAAGCCAGAAGGAAAGAAACCACTGGGAAGAGCAAGGCGTAGGTGGGTGGACAATATTAAAATAGATCTTAGAGAGATCGAATGGGATTGTATGAATTTGATTGATCTGGCACAGGATAGGGACCAGTGGAGGGGTCTTGTGAACACAGTGATGAACCTTCGGGTTCCATTCAACACAGCTTCTAAGTTCATAATCAGACTACCCACACTGGGCTTTCATCATTCGATGTTGTCGCTGCAGTTATTCTAGAAGTCTCTCGCAGGTTCTTGGCCAGTGACATTCTTCAGCAGGTTCCAGAACCGAAGAGGGAGGAAACCATGGTGTTTCTCAAAAAGAGGCACACGCAAGTACCCTTATCCACCTTGCTCATACAACAATACTGTTGCACAGACTGAGTGTAAAGGGAAGGCTAGTCACACCCACAAGTGAGTGTGCACATTGCTGACATATATTCCAGACTCCCTCCTCTTCTTACAACTTCAAGAGATTCACAGTGCCTTATCTCTCTATACTGTACCAGACTATTTAACTTGTATTAAACTGGGGTCACAAGGCAAGAGACACAGCACTGTTTAATCTATGCACAGGTCTGTGAAACAGTGCAATGGGCTGGCAATGGCCAGGCAAAGATTACTCTGGTTTTCAGTGGAACAGTATTGTACAAGAACAAACTGACTCTATGAACCCTGAGACACTCCATAGCATATCGTGCACATAATCTTACCCTTTCCTTGCTTTCCATACAGTTTCTGTTCCCATTCATCAACAGTTCTGTTCATTGTTGACTTTAGAGGTGCTGGAGATGGCAAAGGAGCTGTGGAGGTGCGACGTAGAACCTCCCCACCTGCTAGATTTTCAAGTGATCCTACAACTGGGGTGACTGTATTTGTCTGATTTGTGTTGATTGAACTTCCAGAGCTTTTGTGTGAAAGATCGTCAAACTGCAAGAAATCAACAGATGACACATTAATTTAACAAGTAGCTCTAGGAAGAATGCTTATCCTTCTATACATATGGAAAGTTCTGAAACCAATAAGATCTTACATTGTAAATATGGGTTATGATAGGAATGAATCGTTAAGTGTTAACATGATGCACGTACATAGGTCATCAATAAGCAAGCAGTCTTTCGGTTCAGTGTACCATGCCTATTTTGTAAATACTGCTAATATTCTGATCTGGATATGTAAAGCATAGTATACTATATAAAGAAGTTGGTTTAAGATTCATTACTTAGGCGTGTCATTCATAGATGGTGGCATTAAATGCTGGCCTCAAGACATCATTCAATAACACACAGGAAAAGAAAGGAATATGGGAGAAATTAAGGGAAGTTTATAGTACAAAAGCTTACATAACAAATGCAGAAACTTCCCACTGAATTATCCATGGGTGTTACACTAGTCTTTCTTGAAAAATTCCTCAACATATCTCGTGAAGTTAGCAATAAGTAAAGTTAATAGTGATATAGTTTACCAATGCATAATTGGGGTCACACAGTAATAGTTGGTCTAGGCACTATGCTACAAGCTGGAAGGTCACAAGTTCAATTCCAGATGGGGTCATTGCATTTTTCAATTGACCTAATTCCTCCAGCCACATTATGGCCCTGGGGTTGACTTAACCTCTAACTGAAAAGAGTACCAGGAGTCTTCCTGAGGGTAAAGGGCAGCTAGTGCCTAAGGCTGACAACCTCAGCACCATCTGTGAGCCGACTGTCTAGAAAATATGGGAGCCTTGCCATCTCACAACCTTATGGGCCTCCATGTGCTGTTACAGGGATAGTTCTACCTTCCTTCTCTTTTACCTTTACTAATGCATAATTTTCAGAGGCATAAAGTTCATATTAAGTTTCACAAAAGTCTTTCAGCCAATCCTTGAGTTTTTAGGGATGGCTGACACACACTAGATATGACGGTACTGTAAAGGGCTGCGCCATAGCTCAAGTGGTCAGTCGCTGGCTTCCCACTGCGGCGGCCCGCGTTCGATCCCGGGTCTGGTCAAGTGGGATTTGTGGTTGACAAAGTGGCACTGGGGCAGGTTTTCTTCGAGTACTTCAGTTTCCCCTGCCAATCTTCATTCCACCAACTGCTCCACAATCACCCTCACCTATCATCTGGGGCTGGTACAATAGGCCAGAAGTGGCTGCAGTACAAGGGACTTAGTCCCACCCCACTAGCAATAAAAAATGATGGTACCATAAGCACATCTTCCCTTATACAGGAAAGAAAGGGGACCAACAGTTAAACAACGTACACACAGCATAACATTTCTGATATATCTGCTCCATTTTAATTACCTCAAAAATCATAAAAATTGGGGAAGAAAGCATACTGGGCATAAAACATATACTGTTCTTCCATACAATGTTTGTTTGAAACATTTCTAGCTCCAATAAATATTTCAAAAGTAATTATGACCTACACTTGAGATGTGCGCAGAAATGCATGTAAGTTATGTTAATTGCCTGATTTTGTATATCAATTTTAGCCAGAATTCAAACAGGTCAATAAATTTGTCAAACTATACAATACTAAATTTCATGCAAATGCATTCACTGATTCTGGAGTTGTTAATGTCGGCAAACATACAGACATAGTGAAGTTAGTATCCTCACTTCTGCAAGCATTTTGTTACAAATGTGCCAAAAGCCACTGTCATGAAAGACAGTCTCCAACCTAATTCAACACCAGTCATATTCAAAAAAGCATTACTGCTGAGTTGTACTGCCTTACGAGCAGGTAAATGGAAATTCTATATACAAGAAGAAATGAGTATACTTCATCACAATTTCCTTACCAGTGTGATAGTCACATGAACCCAAATTAGAGTCACTGGAGAGATAAGGCAAAACTATCCCTGTGCAACAGACATGTGCGGGAATTACTTCATGAGTTTGACACAGTATCAGAATGAGAATTTGGGAATACTGTGAGAATCATCACAAGAACAAAAATTTTCTCCACTACACCAATTTCTTTCACCATGATCACTCTCTATAACACAAGCCACATTTTCACAGTGTACTAAAGTGTACTACTTATCGCTTATGATATCAGATGGGGATACTGTGTACAGAAATAAAGAAAGATGTAACATGAGCAGAAAGAGGCAGAGAAATACAGACTCTGTTGGCAAGTTGATTCATGCTAGGATTGTCAACCATTATGATCCTGACACATTAGGTAATTTGCTTGCTACTACACAAAGCAAAAGCTATTACCTGAATATTCATAAAGTTCAAGACTGACAAATCATTTGAATCATATTTCTGTCTATAACAGAAGAGAAGTACAGCTCCATGCAATCTCAACCTCAGCATTAGATGGAGGTGAGTGGTCAGTTTCACGCCCCAGCTGCTTCATGGATGAGACGAGTCCCCAGTACCCATTGGGTAGACCCCGGAGCTGATCTGGATGCTGGGGAGAACACTGGGTCTCAGAAGCAGCATTTGAAAGTAATTCCATATTAATGTCCCTCACCATCAGAAATTGTTATTTACAGTTATAATCTCAAAAGAGCTTAATTTTACTTTTGATACTTACGGTCTCAAATGTCATCTAATATGAAATCATTGATGAGAAATTCCTGAACTATGAAAAGTCCATGGTACTCAGAAGAAAGCTGATAAACGGTGTTGGTTACTGACAAAAGTTAAGTTTCTCTATGTTCTCTGATAACCCAAGAATTCTACTCACAGTAAAATCATCTTCACTCTCTCCCTCACTAATAACTCCAGGGTCTGCATCACCTGCGACCTGGGATGACATCTGGCGGGAACTTCGAAAATCATTGTTGCAATCCATTGTCACTTCCTTGTTATTTTTCTTTCCTTTCCTCACTGCAATCAGATGAGAGTAACGATGATACACAAAAACCATGACATCTAACAGTTTTCAATACAGTTACAACAAAATTATCTCTTTTCCATTCACCGAGTCATCTGAGACAGCATTACAGCTTCGAACATTTTAATATTTCACTGCCTTTTCTTCTTCTTCCTTTGTACTGTCAAGGTTTTGACCACTGGCACATGTTACAAGTTTCACTGCTGATATAACTACCTAGTTTCAGTTCTCTCAAGAATTCCTCTTTTCATATTTATATTTAATGTCTTCCAGAGATCTACGTACATAGATACAGAATCTGTCATCGTTAATGCTAGATAACAACTTGATAACCCAAGGTCTATACTGTATTGTGGATTTAAGGTGCTGTACTGTACTATACACCGTACTACACTGCTCTCTTAGGCAGGCCACTGCCCTACATCTTGTATACATGGGCTCCCCATTGCCTTCTATACATCTCGGTACCCAGTATTCACACATTAATGAAAGACCCAAGTAACTTTATAACTTCACATCATGTTGTCCACTGTGTTAGGACTACCAACCACAGGAGTTTATTTGTAGACATAAAACCAAAAGCCTAACCTTAGAAAGCTTTTAGGCATTATTTTTAAAAATAAAACAAAAAGTCTAGCCTTGTAGACTTTTTGCTGGAAACAAATTGTGATGTTAGATCTCAGGTCTTGGTTTTACAAACGAACTTGAAAGGTTGGAAGCACTATCGTGATTAATTTTTAAAGTTTCTTTGGTTGCCATATGGTATGATACCAAGTTGCACTCTGATTCACTGAGCACATGATCTCTTAGAGCATATTCATTCAGCAATCGGCCTGAGGAATTTCATCTGCTGGGTCTTCAATCTCTTCTCATACTTATATTTTAGAATCCACATTTCAGATCCGAACAGCAAGATGGGTTTTGCTGTAATTTTCTGCAGACTTAAGTCTTTTACAATAATCTTAATTGCTTAACTTACTAATATAATACTTGTGTAACATCTTATATTTTAAGAATTTTGCATTCTGGGACATGAGACCATGCAGATAGATATCCTGAAGTTAAAGGTAGCAGGTTCTCCAAAAACTCTGGTAACTATCTACCAAATTACATGACATGACATGACAGAATGTTGGAGAAAACAGCATAAATAAGGAGCTTCATAGCTTGTACTCTTTGACAAGTATAATTAGAATGATCAAGTTAAGGAGTATAACATGGGCAGAGTATGTAGCACATGAGGGAAAAGCGGAAAACATATAGGATATTGGTGGAAAATCCAGAAGGAAAGAGACCACTATGGAGACCAAGATGAAGGTGGGTGGATAATATTAAAATGGATCTTAAGAGAGATAGGATGGGGTGGTATGGACTGGACTGATCTATCTCAGGATAGGGACAAATGGAGGGCTTTTGCGAACATGGTAATGAACCTTCGGGTTCCATGATATGTTGGGAAATTCTTGGGTATCTGGCATCTTCTCAAGAGGGGCTCAGCTCCATGGAGTTAGTTAGACATTCAAGAAGACAGTAATCATAATATTCACCATCATGAAATCTCATTTCACACTGTTTCTAGTTAAAAACTCACCCAGATTTTTGGCTAGTTTCTTTAAGCTTTTCCGTTTTTCCAGGCTGCCTATACTGAGCAAACTGCCACCTGAAACACAACATAACAGTTTCAGAGCTGAACACCTCACACCAAAAGCCTCTTTGTGGTTTAGTCATGACAATATGGGATGAGTACGAATGATAAACTGCAAAGGCTTTAGAAGGAAGCAACTGTGACATAAGCAAGGTCCTGGAATTTGCATGGAAGGGTGTAGGAAAACCACAATCCACCTAAGCCAGAATAACTGGTGTCCTGGCCAGGATATGAACCAGGCACCTCCCAAATACAAGTCTGGAGCATTACTGCTATGCCAACATGTTGAGTAACTTAAACAGCAGGGTGACTGGTTAATAATAAATTGGAAAGGCTTTGGAAGGAAGTGGTTGTGGCCTAATTGAGACATCCTGAGTTATGCACAGACAAGCTGAGGAGAACAGCAAAAATGATCCCCCCCACTGCCCCATTACGAGTCTACAGTACTACCACTACACCAACCTGCTTGGTGATTCCACATTACAGCCTCATACTCACCCACTGACTGAGCCATGTGTGACAGATGTCCCATGGAAGACCGATGTGGTTTCTTGCTCAGATCTGTCAAGCTTCCAGCTTTCACCAAGAATGCAACCCGCACCTCCAGTTCCCCCCTTGGTTTGCTTTTCTCCTTCCCAGGTTTACTTTTCAAGTCATACCACCTGAAATTACACACTGAAAAGGTCGGGACAGAGAAACATGGAGTATACACTAAGGCAGACACTTCAATGGACAAAGTTGATATAATTCCAAATACAGTATACCACCGCTAATCTAGATTAATTTGGGGGAGAGGTCTTCTGGATTAAGTGATAATCCAGATTAGTGACGTCTACAAATAAAGTGATATAAGCAATAACATCCAGCTGACTCAAGAGTCAGAAGCAATACTGAACAACACACAAGACAAACAAATGTATGATTCATCTCTCTCTGCACAGTCAATCTGTGCTCAGTCTGAGTGACTCATCTGCCTTCCTAAATGCCAGCTGTCTTTTAAAATATGCATTTAACTGTGAACAGCATTTTTCATTTTTCACATTCTGATCTGGATTATCCAACATCCAGATTAACTGTAACTCGATTAGTGAGGGTTTACCGTATTTTCAAACAGTGCTACCACACATATTAACTTTTAAGTTCAAAGGATGAATTGACAAAATGCACCTTCCTACAATCACTGAACAAATCTTGTTTGTCTCTCTATATTGAAATGATGAAGCATGAGATTATGGTAAAACAGTGTGATGACAAGGGTCCGGATTTTGATGACATGTCATCTTTTTTTTTCTTTGTAGCCTATGTGATGCTCTTAAATATATAAATCTTGGATATGAGCTGCTGGTTACAGAAATGTAAATTTCATAGGTAATTTTTTGTCATTTTTTTACCTTTTTAGGTTTAAGGTCATTTTTTCATTTTGGGGGTAATTTTTTGGACTTTTATGGGTATTTCCTGTCATTTTTGGCCATTTTAGGGATTTTTTCTTCATATGTTTTCTGAAATGTGAATAATATGGAAGCAAAGTGTTCTTTCTCTTTCTCCTTTAGGTCATTTTTTAAATATTTTCAGGTCATCAAAATCCGAGCCCTGCATATTATATTTTTGGGTCATATTTTAGGTCATTTTTCTGGATTTTTTCGGTTATTTTTTAAATATTTTCAGGTCACAAAAATCCAGGTCCTGGTGATGACAGTGTTGCACAAGCAGGTTTCAATTAGTACTAAATCTTCCAGTATGCAACTCTGCCAATTATGTCTCTTTCAATTATCGGCATTTTCATGAAAAATGCTCAACTAGTAGAGCTTCTTGATATCTGTATTTTTTTTTTCAATACTGGATGTTACAATTAGATTGTGAATATGCACAGTGGAGCCCCTATGAAATAAATACTATCTTAGTACAGAAATGTGTCGCTTACCTGTTTCTAGGTCGCTCGTATACATCAAAATCAGCCAAGGGGATGTTGATTATGCACAGTGGAGCCCCTATGAAATAAATACTATCTTAGTACAGAAATGTGTCGCTTACCTGTTTCTAGGTCGCTCGTATACATCAAAATCAGCCAAGGGGATGTTGATGACACCAAGAAATTCATCTACACCAATAAAGTTGCGGTGAAGAACTGTGAGTACGATCTCTGCCATGTTCCCTTGTTTTGGGATCTGTCTACAATCACAAAACAAAATGGAAATGGATTTGTAAGAAATATAATCCCTTAACATATAAAAGTCAATGCATATGAGGAAGGAATTTATTTACTCATTTGCAAGTGAATTTGTGTAAGACAGTAACATCAACATATATAACATGAACATTTCTTACCGTACCAGCAAAATAATATTTATGTTACATTTCTGAAAACCTTGTACAACTTTACTGTGGGACCTGAAGTTCTCATGGCAACGATTATTAAGATTGTTGTCTTGTTGTGAGATATGAAACATAAAAGCATGTACTGGTTCTTCTACCTGACTGAGGTTTTCCATGATTATCTTCAGTCACTACATGTGAACAGCAGTATACTTTCTTGAAATTGGACATAAACGCATTCTTTCTCATTCTTACCAAATCACCATTCATTAATAATCTTACCATTACTGCTATATACTCTGAGCTACTAACACCATAAGATAAATTATAAATAAAATAAATACTGCAGCATGTACACCTCTTGCTGGGCAACGACCATGAAACAAATGATGAGAAACAGCCATTGCTAGGTAATGGCTGTGTAACAAAACAATGTAGTAACTGTTGGAAGCAGTGACTTCTGAGTGGTCCATCCCAAGGCTATATAATGAGGACCAGTTGCCATTAAAGGAGAGAGGAAGTCTCAAATCTGAGACAGTAAAATATGGTCTCAAGTCCCAAGGGACTCAGACCCGAGAAAAACTGCACTGGAAAGGGGTAGCAGCATATACAAAAGGCAGATCCGTCCTCTCGTCAGAGAGGGCGCCCCACAAAAACAAGACCGTAAATGCCAAACAGTAATAAATATTTGGTCTTCAGCCCCAGATAGAGCTCGACACCAAGACTTACTGACTGACTGACTATCGGTCGCAATGTGACTTGGACTTGGATTACAGGAGAGTCTTGGGCTGCTAAAAATAAAGTTTGTTTCACTAGTAGAGTGTGGTCCAGTGACTTCTTCAGTGAACCCTCTCTCATCAGAGCAAGGCCTGTTAAGCCCTGCATGGAATCATCATGCTTGCACCCTAAACCTTATCCCATCCACACATCACTCCCAATAACTTCGATGTGGGTCTAAGATCATGTGGCACTCAACTACAGACAAGAAGTAAATGGGAGGAAGAAGACAAAGAAGAGGGCGGTTAAAATCAGATATGTTAATACTGTCACGTGTAACTGATTAGACACATGGTTTGAATTGATAATCAGATGTACAATCTGGTCCCACATTTCTTCCTCCAAATGCACTTATTGATCACCTGGCCCCTTCCCGTTGGACAGCACCAGGCTCCACAACCTCACATTTACTTTCATATTGGGTTTCATCACCTCTCTCTCATTCACTCGGAAGAAGATGACTGCAATGTACGGTACACCAGAACATTGGAACAACTTCAACCTGACACAACTAAACCCCAAGAGCTGACATTACTTTGTTGTATTGTACTGAATGCAGTAAAGCATGGAAAAATAATTTAGGACATACATATTTATCACTTTGTACAATAATTTTCCAGCCTCCTATCCAATGCATACTGGGAGTTCTTTCCCTGGGGGTAAAGCAGCCAGGGCGTGAAGGTGACCACTCAACTACAACTAGTGCCGAGTTCAAGAAAACATGGATCTATATATCCACTCTCCTAATGTCTTCATGACGTAGTATTTAATTAGTTAAGAACGGGCCCAACTTTACCTTTTTACAATAATTTTCTCTACCACAGATAATCACATAATGGTAATGAGCTTCTCATGAAGGATTCTGCTTCATGAAGTTACTTAAATCATTGGTTGGCCTAGAAACAATACAAATACCACTTACAGTTCACACTCTTCGTGCCATTCCACATCTTGAGCAGCCTTTTCCTTCACTGATGTCTGATACTTCTCCTTGCCAAGTGCAATCGTCACAAATGCATCATTGGTTCCTGCAACACGCATTCTGCTTGTGATATAGTGATGACCCAACAATTCCTAATTGGTTCTTTCATATTCTCTTTAAAGTTCCTTAACATCATCAGTATTCTTCAACATTGTTTCTGTTAACAGGGTCAAATTGTGATGCATAAGTACAATTAACTTATATTTATGTAATTTGTAATCTTATTAATTTTTCAATTAGACTGTTATTGTACAGATGTCACTGTATTTATATTGTATTTGACTTGTTCCATATCATATGCTGTCTACCTGTATCTGGATTTACGGAACATAAATAAACTGAACAAATTGAACAAATTTGCAGACTCTCACTAAGTGGGGCTAGGAAACAAGGATAACTTCTTTACCTCTACAAATACAAACTACTCCGTCTAATGTGACCTATAAGTTTTTACTACATGAAAACTTATCTCCCTTACATGTTTCGGTCCTTTCGGACCATCTTCAGAGGGAAACATCATTACAAACAGGAAACTACCATCACAGTGAAAACAACACAGCAAGACACGAGCAAACCCTGGATGATATCAAGAACCTCCTCATCAAGATAGACAGGCGGCACAAAATCTGCCCCATACAAGAAGGACGATAGGACGACGGACACGAACCTACATGGTTTATAAATTTTAATTATTGACAATACAGGTTTTTTTAAATAACATCTAGAAATTTTTAAAAACTTTACAATACCAGGAAGCTGCTGTGATTGTGAAATGTTCTTCCTTATGCATACTGTGCATTGTAGCATATAAGTGTATGTACTTTAAATCAAAACAACTTCTGTGATGGTAGTTTCCTGTTTGTAATGACGTTTCCCTCTGAAGATGGTCCGTAAGGACCGAAACATGTAAGGGAGATAAGTTTTCATGTAGTAAAAACTTATAGGTCACATTAGACGGAGTGGTTTGTATTTGTAATTGTTAGTGTGACGGACCAGAATGAAACAAATCAAATTTATCTTTACCTCTAATCTGGCGATATAAATGTATGTACAGAGCAAGGATACAAAGGAAGGCATTAGAATAGAAGTTTAAAGAAAAGAGGAGTATGGGACAACAAAGATTAGGAAAGTGTAGCTAGGTGCTGGAGACATCAAGAAGAGAGGAAAATGCTGGCAAGAAACTGAAAAGGAAAGCTTGTGAAAATGGAAGAAGAGACTGAAAAAACAAAAATGATGCCAAGAAAATATCTAATTCAAGCACTGACCACCAACACTTGAAAAGCATTCCGATATTCAATATAAATGTCACTCACCATGTTTTCCTTTCGTCAACAAGCCCCTTGCTCTCTGAACTGAAATAAATATGAGTGATTTTAATTTAATTCACATCTGTGGTATTAGTTATAATTTATTACCATAACAAGAGTGTAGATGGTCTTCATGGTAATAACAACTTTCAAATGAGAATGTCATGTGACAGGTTGAAATAAACACAATGAAGAATGATGATTACAGCCTTGTGGGATGAAACATCATGTGGTTTGAATGTATAAGGGGTGGGCCTTCTTGGCCCTTGCACCGCGACCACAGTGATCTATTGTGCCTGCACCATGTGGTTTAGTGGATAGGTACCAAAGTTTCACAGGAAGCTGCTGCCTCCATCTTCAGACTACCATGGCCAAACCAAACCATTCACTCATCTCTTATCAGGTACTGTGACAGATATCTTTACAAAGAATCAAGACCAACATTTTCCTGAAGCAAAGTTAACTCCACAAGTGAAATTATTTGCACAATTTCTGATGCATAACAGATCAACTGCTGATCACATATTGTTCTTAATAGATACTGCAGGGAGACTGATAGCTCACTGGAAAGGTCCACCAGCTATACATTAGATTTTAATATTTCCCAACCTGCCTAGTTGCTACCACAACCGAAATGGTGCAATATCATGATATTTGTAGTTGACAATATACAATAGCGGTATATCTTCTGTATTTCCTTACGTCAAAAAGAAATTACAAGGCAATTTGGCGAAATTAAAAAATTATAACGTACGTCTACACCTCATTCAATTGCGAAAATAAACTGATAATATAAATAAACACACCACAAGTGAGCATTATTATTTTCATCACGCAAAACAAAAAATGTAAAGGACGACTTTATTTACTTTTTAATCATACCTGTCACTTGAACGTGTGTTGGGCTCCACATACTCTCAACGAACAATTTTTTTTTTGGCTCCAAACACCTAACGGATACAAAAAGTTCCGTCTTTCGGTAGCTAACTGTTGAGGTTCACTTCAGATAAATTCTGCCACGGCGATTTTGACATTGACCTCATACACCATCGGACGACCTCAAATATTTCTCCCACTCCCACATTCATTTCACATTCACATTAACTTCCTGTATGACGTACATCTCTCAATTCACGCACGAACACGAAGCTATCTCCTCCATCGCCTCTGCCCACCTAACGGTCTCTTATTCACACACAAAACAGGGAACACGGATCATATGTGGTATAGTATGAAATCGAGTCCATTCCGGAATAACCAATAAAGAAAAGTCGTGTCTCTCCTTCTGGCTTTCCCACCAATATTCTATATGCAGCATCGTATTTCTACTCTCCAATACAAAAATCAGAAATAACCGTTAATTCTATCAATGAAAGTACTGTAAATTTAACAAAAAGCAGAAATAAAAATTAATAAATTGGTAATATAATCTTTGGATTTTTGATGTCACAGTTATTTTCGCTAATACTGGTTGAATGGTTCCATCCGAAGGCCACTTCTCGACCAATTGATGGGGACGGCAGAAAAATACGTTACGATCGGTTAAAATTTCAGTGTTGTTTAGGTGCGCAATCCGTGGGAAAAAAAAAAAAAATTGAAGAAAGCTGGGAAGGAGTTCACTTTATAAATATCGGTGTTTTTGGTGTCGTGTTTATTAGATTCCCGAAGAAGTTCATAGACATGTGTTCTTTTTAAAAAATTAGCGACTTTAGGGATAAATATCGGCTGCTATGGAGCCAGCATCAGGCAGTAGTCGCTTTCGAATAAGTGAAGGCGACTGGATTTGTAGCGATCCACAGTATGGAACTCATTGCGGTTTTAACTGTAGATGTATTGTATAAATAAGAATAGAAGCCACAGTTTTGTTGCAATTACGTTTTTATGCGGTATTGTTTCTAACTTACTTTGGTTTGTTACATGTTTAATTGACCATTTTAGCACCAAATTGTACTTGTATTTAAAACCACACATTTATTCATTTTTAGGTATACATATCGCTGTTATATTATGAAGGAATTCCGGTATTTTAATAGACTAGTGGACTCCGAAATAACGTGATTTACAGGGACAAAAAAGAAAAAATCAACGGCAGGCAAATACTGGAACATAAGAGAAAGGATATGGCTTTAACCTTACTTTCCAGACAATAGAATATGGTGACTGAAATTGGCCTCAGAAAAAAAAAGTAAAATGCTATCAGGAATCGGTGGAAAAGACACTAGAGTAATAAAGAATAGAGGAATAACGTTTCACCTAGATTTTATGAAAAGCAGTACTTGAAAAGTAATTTGCAATTCAGAAGTCTGTTAGAGCTTGACAGATGCTTGAAACCTGTAGTCTCTAATTATATTTATCACTGTTAAAAGCATTTCCTAGGTAGCCATGCTAGAGGCATGTAGTAGTTTTAGAACTGGAAAACAATTTGGAAAGTACATACTGTTTGATAAACAAAGATGTTTTGACAGATATATATATATTATAGCTTATATTAGTTCAGTCAGTACGGTGGATAGTGTATTATAAAACAACTAGGGATAGAGGAAAATTTAATTTACACGTCTTAGTGTATATAAAAATGTAGCTTTTGTGTTTCCTGCTGCAGCACATTCTTACTGTCCTTTCAGCAGTGAGTATGCTTATTCATGCCTTTTCCCCTTCCTACCATGACCAAAATTACCAACTCCTTTAACTTCCACGCCCATTAGTTGAGTTACAGACATTATTGGAGGAGGTGAACGCAGGTTTAAGCATTCCAAACATGACAAGGAAATGAGAATTTACAATATCGACGGCCGTTCCAACATTTCTAAGAGATTTATTGGCGTATGTACTGCAGCCAAGAAGTGATAACTTGCCAGTTTTCTTATCACTGGCTGCAAAGGAGGGCATTATCATATGTGATGTATGCCACTTAGGTTTAAATTTTTGTCATAGTTAGTTACATCAAAACACATACTTCAGTTAGGTTTCAGAAATAAATTAAATAATGTAACTGTAAGTCAAGTTTTGTGAGGTCAGGTTTTCACAGTGGTGACTGTTACAGTTACCATTCTTCTGGAATGTGATGCCATGCAGCATAATACATCATTACCAGCATTTAAAAATAATGTGCTACTTCCATCTTCTTTCTAACCAGGCAGTGGAGGCCATGGATTCCTCCGAAACACTGTTGCATTCTATTAATGGCATCACATCTCAGGAGGCCATAATTTTAATAAATCAAACTGTGTGACTGTACATAAAGGGTATGTTATTGCTCTTACATTCCGTGGCATGTTTCAGGTGCGGAAATGTTAACTTTGCGCGTAGGGACACCTGTAATAGGTGTGACAAAGGTGAGCTGAACACCACATTTTGTTCTTGAGGGATTTTTCGTTACAGAGCAGATTAACTCTTTGGCATTATATTATGTCAAAATCTCAAATAGAAATACGCTTGACCTCCTTGAGACGTTCACTCAGAAACAACTTTGCATTATTATTACATGTACTTTATTCCTTTTTAGCATGCTGCCACTGAGCAGGTTAGTGTAGTGCAGAACGCTCTAGACTTATATTCAGGAGGTGCCAAGTTTGAATCTTGACCCAGACACTAGCTGTCCTGACAAAGGTGTTATGTGTTATGTGTTACACCAAAGGTGTTACACGTTATTTTTGACTTTCCTGTAGTAGCACTATAAAATCTTTAGTTCTAATTTTAAAATCCTTTAAAATTTTTCTCTAAATTTTAAAATTTAAAATTGTTAGGGTTACTCGCCCTATGTCTAAAGTGCTGCAGCGGCTAGTTCTTGTTTCCACACTGTATAGGTGTTATCCTGTGTAGTCTTCCTGTGTGCGTGCCGCTGCTGTTCTTTACTACGTGTGCTCAAAATTAACGTGTGTAAAATAATCTACAAACCAGACAGATATCAACGAAGTAGATGTTGATAATAACAAGGAAAGTGTTTTTAAATGTTAAATTTTGGGCTGGGTGCAGTGTGACAGCAACGTGAGTGTTATACACCTGACGATGGCCGTCTGAGGCCGAAACATGTAGTGTAAAGGAGCAAGATCAAGGACACATAATATATAGTTTGCACTTGGGATGGAGTTTATATCATTTATCTTGTATGTTTTTCTTTATGACTGCCTCTGTGGTCTAGTGGTCAGCGTTCTTGGCTACAGCTCCAGAGGTCCAGGTTCGATTCCTGGTGCTACCAAATTTTTTTCTGAGAAGTAATGGATCTGGAACGGGGTCCACTCAGCCTTGTGATGATAATTGAAGAGCTATTTCAGGGAAATAGCTGCTCCAGTCTAGAAAACCGAATTTAACGGCCATGGGGATTCGTTGCGCTTACCATGTGACACACTCTATCCGCAGAAGTTGGCACTAAACTTCGCCAACAAGCGGTGGTCGCTTGGTTGGTATAGTTCGCTTGCAGACTAAAATCAAGGTTTTTTTTTGTTTTATGTTTTTCTTTATGGTATCTATATTATCACCTGGTAGATTCACATCATCAGCATAGACCAACATTTTAAGGAATTAAAAGCAGAAACCGTATAATACAAGATTGTTTGGTTCAGTTTGTTGAATAGAATGCAGACAGTTGGATTTCTGTAGAAAACTTGAAAATATACGAATTGCTTGCATCAGAGAACTGGAGAAGACCTTGAAGAGAGTACTGGAGGGATGGGTTAACAGGTGGTTTGACTCCCTGACTGCTTGTTCATGATTCTTGTATTTTGTATCTTACAGAAAAAGGTGATTCCCCAAAAAAGAAGAAACTGGGGCAGGAAATTGGTAAAGCAGCAGCAGAAAAGAGCCGTGGGTTGTTTAGTGCAGATGACTGGCAATGTAACAAGTGAGTTTGTAGTTCCAGTAAACATAGTTCACATATTCTACACGAACTGAGATATCTTGGATTTTGAAAGTATGAGAATTTTGTCATTAAATGTAGTGATTGTTGCAGGTGTGGGAATGTGAACTGGGCACGTCGCCAGTCTTGCAATATGTGTAATGCCCCAAAATATGGAGAAGTAGAAGAGAGGACAGGTTATGGTGGTGGGTACAATGATCGTGGTGTGGTGGAATACATCGAGCGCCAGGATTCTGATGATGAATATGACGAGGTATGTGCATTGACGAACACATCATCTCGGAACATCCTTCACCCATCTCATTCTTCCCTCACTCTATAAAGCCCAACTTATTTAACAGTAAGAACTACATTTTGCCCACTCAGTGTATTTATGTGTTTCTTGTGCCTTTCAAAATAGACATCATTAACTGGTTGGCCTGTGTAATGTATTTTCTTTGAGGTAGGAACTGATTTTTAAAATGTTGTTCAGATAAATATTAGGCTTCAAAGGGTTAAGCATTTTATATGAATTGGGATCATAAACACAGGCTTATGGAGAAAGTCGTCTTCTGGGTTTAGGCACCGTGTATTCTTCATTTTGGCCGACGTTTCGGAGGAACGTAGCGCCTCCATCTTCAGAGCAGTTGAATGGCTTTGAATGCGGAGAGCCTTCAAAGCCATTCAACTGCTCTGAAGATGGAGGCGCTACGTTCCTCCGAAACGTCGGCCAAAACGAAGAATACACGGTGCCTAAACCCAGAAGACGACTTTCTTCATTGTCATCGCCGTGAAAACCTCAAAACTTACACAGGCTTATGGTGTTCAGAGCTGAGTGCTGAGGAAAATGGTTGAGACTAAGACAGATATAGTAGCAAAGTGATGTAGAGAATTACATAATGAGGAGCTTAATGCTTTGTAATCTTTGCCTAATGCAGTGGAATCCCCATTTAATGCCCCTTGGTTTAAGGTTTTCTCTAATTTCATATTCAGTTTCAGCAACCTCAAGTCAGTAATCAAAGTGTGAAATTTCCTCCATTAAAGATCCTTCTCAGTTTAATATCCAGATCCACTGCTGTTCAAAGAAACCTTAAATGGAGAGTTTCGCTGCATTAGGATGATTAAATCGTGGAAGATGAAATCAGTAGGACACTTAGCCAGTGGCATGCCATGCATGGAAGCAAGGGAAGCATTGTTTCCGTAGTTAAGAAACGAAAAGAAAGAAGTCATATATAAATAATTCAATTTGAATATTGTCATTTAGCGTGTGTTCATGCTCACGGCCACATGCCACCTCCTCCTCCTCCCTTTCCCTGCTTGGTGGGACGGACCAAGTTTCCTTCATTAATCTCCATACGAATTCGTTCCATCCGAAGTGACTGATGGAAGCAAATTTCGGTTTGCTGGGCTAGACCAGTGAAGGAATGTGTTCTTTTAATAGTTACGTGAAAATTAATTGTTTATGTGTGATTTCGGTCTTGTTGGGTGTTATAGGTAACATTAAGTTTTATTAAAATATTGTTAAGTGCATATTTATATATTCGTAAGATTGTATTTGTGATTGTATTTTGACACATCAGAAAGAAGCAATCTGCGTTTAAGGGAAGCAAGTTTAATATTGTGGTACGAGGGGCAGGGGTGTGATTAGACTACAAACGCATGCACAGCTAAAATGAATGCTGGCAGACAACGTGACTGCAACTGTATAATCGAAAGCATTTTAAAACGGGAGTTTAATAGCAGGGGCTTTTCTGAAAATAATTATAGAAAGAGGGCGACCAGTGTGCAGTTGCCAGAACTTAAAGCACAAACCAAATTATGTGTGAAGAAATTTAATTTGGAACAGTATTCTAAAACAGAGTGGCTGTCTGGTTGCTGTAATATAGGAACATTGTTTTGTTGGCCATGCCTATTGTTTCTCAATGAAAAAAATGTATGGAACAAGACTGGGTTTGGTGATATCAACAATCTTCATAAAGCATTGAAATGACATGAGAACTCTCAGACTCACATTATTTCAACAATGCAACTTGTTATGTTTGGGAAATCTCGAATTGACTGTCAACTTGACAATCAAAAGAGCCTGACGATACTACAGCAGAATGAAAATGTGAAAGAAAATAGAGAAATAGTGAAACGCTTGATTGATATATCTGCCATCTAGGAAAGTGGCAACTTGGCCTCCTTGGCCATGATGAAAGCGTGGATTCTATCGACCGAGGTAATTATGTGGAATTAGTTCACTTGTTGAGGAAATATGATCATAAACTCAATGTTCACCTTTAGAACAGTACAGTATTTACAGGTTTATTGAACAGAATTCAAAACGACCTTATTGACTCAATAAGTGACGTAAATTTAGGTGAGTTGATTGCTATCAGTTCGTTTATTAGATACCACTGCTTCCCTTACCAAAAATAGTACCGCACGCCACTGAATGTAGCTCATGTACAGAAATGAGATATGCACACAGACCCTAAGCTTCAATGGAAGAGATGTCTTGGGAGATCTGGTTGTACATGGGAGGATAACATTAAGATACATTTGAGAAGTACAGGTTCTCACAGTATGGTCTAGATTTGTCTGCCCCAGAACAAGTAAGATGGCTCAATAAGTAATACTGCTGGCATACATTTCATAGGTGCCTGATTTGAATCTCAGCCACGGCATTTCACTAACCTGACGGGTTTCTCATGATTTTCCTCAATCCCTCTGGGCAGATGTTCAACACTGTACAGTCTGAACTACTGACACCATCACAAAATAAACTACAAATAAATAAAGGGCTTTGGCCTTCTGGATTGTAGTGCCTTGTAGTGTAGCCAAACATTTCAGAGGAAGATACTGCCTCCATCTTCAGGGAACAAACATCAGACTTTCTCTGAACTACATGGTGTTACAACCCAGAAGACTGTACTCTTCATAGTCACTGCTGTGAGAACCTCCAATCCTACAAATAAATAAGTCATGTCTCCGGGTACAGTCTAGTGTTAGGCTTAGGTGAGTGAGGTCCATAACAGTAACAGATAAAAGAAAAGAAGTAAAGTTATCCCTTTAACAGGCTGTGAAGGCCCATAGGGTTCTGAGACATTGAGGCTTCCATGTTTTTATAGACAGTTAACTCACAGATGGTGGTGAGGTGTCAGCCTTACGCACCGAGCTCCCTTTGCCCCCCCAGGAAGATTCCTGGTACTCATTTCTGTTAGAGGCGTAGTCGAGCCCAGGGCCACAATGCAGCTAGAAGGATTAGGTCATTGAAGAACCCATGACCTTCCAGGTTGTAGCATAGTACCTCAACCAATGTTGACTAATTAACAGTCAACTTTTCAAGAAGGAACTTATACTGTTTAGTTAGTGGTTCTATATTGAGGCCATAGAAAGAAGTCGGATGGTGGGGATAACAGGTCCCTTAGAAAACAACCATTTTTAGGGTGAAATATTCTTTACACTGTTCTGTTCCTGCTGGTTTGCAGAAGGTCCTTGTCCACTGTCTCCCAACACCTGTATCACTTTCATCTGTGCTTGGCTTACTCTTCTACCCTGAAGATGAAGTTAGGTTCTTTAAAAATGTTGGTAAATATATACCAGACCACGTAGCATATTCTGGAAGACATTAGTTTCCCTAATCACATTTAGTACCTAAAATATCTCCCTGTTTTGTCTGCCTGAATAATTGTGACATTTTATATGAAAGTTCAGTGTTTTGCGGTTCTTAAATTACAACATGTCATTATAGTTTGGACGAAGAAAGAAAAAGAAGAAGGATTCCACTGAAGAGAAAAAGTCTTCAGGCAAAACAAATGTGGATGACAACGAGGATGAGGAAGAGGAAGATGATGACGACGATGATGTAAGTGGAGAAGACTTACTAGGAAGTTATGATAAAACATTGTGTCAGCAAGTGGTGGATACTATTGTATTAACAGAACTTGTCTAAAGTACCTTGAGTAGGCAAACCTACTCTCTGTACGTTCAGCGAGATTTCTGGTATGGTGATTTTGGTTCCATCTAAGTTGAAAATGGGGCACGCGGTAGCATAGTTGGTTGAGGCACTGTGCTACAAGCCGGAAGGTCGCAGGTTCAAGTCCTGATGAGGTCATTTGATTTTTTCAATTGACCTAATCCTTCCATCCGCACTATGGCCCTGGGGTTGACTCAGCCCCTAACAGAAATGAGTACCAGGAATATTCTTTAAATGTTTTGGGGGGTAAAGGGCGGCTGGCACGTAGGGCTGGCAACCTTGCCACCATCTGTGAGCTGGTTGTCTAGAATATGTGGGACCCTCAACATTTCACAACACTATGGGCCTCCACTGCCTGTTACAGGAATACCTTTACTTTTTTTTTTTATTAAGTTGAAAATAGACTCCAGTAACTTTTTAATGGCCAACAATGTATGTCAGTCTCTTATGACACATAATAGGCTGTCTGTCTGTTAACAGGATGATGGTGACCTTTCAAAGTATGACCTCAGTGGCTGGGGAGATGATGATGATGATAACACAAGCAAGGAAACAAATAATGAAAGTAAAGAGAAAGACCGCAAAGGAAGAAATGAAATGAGGCAACAGTCAAAGTCTCGATCCCGGTCCCGTTCACCCTCTCACAGACGTTCGAGAAACAACCATTCAGATTCTAGGTAAGCATGTTTTAATTGTATATCCACATCAAGTCAATGTGGATCACAGGCACATGGTTAATACTCCTGCTTGGTATTCTGAAAGTTCTGGGTTTGTATCTCGGCCCAGAGGCATGCTTACCAACATTTTTCATCGTTTTCCTCACTCTCTGTGCGGATAGTGTCTGAAAGGCCATGACTTCTTGCTTCAGTATTCTTTTAGTTCCAGGATTTTAGGTTCTCACAGCTGTAATTATGAATAGTTCTGTGCTCTGAGATATGCCACATAGTCAGTTGAGTTTCAGTGAACTACAAAGGATTGTATTCCAGAGGATAGAACTCTTTTTTTCCCCAGTTATTTTCAGTAATCTTGCCAGTTGATACTGTAAGGGTTGTTCAAATTAAATCCATTCTTCAGTGCTGCTAGTAAATATGGCTGATCACAGATGATCATGTGGCTGTATGTATGATGCTAATGTCTTGGGCCTAATAGAAAGAGCTAGTCAGGATTGAGTTGGTTTCTAAGGGGCCCAACTGACTAAGAACCTTCTATCCTTTATGCTTAACAGAAACATCCAGTTTTTGGAATGTCGTGTTTTGATAAAACTCGAGATGATAGTGTTAGAAATAATAGTCGTGTTCAGTGTAACCTAAGAGTCAGCATCAGATCACTGATTTTGATTCTGCTGTTATTTTGATCAGCTCCACAGTCATAATACAGAGTTCTTTCTTTGGTTGTAGGTCATCAAGTAGCAAGTCCCGTTCGAGCTCTCCAACAGCAAACTCAAACAGGCACCAGAATTACAGGTCCAGGTAAACCGGGCGGTAATGGGTATTCACAAGGTCGATATCCTTGTTGATTGTATACAGAAGCATTTCCCATTCGGTACAGCACAGACATGTTGGGGTCTGTGCAGTGTGAATTATGGCTGACTACTCTTCCATATACCTGGGATCGGTAAAACCTACGAGTAGAAGAGAGTAGTTCAGGATTTGTACTGATGTGTTAACAGGAAGCATTTTGATGTGAAGCTATGTCTGCCCTTCTAAATTACATGTTTTATTTTATCAACATCAGTAAATTAAGTTTAGTGTTTAAAGGCAGGATACTAAAAGGATAGTGGTTAAGGCACTTACGCTACAAGTTGGAAGGTCGCAGGTTCAAATACCGATGAGGTCATTGAATTCTTTTCAGTTGACCTAATCCTTCCGGCTGCACTATGGCCCTGGGGTTCACTCAGCCTCTAACACAAATGAGTACCAGGAATTAAATAAATAATTTTCCTGGGGAGTAAAGCGCGGCTGGTGCGTAAGGCTGACAACCTTACCGCCATCTTTGAGCTGATTGTCTAGATAATGTCGGACCCTCAACGTCTCACACCCCTATGGGCCTTCATGGCCAGTTACAGGGATAACTTTACTTTTTTACACTACTTACTTTTACCTTTTTGGTAGAAATAAGTCTGTTCGCTTTCATGCAGATATGAGTCATGTGAATGGGATATTTTGTATGTTGCAGGAAGGATCAACACTGAAGATTGCTGGCTCTTATTACAGCAACAACTGCAGATGAAATGCAAGATTTTCAGTTATGTCAAATTCATTGTCTGAGGGCTGTGTGGGTACCTTCTGTCATCTGGTGTGTCATTATCATGACATGGAGAGGGTCTAAATCTATCTGTAGCTAAAAGTTCAGTTGTTGAGGAACAGTTTTCTGTATCACATACACAGGATCTCTCATGGTTTATGAGCTTCATCATTTTGAATTTTTACATGTTTAAAATATAAAATATATTGATACTGGTTAAATCAAAATAATTATACAGTGTACCCTCGCTAATCTGGTTACAGTTAATCCAGATCAAAATATGAAAAATGGGCAATGCTGTTCACAGTTGAGCACACACTTTAAAAGACACATGGCATTTAGGAAGGCAGATGAGTCACTTGGCTGTTCAGACAAAACTTGGTAGTTTCTTCCAACCTGCATTATTACATTAAAAAACAATACAACTTCTGAGTCTTCTAGAGATGAAGAGATGTATTTTCTTTTTATGCTATTCAAATAAGGGCTCTACAGTGATTTTTTTTATTTAGTCTCATCAGCACTACTTATGTCATTAAATTTTCCATTTATTTATGTTTTAAGGTTTTTTGCTTCTCTAATCCGGGTTATTGCTTAATCTGGATGACCTCTCCTCCCAGTTATTCTGGATTAGCGACGGTTTACTGTACTTCATTTCAGTGACACACAAAATTGATTGTATGACTTTAAGAGCAGGAAGGTAGCTTATGGACCTAACTAAAATATTACTTGTTGTGTGAGTCGTTTGAAAGTAACAATTCAAGGTATTAAGATTATAGGCTGGGATTAAATATAGTGTGGTAAATGCAGGTTCCTCCCCAAACACCCGTATCTATTTACCTAACTATGTGGAACACATTCCAGGAGACTGTAATCTGGGTACTGCTTTGAAAAGTTGAAATCTCGTATAGTTAAAGCTCTGTATAGACAGTAACATTTTCAGTTGCTCTGAATGGTGTCTTAAGGTTCGGATTTGGCTTTGGTATTTGAAATCCCAATGTAGTGTTCCTGCCTTTAGTGAAATCCCTTATTTAGTGAATATTTTTTCCAGGCTTAGCTGGGGAACAATATAAATGCTGTATTACTACCAGTATTTAATAAATTAGAATTTTGTAAATAAAGCACATTAGTTCAAGAAATTTTAAGTCTTCCTCAACTTATATAATGATTTAATGTGATCTGCATTCACATTTTCTTTCTGCTGGGAATAATAGTTGCAAGACATTTTTGTTTATTTCATGTTATTGATTATGTTGGAAATTAATTTGATATGTATTTTTTTAATAAGCAGTTTCTTTAACTATTTATGTAAGGAAATTAGTTAATCACAATTGTGTACAGTAAGCCTTGCAAGAAGATAGACAGTTGTTGCGTAACTGCCATTTGGTGTAAGACAAGTCATCTAATTCAAGATTCATTAAATAGGGATTTCACTGTGACTTAATAATTTCTGTCTTGAGGTTCGGATTTTAAAAATGTTCTTCCTGACTTACGGGGGTAAGTAATGAAACGAACTGGTATAGGACCACTTCTACCTTATATTTAGATGGTTCCCTTCATTCTGTTTCTGACTGGACAGGCTGTGGTCTTCCTGTGTGCCCACTAGCACCGGAATGGTAAGATGGATTTTATCCATAATTAGTATTTGAGAGTCCATCCATCATAGGTCAGTGTTCAGTGAATATGAACATTCTAGTTCCAGAAATTGGGGCAGTTTTCTCTAGATTGGGTCTAATAATTTTGATTACATTCTAGTAGTTAATGGAGACCATCACCCTAAATAGAACTGCATAAGTGGTATCATCAGGAAAATAATATGTGCACTAGGAGTCCAAATGGTTTTGCAATGTATACATGACCTGGCTTGTATAATCAGTGACCAACAGTCAGTTTCATTTGCAAGGTAACATGCTCAAGGTCTGTCATATATGAGAAAATATGTGCAGTGTCTTTTCACCAATTTATTAAGTTACATGATTAAACTTCAATTGCATAATTTGAGTGTTATTCCTTTGGAGTTATAGCTACTGTATATTTCATATTGATAAGGGAAGCAACCACAGCCTGAACAAAGAACAGTTACTTCTGCGTCTTATTGCTAAAACCACATAGTTTGGAAATGGTCATTCTCGTATTACAAACTAAAACATTCACACAGATGTACTATGGAATCAGTTAAACTGACAATTTGTATGTTTTCCACAGTCTTTTTGGTTAAAAACGCTCAATATTTCAGACAGTGGTTCTGCTTCTGTCATGAAGTAGAACTTTGAAATCTACCCTGTCGGGTCAGTTTTAGCTAATTTCTGTCTCTGGACCTGTGATATGTGAGGTTGGGCATTCAAGAGCAACGTTCTGGGGGTGTGACATGTCGTAGGTTCTCCATTGTGCACAAAACTTTGTGGTTAAATGGACAGCATTCCTGCTTAGTATTTTGGAGATCTGGGTTTAAACATCAGCCCATACACTAGCTATCGTGACAGAGGATTTTCATAGTTTCCCACAACCGATCACTACTGCTTCCTTTCACATTTTTTCCAATTCACTGATCTATAACTTGATGCTATATAGTCTGAGATACTTACAGTATTTTTAAATAAACACCCAGTTTGTTCCTTTCCTGGTTATCATAAAATTGTTACAGAGAAGTTATAATGTTCGGTATTATGAGCACTACGTTGGATACAGTTCTGGAAGCTCTGAAATCATGGCATATAAATAGCAACTTAACCACATTCCTATCTCATATACTAATGTTTTATAGGTGTATGTTAAAATGGTTGCTATAATTTTGTCTGAAAATGTTTAATTGCTCTTTCATATATATAACTGCTTTATTGTCCCATATAATTGCAACAAATATGAATACCCTGAAGATGGAGGCAGAAGGTTCCTCTGAGAGGTTGGTAAATATCTACCAGACTACATGGCATCACATTCCAGAAGACAGCAAGGACCTCATATCTAATTTTATAGCACTTCATTGTTGAAGAATTTGAGTTTGCATGTGTGATGCATTTGGAAGTAAAAGCCCATAAGATACCACAGTCATTTTCTCATCTTTTTATCCCAATATTAGCTCTGCAGCTGTTTCTTAATATGAATTACAGTACTTGTTAATGTAGGACAGATGTCAGATATAACTGTTACATTGAATGTTGGTTTTGGTATGACCACACTGAAGTCTCATGTTACATTATTCTGCTGAGGTATCTGAATCCTTCTTTCCCAAGTCTACTGGCCACTTTAGGTGTTAAAGAGTTGTTATAGTTCATAAGATAAATATGCATTAAAGTACTGTTTTTGATACTCTGCTCCAAATTATCATAGTTTTGTGTTTTCTCTAGTTATTATCAAGCATACTCTTTTGCTGTGAATGTTAACAGAATTGTTCGGTTTGTGTATTGTTAATGGGGTGGATGGCCTTAATATTACGTGTATCATGAACTCGTATAATTTTAGAGTACACCAGGGCATAAACTCAGGACACCATGAAAATATCTGTCTTCCAGGGTATGACAACATATAGTTTAGTACATGTTCACCAACATTTTGGACAAACTTGCCTTCACAGTGTTTACCCTGAAGACAGAGGTGCAAATTCCTCCAAATGCTAGTAAACATTTACCAGACTGCATGGCAGCACACACTGGAAGACCGTAATCATAGTCACTTCTGCGAGAACTTTAGGTCTTTTTCAGGACCCCATAGCTGTATTTGGTGAGACAACTGATGTGTTGTGTGTAGTAATAAAAATATTTAACTTGCAAATGTGCACTTTTTACTTGTTCAAATGAAAGTGTGACTGGCATTGTGTCATGGTTTGTGCAAGCTGTGTATGGTTTTGATTGTATCTTTTTGACTTAAGAAACTGTAATTTTTTCTTTGCAGTTAGATTCATGTTTTATTTTTAGGCTGTTTCATAAAATAAAGGTCACTCTAAAAAGAATCCAAATCTCAGTTGGAATGTTGAATTTATTTTGAACTTTGAGTATTTTTAGATAACTGCTTTGCTTTACATACTAGTATACAAACTGTCCAGTCCATCAAAATTGTAATGGTTCAGAACACTAGCATGAAACTTGTCAACAAAGTCTGTCTGTTCCTCCCTTCTCCTGCTCACACTGCATCTTTATTACTATATGCGGTATCAGGACTTCAGTCTTTCAACAACAGACTGATCTTGGTATCTGCAATGCCAGCAATACAGGAAATAGTTGCCAGTGCAATAAAATTGTGATTACAATGAAAACACTTATCTAGTAGAGAAAATTCTCACCTCAGTTCTTGAAATTTTTTTAAATTTTCATGTTGACATGGAAAGGTTACTCTTGTACATCCCTAAAATAGCTCTGCATTCTTACACATGCACATGCATTGTGAAATGAGAACCCAGTCAGGAGTTACCCTGGTATAGGAGCATACCTGATTTCGAGAAAGTAGGAGCTGTTGTATCACTGAAATTGCCTGTAATTGTGTGTTGAGGTGCGAGAAATAGTGAAGGAGTGGACTGGATTCAGAACATTCATGTGTATATGCCCTCTTCTGGATTTTGAGAAAAGGAAGATTACCAGATAGTAGTACCATAAATTAAAATTATTGGTTTGGAGAGGAATTCTACCCTCACTACATAGGGGGATCAATAAGCTAGTCTTCGTAAATGTAACTTGGTAAGCAGATTGACTGGCTGTCTCCTCTTGGAAACATAGTACTCTTCATAGTTGCTGCTGTGAGAACCCAAAATCTAGTATATTTAATAGATTGTTTCAGGATCTCTCTATACCGTAACACAAATAGTCTGTAAATCTAATTTTGGGTAGCGTGTCTGATACATGTTGGATATCTGTGGGATACAATATTATATTTCAGCATCCTGTTACACTCACACAATATATATGGACAAATACCGTCTTAAGTGCAACAATTTTATTGTAGTTTTTACTTCTTTTTCCTCCTCCACACTACATGTTTCGCCTCCAACACCCACCAACATGAAACACAGCACACGTATTAAAGATAAGCAGCGACACACACAGAGAGCGCCTACACTGAGTAAGTACAAATAACAGTATAAACATATAAGAATAACATAACAAGACATAACATAAGATAGTAACACAAATATTTGTATATTACAGACAACACATGAACAGCGATAAAACAAGATGTGGCCGCTGCAGCACCGTAGATATAGGGCATGTACCCTGAAAAATTTTAATTTGAAAAAGAAAGAGAACAAAGATCTTATAGACATTTTAACTTGAATTAAGGTTTAAAAAGTGCTAATTTAAAAATCAAATCGACGCGTGTAGATTAACAAAGATTTTATACAATTAGAAAGACTGGGATTTTTACATTTTTAACAAGCAGTGTAACAGTTACGTGAGTGATACACACCTGATGATGGCCATTTAGGGCCGAAACATGTAGTGTGGAGGAGGAAAAAGAAGTAAAAACTACAATAAAATTGTTGCACTTAAGACGGTATTTGTCCATATATAATCTGTGGGATGTTAAAATTAAAGAACAATCATCATCGATACTGAACACCCACAATTAATGTTTGCATCAGGGCATGTGAAGTGATGATATGTCTGACATCTGAGGTGCATTCACCAACCCCATACAATTTTCTTCTTCCTTATTAATTTGGTCATACCATTAACATTTATTCGCCAAGAATTGTTTCTGTTTTTCAACACCATTTCCTGCTCTTTGTCCCAAGGGCATCAAAAGAACCTTGGCCACCTTTATGACAGATGCCCCTTCTTTTCTATTAACTTTGCTTCCTTCTCTTGTATAATATTCATTGTCTACAGCTTCTAATTGTCTCAGTCTGGGCCCTTCCCACTTTCCTTCAGGCTTACTTTCAAAAATTTTCTTGCACACACTTGTTTGATCCCATTTAATCAGATGTCCAACGGCTCCAACCTTCTCTTTTTAATGTCTGCTACCAGGTCAGGGTATCTTAATTGGTTCTGATTTTCCACGCTTGTTTAGTTACTGGTTTATGCACATTTCTCAAAATTGCAGCTAACATCACTCCTGAAGTTAAAATTTTGCTGCCGGCCAACTCTGTAATACTGGGGGATTTAAAACCATTATTTCCAGATGATAAAAGTTAAAAGTTGTAGAAGATGCAAAATAATTGGTTGCTTAAAGAAAAATAAAATGAAAAAGTAGGTATAGAACATCAATATTTCAGTTTGGAAAATGTAACTCCACTGGACTTGCACCAGTTAAGCTATGGACCAGCAATGGTGCTGACCATTGATTGAGCAACCACTGATTTATGTAAATGACTGCTTGCTTGTCTGTTTGTCCATCATGTAGAGGGGCTTTTTTTTATTGTGTTTGTGATTTTACCTTACTGGGAAAGAGGGCGGTCCCATACATTCAGTAATGAGCACTAGCATAAAACTGTAAAGATTATGTAAGATTATGTTGGACACTGTCCATTCTTAGGTATATTTAGAATACATAGTGTTTCTGAAGCTGGATCTGCTTCTGTTATCAGGTGAAAATGTGGAAAATGATCACAAGCATTAGCCTGATCACAGGACTTTGTCAAATTCACCAGCTAAAGAAGCTGTGTGTCATGTCATACCATAAAGATAATGACTTTATATTGGAGCTGCTTTCCAGGTACACCAGACATTAAATATTAGCTATACTAGTAGAACGTTTAAGGAATTACATCTTCATGCTCAATTTCATGTGGGGGCGGCCTCTTCAAATTTAGATTCTATTACATGTTTACAACGAACATCTGTTGGACATTTCTCACTGTACCACGTTTTCATATAAAGTCTATTGTGTTCATGATAAATGTGTTTTCCTTTCCTATATATTGTAATTTCAATTGCCTTGGTTCAATGGTTCAGTAGTTACCATCATTGAACTGACAACTAAATTTGGAATTCATGCTGCTACCCTTTTTTTTTTAATTTCTACAGAAGTTGTGTGTTTTCCACTTCAGAAGTTGGCACACCCACCATGTTATTATGATCATAGGAAATTAAAAAGTACAAGCAAGATTTCAGGTTTTCATGATGACTAAGAAGAATATTGTTTTCTGGTATATGACACTGTAGTCTGGTAGAAGTTTACTGATGTTGCAGAGGAACATACTAGCTCTGTCTTGGGGTTGAAGAGTAAGCCAAGAAAGCAAGAAGGAGTGAGAGTTTTCTGCTTGCTTGATTGGCACTCTTCAACCTGAAGATGGGAGCAGTACATTTCTCAAAAATATCAATAAAATTCTACCAGCCTACATGGCATCACATTGCAAAAAATAGGTTTCTTCAAAAAGTATACAAGGCTCAGGAGGCCTCCAGATGCGTAAAGTTCATACTGAATTCCATGAGAATGAGTTAATTTGTTGGAAAAAGAAGGGGTGGGGAGACAGGATGACTATTTCATAAGCCTACCTTTTCCTCAAGGATAGCAAGTAGGTTGAAAAATATAAACGTAAGACTTTACCTTCCAGAGAAGGTGGTAGAGTTCGGGAATTTGAATTGATTACTGACAGCAGAACTGGGATATATCTAGAAATTTAACCATCAATACAAGATGAGAACAAATTCAACAGTCCTTAATAAATTACTAATGTGCCCATGTAGAAAAGTATGCACCACAATTTTAGAACCTCCCTTTGTTCATGGTGGTTACTTACATTTAACATTCTAGGGTCTTGGACTCCCATGGCAATTTGTAACCTTTAGTGCACAATTCTTGTGGGCCACACATAAAACCATAGCATACTACATATAAGTACTCAGACAACTAAGTTATCTTATGTACAAATGAAAATACGAGGGGGTACCCAAAAGAAACCAAACTTATTTTTTTTAAACTTATTTATTCAAATTTTAAGCACAAACCTTCAATCCCCTTCAAAGTACTCTCCACTTACACTAATACACTTGTCTAGTCTTTTATTCCATTTTTCAAAACACTGTCTAAATTCATCTTTTGAGATGCTTGACAGCGCCTCCGTCATTTTTTCCTTCACCTCAGCAACATCAGCAAAACGGGTGATAATTTTTGAAAAAAAGTTTTGATCATTTCGGGACTCTTCTTTCAAAGCACAGCATGCTTCCACGCGACCTTCTTTTTGTTCAGCAGTCGGCAGTCGTGGCACGAATTTCGCAGCCACCCTTTTCATTCCCAAATCTTCTGTCAAAATTCGCTGAACTGAGCTCCAAGTCACTCCCGACAGCTCCACAATTTCTTCAATGGTCTGTCGTCGATCTTCCTTGATGATTTCACGAATTTTTTCAAAATTTTCATGTGTTCGGGCCGTGGAAGGACGACCAGAACGAGGTTTGTCATCAATTGATATCTCACCATTTTTGAAACGGGAAAACCACTCAAACACTTGAGTTTTCCCCATAGCACCATCCTTGTACGCCGTTTTTAACATTTCAAGAGTTTCTGTTCCACTTTTCCCGAGCAAAAAGCAGAATTTCACTGCCGCACGCTGTTCACGAAAATCAGCCATTGCAAAAACGATGATCACACAAAACAGTTGTCACTATAAACTCTGCCGAAACTAGTCCTTACCTTCTGAAGCAACGGTAGTCGGCTTATCGACTCAGGAATGTTAGCTCTATGCGCTCATAGCAGCAAAACGCGGTACTACAAAAGCTCTGCCCACAAAAAAATTAGTTCGGTTTCTTTTGGGTACCCCATCGTACATCATGTCATAATCTAATGTAAATGCTTTTGTTGACATGGTGACTATAACATACAAAGATTATGTACCGATTATCAGCATCATCCCTGTGTCTTTCCTGTGGACAAAAGAATGGGGAAGGAAAATTACTTGGACTGAAGTCAATGTATGTAACATCAAAACTAAGAGTCTTTGGGGGGTCGTTTCTGCATGAGGAACAGCTTTCATCTTTACCATTCATTTCTGCGATGCACAATTTGCAAGAAAATGACAGCCATTTCAGCTGGAACTTACTGTAACTAAACAGATGGCTGGTTCAATCCATGTCATGTAACCAGGAACTGAATGGCTGAATAAATTCTGGCAAGATTCCTATGTGAATGTTGCATGAAGAATTTTACTATTTACAAATAAGCTGAGCTTAGTGTCTGGTATATTTGGAATGTAATTTACCCATGCATATATCAGAAACAACGTTCTGAACAGACTGGTCTAGAGGCAATGCTCTATGCTTTTATTCTGGAGGTTCCTGCTTTTAATCTTGGCTGGGGTACTGGCTATCCTAACTAGAGTTTTCATGGCTTTTCTCAATCCCTTTAGGTAAATGCTGGGGGTATAGTACCTTGATTATGCCATGACCTTCCAAATCCTTTCCAATCCATCTATCCTATCACCTGAAGCAATATAATCTCAATGCTGAAAGCATCGTTATGTAACCTACCAAAAAAGAAAGAGAAAAAAAATGCTACCATATGGTACAGAAAGCTGGATTCTGTGAAAGCAGAGGAATGATGTATTGGCACAAATGGCATTTCTGAGGCCATTACCTAGAATGAGAAGAACAGTAAAAGCGGAATTGGGAAGTGTCATTAGAAATGGAAAAATATATGCAACAGATACCACTAGATCATCTGCAAAGGGCAACAACACAATACAGACTCAAAGAAAAAAGGGGCTTGGGAAGGCATAGGGAAAGATGGAAGGACCAGTCATGTGTTTTGCTTCAGAATGGAAGTATCCCAATCTTGTGAAGAAAAAGGCAAAATTGTTTAACGAAAATGAAATAAAAAATGAACCATTTATGAAAGATACCTTTTATTTTGAACAACAAGCATTCTGTGCCTTACAATCTTTGAGGACACTGCTGTACAATGCCCCAAGGCCAACAAACAAATTATTTATACAACACTTTAATTTCTTCTGGGACACGTATGCCTATGAGCATGCGTGGATCCACTGGTGGTAGTTTGGGGCACTGCAACAACAATCCAAATGCATAAATAGAAGTAAATATATTAATATATATTATGTAAGGAGCGAAGACACTAGTTCAATTAATACAGCAACTGGCCTATTGGCTGGATACCTGATGGGAATCAAAGTTAAATTCCTAGCAGGAGCAGATATCTTTCCCCCCACAGGATCCAGACTAGCTCTGGGGCCCACTCTGCCACCTGCCAAATAGGTACTGCGGAGTGTTCCAAGTTTCATTTTTATTGGTAAATTAAGGCATGATTTACAATTACTAATTAGGGGACTCCTCTGAGTGGTTCACCTGTGCCATTTATTACTATCCACTGCCAAGTTTCTTAACACAACATTAGTAGAAAGTAACTTAGTTTTATATAGCAGGAACTTAACTGAAAACCATTTATGCCAATAAAAGTAAGTATTCAGGATCCTACCATATGTATGCCTTACCTTGCACTTCTCCCGCAGCTGTATGGCTGTGGGCATTAGGGACTCTAATACAAACTGCCGGGTCTCGCTGTTAGGATGTGTTGAAAGCCATTCAAACTCTGAGTCCAAGGAACTCATTTTGGCCCAGAATACACTTGCTTCACGTACATCATAACATGCCTGTAATTTAAAAGAAAAAAGCTTGATAAATGCTGGCATATATTAGAAGAAACATGAATACTTTCTAAAGACATCACTGAGAATATGCAGGCTACAGCAGAAATAGTGAAGGGATTTTAAAATGGAATGACATTTACAAACAGCAAAGTACAGGGTTAGTATAAAAAAAAACAGACACTTTCAATGTTTTATAGAAACCGAAGTATTGTTGATAGAGCCAAATTACTTACATGGGTTTTTAATATATGTCTTTAAGTTTGTATCACTAAGTTACAAATGTTCTATGTGTGACATGACAGATATCAATATGATAATCGAATTCGTTCCAAACACACCGGAGCATGTCCTCATCAATACGCATAACAGTTGTGATGCGTTGCTTTAGATCGTTTAGACTTACATGAAGTGGAGGAACAAAAACTCGTGTCCTTGAGATATCCCCACAAGAAAAAATCAGCGGGAGTTAGATCGGGATTCTTGAAGGCCAAAGTGTCAGTGCCATGCTCTGGTCCGTTGAGCGGTGTTCAGAACGAACTGGGTTATCGTATTGATATCTGCCATGTGACAAGTCTCACAGATAGAACATTTGTAAGTCACACAAACTTAAAGATACATATTAAATTCCATGCAAGTATTTTGGCCATATCAATAATACTCTGGTTGCTACAAAATGTTGAAAGTGTCTATTTCTTTTATACTAACTCTATATTTCATCTAAACATTCAGACTGTCTGAGAAAAGAGTGCACAGATTTTAAACATTTTTGTTGAGAAAATAAACAGAGCTAGGAGAGTACAGTTTTCACCACATGAAACAGTTACTCAAAAAGTTATTTTCCCAACTTTCTCCATCTCATTGCACTTCAATCTGAGCTCCCTTTCTTGCTTGCACAATATCCATCTGGTATTCAAATGCCCTGAAAGTGTTGCCACACATCTGAGGTGTGATTCCTTCCACAGAATGTGTGATACATATTGTACATAAAACTATAACAGTTCTAATGTTACGTGGTGAAAACCCATGTTCTGGCTTGTTTATTTTTTAAATACAAATGTTTAAAATGTGTGCACTTATTCTCAGACATCTGCATATTGATTTTATAGCTCTTCCCATTTTTACATTTTGTAAAATATGTTCTTTAAATGGCCACCGTCCTGCTGAACACACTTGCGCGCATAGTGTGAGAAGCTCGTATCACTTCATAGATGTTTCTTCTGAAATGTGTGTGATTTATTCCCGGATTACATTTGGTGACTCAGTGCCATACACTTTACCATTTATGTATGAGTACACCAGAGAAAAAAGCCAGAAGTTCAGTTTGGTGAATGAGGACATGACGCAAGATGGTAATGTAATATTTAATGTCCCTGATCAAATGAAAAGTTGTACACTACACACAAGTTCCCTCACTATCTAATGCTCCACACTGAACTGAACTGTAGAGGCACTGCTACAGATCCATGACATGTCCCATCACACAGTAACAGAGGAATATAAAAATTAATTTTCAGAATCATTCACTGGTTCTCCCACAACCAGTATATAAGAAATGTGCAAAAAGAGAAAGTGGCAAATACTGCCACAACTTTAGTGACTACAGACAGGGTTTGGATTCATAACTGGATTTACTGAACTCCTAGAACTTGTAACTATAACTAAGGGTTACATTCTCACTGTGCTACACACTTCACAGATAACTGTAGGGCACACTAGGTCTTCTCAGTTTGTTACAGTCTTCACTAGCTGTTGCTTTGTAGCGGCTTTCAATGGTGAATGCTCCCCTTCCTCTGGGTTCCCAAACTGTCCCTGGCCTCAAGCTACCAGCTTCTCACAGCAGTAGCTCACATCTGAACCCCGGTGGTTATCTGATGGATTGACTGCTAACTTGTCCTGCTTATAACATGTTGGCAAGGACTGCATAGAAAACACCATTCCTCTGTTGTTGTTTACAGACCGCTGCTTAGTAACTGCAGGCTGCTGTGACTCCACAATTCTCACTTTGAGTGACTATGCCATGTTACATTGCACAAACTTTTTCATATCAATGCACCTGTTAGAAACGTCAGGTTCATGGAATGAGTTTGCTGAAATGATAATGCTTCTGGCTTGCATCTGGAAGGTGCTCGGTTTTACAAGACTTTCCTCAGTCCCTCCAGGTAGCTTGGGATAGCATCCAAAATAGGTCATAACCACTCAGCATGAAACCAATAACAACAGTAGCAATGGTGAAGATTGCTATGTGTTACAATGATCCACCATGGATGAAAGATCAGAAGGTAACAGTAATGATGTGAACCTGCTGACTAGCTTACTAACCTTTGCAGTGAGTTGCAAGCCAATCTCATCTGCCTCAGCTTCCAGAGCTCTGCTGAACGGTAATTGGAATAACACCTTCGTGAAGTATCCAGAGAGCCAATGGGCTATCACAGCAGCAGCTTCTGGCAAAACAGCCCATATTAAGGCTAGGGGCACCAGTACCAGAAGATCCATGAGATGTAAGCTGCTAAACTGCTCTGCCTGCAAGAGGACAACAAACTTGATCTCAAGAAATACAGTGGAACCTCAGGAATCCTATCTCCCTGTAATCCAGGCTAAATTACAGTACCAATGTAATCTAATTATTTTACTTCCTTGTAGTAAAATGAATTCTTCTGCAACATGAGACTGTGCATTAATGGACCTACCTTTCTAGGTGGTGAAAGATGTAACCTGGTTACTACTTGCCCAAGCCTGGCATTTCATTGAATGTATGCATGTTCCAGACAAATTTTTGGTCGTTCTTATACAAAATGTACCTATATATCTCTTGAATAAACAATTTTACTAAACTATTCAAATTTTTTATTTGAAATCCAGTGCTTTAATCAGTTCAGATTATTGAGGCTGCTTTATATTTCAAAAGAGTTACCTTTCTAAAGGAGCCAGGATAGCTCAGTGAGCATAACAAGTAGGCTACAGGCTGGCCAGCTGAGGAGCTGGGGTTCTATTTCTGGCAGGGATAAGAGATTCTTCTCTTATCCGCAATGTCCAGACCAGCTATGGGGCCCAGCCAGCCTCCTATGTAATCTATTGTAATCTATTGTAAACAATTTTAAGTATTGTAACTTTATTCTCTTATTGTAATCAGCCAATGTACAGTAACTGACTTGTCCTATATCATGTAACAATGATCTATAGAGATGAAATAAATAAATATACAATGGGTTCCAGGTGCTGTTCCCTCCAGGAGTAAAGCAGCAAAGGCACGAAGCTAACCACTCACCTCCTGTAGTGTCGAGGTTAGGAATGGTGGAGCTATACCTCCACTCACCCATATGTCTTCATGGCATGGTGCTTAATTAAGTGAAGACCAGGGATAATTTTACCTTTACCCTTCTACAGCATCACTGGTAATTTCAAATGTAACAGCAAGTCTTACACCACTGGTGAACTGCAACTTTAGATACCCATCATGGGACACCATGCAAATGCATACAAGCCTACATGGCTTTATGGTACTTACGACTGATAACACTGCAGCTCTGTCAGTTAGTAGTAACATGTCAGAGAAGTACAGGCAAACCAAGTCATGCAACTGTTCAGCTATGCTATCTCAGTTCTGATTGGAGCACCATATGCACATATGCTTGATTAGTTAAGCACAGAGGCAACTTCACCTTTACCTTAGAGCATCTCAGATACTAAGGAATTCCTGGGAGACAAGGAATTATTATGGTAAACACAGACATGGCAAAATGTAAAAATGAAGGAAAGCAGAACTCAAGAGCATCCTATGCATCTTCTTGTCAGGACAAGACCAGCCTCACTTGTGACAGAGGAAATGGTAAACCACAGCCACAGAAGATCAACATAATTAACACCTAAGTCATAACAATTAATCTCCTTTAAAATCAAACGTTTCCATTGTCTTAGTTCTGGCCTGTGTGTTTAGAAAGAGCAATAGGATAACAAAACTAAACGAATGCTGTGCACCGGGCAGAGCTGAGAGCACAGCATGAATAAAAAAAAAACACTGATCCCATTCTCCTGGTGACCAAAAAGGGAGTGAACATTTTTTAAATCTTCAATGTAGGCCGTCACTTTACTGACAGTACATGTATACAAATTATAGATGTGACAGTCAAGAGTTCAACTCACCATATGAGAGAGGAGAACATGTGAAATCTCATGTGCAAGAATCACACAGAGCTGATCATCATTGGTGCACAGACTCAGGATTCCCGTGAACACAAATATGTGACCATTCTGCACACAAAATACAGCAAATGTAAGAGCCCACTCCACACAGAAACAACATGCAAAACATAACTGTAAAGCCATCCTTAAGCTAAGTCTAAATGTTTCTGACAATGGTAGTTACAACAGCCATGGGTATTATTTTGGACACTGTCATGCATCTTGAATTTTTCCAAAAACAACATTTCAGAAACTGGTTTGCTTCCATCATCAGATGCAAGAAGAGAAACGCTCCTACTCAGTCAGGTGTGCTTGAAAGAGCTGGTTTTGATCACTGGACCAATGACTACAATTTATTTTTCACTATTTTATGTCTACACAATGAATTACTGCAACCTAAATGGAAAAGGAGAAATTAAAAAGCATATTTACTAGTGTATGTTACGTGGGTCCTGTCACTACAGCATGGCACATTCTCAGGTTGTGGATGGAGTAGGGACCAGCCTCCAGATATAAAGTGTGGCTGCAAATATGTGACATGACAGCTGAAAAGTCGTCCAAACCCAAGCATCTAGTCACTAGCATGTGACAATGCTGAATAAGCAGCTGTGGACTGCCAACAAGTGTTCAAAGTGAGGGGCAGGGTTTTGCTAACAATTCCTCACCATAAGAAATCAATATGATATGAAATGTTACACAGAACCTCACACTTGGACTGATTCACTGGATAGAACTAAGCGATCGAAAATGGGCATAAGATCCTAAATGGGAGAATATATTAAGACTGGATCTCAAAGAGACAGGATGGAAGTATGAGGAATGGATTTCTCTGACTCAGGATAGGGACCACTGGCAGGCTATTGCAAACACAGTAATGAACATTCAAGATCAATAAAATGTGGGGAATATCCACACTACCTAAGCCCTTATTAGTTTCTCAAGAAGAACTTTGTTCTGGGGAGTTACACTACAAACATAAAAGCAAAATGACTTCAAACTAAATCAGAATAAATTACAATATTCATGAAAATTAACAGTGTTACAAACTTTTAAGAACTGAGCTGGAAGCCCTGCAATAAATTTTTCAGAGGTTTTTGTAACAAAATTTATGTGCACCACTTTTCGGTTGAACAAAGAAAATCAAGGTGCCGCAGAAAGGAAACAGACTGGGGAGTGGGTCTCAAAGCAGCAGAGGAAGAAAGGAACACAGAAGTAAACCTGGATCATCCATCTGTATTTGTGGGTACAAGACCATTCAGCATGAAGCTCTCGTTCTGCTGGAAACACAGAACAGCATAATTGTATCTTCGGTAGTACCCAGAAATTTCAAAATTGTAACTGATACCACAAGCTGTGAACTGACACTGCTGGGCAAAACATTAGGTCCATTATATTTTACTTACTGTATTCAAACCTATTTCAAGTGCAACTAATTTCCAGCTTTTGTAAATATGGCATGGTTGTGTTTATTTTTATGACAGATGCTGCTAGTAGCCCCCAGTATCTCATACATGTCTCAGTGTTGCTAAGCCTGCTTCCTGTTGCTCCATTCCAGCTCTATACTATCCATTCAATACTTTTAACTTGAAGTTGTGAAAATATGCCATAATTACCATACGTGCTATAAATGTGTTACTGCAGGTGGAGGTGACAAAACACATGGCCATATTTTGGGCCAAAGCAAAAATTAAACGGGATGGTTTCTAAAAATGAATACTACCACAAGCATGTGAATCATAAATTACTTCAACTGAAGCAGAAGGGTGAACTTTAACATGATAAAAATTCAGCAGAAATGTTTACAGAAATTAAAAATACAAGATGTGATACCATAAACAAGTGCAACTTATATTGAACTGTGACATGTGTGTGTTGTTGTTGTTGTTGTTGTTGTTATTGGAGAGGGTGGGTTTCCCCATGCACTTAGACCAGATATTGGTCCACTGTGCATCCCCCTGTGATATTCTACCAGTCTCTATTCCCTACTGGTACTGGTGCGTGCCATCAGTCCTGACTCAGCCAGCAAGTTCGGCCTCTACTGGCTCAGCGGTATCTTGATGCTTCCCCCATCTACCAGAGGCGTTAGAGACTAGTGTTGGGTGGGAAATGTCCTGAATTTGGCTCAGAGGTCCCGTTGGGACATGAGGTTCTTTTACGTGCCGTAAAGCTACGACACAGGACCCACAGCTTAAAGTCCCTCCCGGAGGAATTGTTCCCTGAATTTTTCCGCCCTTAAAAATTCCATGACCTCCGCCGGGTTTGAACCCACGTACATTGAGTCAAGAGGTGGGAACGTTACCCCTAGACTACGGAGGCCGCTTGACATGTGTGTGTAATAAGGTAACTGAAGATTAAGCATATGACTCACTGGTAGCACGAAGGCATTGGTGACTGATGGTTCATTCACGACTGTAACAATCCAGTTTGTTTCACGTAGTTGTGGAATCTCCCTGTTGCTCCTAAGCAGCTGGTTTGCCACCTTAACCACTCGTTTGTATGCAGGATGAGCTGGGGGAAGAAAATGGTCCTTGTGTAATTCACGTTGCTGCAACAAGACAAACCCAAATGTTGAGCACTCTAAGGATAGATTGCATCAACAAATGCTAAACATTTTACAGGATCAAGACTACGGCAAAGTGAAGAACAGTGCTGATTAGATCTTGGATAATTTAAATACTGTTTCAGCTGCATGAGCATCAGTGTGGAAAGAGATAGGAAGATAATTAGATTCATTACTTTATTTATGATTTATTTAGTAACACTATATCTCAGACTATATACAGTGCGGTCACATCCTTAATGGAAGATGAGGCATAAAGGTATAAATACGTGACACAACACTTGGTAGAACAATATACCAAACACAGCGTAGCCTGAATAACTGGACCATGATACTAAAGGCACGATTAAAAATAACAAGTCATATTTGAATAAAGTCAGGCTTATAGAAACACTACACAATACCCATAATACAACATCAGAGCTTTCTCCATCAGACAACGAAAGCACGCTGTGGAATATATTCATCTTCCATTACGGAGAAGCGTAATGACAAGAACCAAATTTGTTCTAGATTAAAACAAATACTGAACATTATTTTGTAAACAGACTAACTGTACTAATTTTTAGATGTTTCAACAAATCAATGTACACCTTAGTATTAGTTAAAAGATATAACATTTGCATCTATGACATGTAATAATAGTTCCCATATGTGTTGATAATATCCTTCCGAAAATGGTTGTTTTGAGGGAAACACGCAGAGGACGAAAAATTAAAAACACAACTTTTATCAATCACACTGGACAATGGTTAAAAATCTTATATACAATTACTAGTGTGACGGACCATGATGAATCAAGTTAAGTTTATCAAGTCATCTGCTTGGCAGGATTGCGGAGAGCTATGAAATACCACAGGAATGGCCAAGATTCAAACTGTGTCTCCTTAACGTAAGTCCAGAACATTGTGGCTATATGAATGTGCTCAGTTAAACACCATTCTCTTTTGTTTTATGACAGATCTCAGTTAAAAAGAAGCCATAATGAAGAAGGCAAAATCTGTGACCTCCCCACCAAAATTATGTCCATCATATACTACTCAGCAGGTGTGACACTACAACATTAAATGAAATAAATATAGAGAATTGCAGAAACTGCTTAATCCTTGAGAAATAATACAAGATTTTCACTGAGCAAGCTGGCTAAAGTGGTAGCATTTGTATTTGTGTGGTGCCCAGTCTGAATTTTAGCCAGGACACTGACTATCCTGAAGTTTTCTGTGGTTTTACTCAGTTACTCCAAGCAAATTCGAGGATTATACCTTAAATTAGGCCATGGTTGTTTCCTTCTACACTCTTTCCAATTTTATATCTTCATCATCAAATCATTCAATAGTATACTGTCTTGAGTTACTGAGTGTCATCAAATAAATTATCTCATTAAGTATTCAACAGATGGAACAATCTGTTAACAGATGTATGAAAACATGTTATGCAGAATTCAATTTCTTCACATAATACATCTATAAAAGGCCATGTTAGGTGGGTCCTTTGTCACCAAGGCATGGCACATCCTCAGGTTATGGATGGAGAAGCCCTCCAGGTTTGGAGGGAAGCTGCGAATATATTGAATAAGCAATCATGGATAGCCAACAAGGGATGGTCCTCCAGCTTGGGGGTGGGGCATGGGGCTAAAAGCTCCTCGCCGTAAAAAATAACTTTGTTATGAAAATTTGCAAGAAGCCTCAGACCTGGACAGATCATCTGGATAAACGTCCTAAGCTAAAGTATGTATAGGGCAGGCTCACTCAGGGCAGTGGCAGAAGAAATCTTAAAATATAAGTTAGATATAGCAGGAGTGCAGGACGTCATATGGGCTGGAGATGATATCGCACCAGCAGGCGAATATACATTTTTCTATGGAATGGAGAATGAAAATCATGAATTAGGTACTGTTTTTTCTTTCATACATTAGACAACTGTATCGGCAGTTAAGAGGGTACAGTTCATTCATGATAGGATATCATATATAATACTAAAAGTTCGCTGGTGTGATATCATCATTACGAATGTTCACGCCGCAACAGAAAATAAAATTGATGACATAAAAGACAGGTTCTATGAAGAACTAGAACATGTATTTGATAAATTCCCAAAGTACCCTATGAAAATTTTGTTAGTAATGATAATGGAGTTAGAGTAGTAAACCTTGCCACATCAAAAAATCTTACTGTCAAAAGTACAATGTTCCCACGTCGTAACATCCATAAATTTACTTGGACATCTCCTGATGGGAAGATGCACACACAAATAGACCATATTTGGAGAGAGAGGAGATGGGACTCTAGTATACTTGATGTCTGATTATTCAGGGCAGCAGATTGTGATATTGACCATTACCTGGTGGTGGCAAAGGTTTGGGAAAGACTGGCAGTGAGCAAACAAACACCACACAGAGACCATATGGAGAGGTTCAATCTCAAGAAATTAAAGGAGGTAGAGGGTAAAGAGCAGTACTGTGTTGAAATCTCAAATAGGTTCATGACGTTGGAAAACTTGGACACTGGGGGTGGAGGTTAATAAAGCCTGGGGAACTATTAGAGAGAACATCAAAATTTCTGCCAAAGGAGAGTCTAGGTTATTATGAACCAACGAAGCATAAGCCATGGTTTGATGAAGGATACTCAAAATTACTAGACCAAAGAAAGCAAGCCAAATTACAATGGTTACAGGATCCAAGTGAAATAAATAAGGATAATCTGAACAATAAGACGTGAAAGCAGCAGGCATTTCAGGAATAAAAAGAGGAAATATCTGAAAGACAAAATTGATGAGCTTGCAATGAACCGTAAGAACAAGAACATTAGAGACATGTATATAAAATAAATGACTTTCAGAGGGATTACCAACCTAGAAGTAACTTAGTGAAGGATGAGAATGGTGATCTGCTAGCAGATTCCCACAACATTTTGAATAGGTGGAAGAACTACTTCTCTCAGTTATTGGATGTACATAGGATCAGTAATGTTAGGCAGATAAAAATGCATACAGCTGAGCTGTTAATACCTGATCCCAGCCCTTTTGAGGTTGAAAGTGCTATTGCAAAATTGAAAACATAAAATGCCAGGTAGTGATCAAATTCTGGCAGAGCATGCTCAAGCAGAAGGTGAAATATTATGTTCTAAGATCCATAAGCTAATTACTTCTATTTAGCATAAGGAAAAATTGCCTGATCATTGGAAGGAGTCTATTATTGTACCAGTTCACAAGAAGGGCAATCAAACTGACTGTAGTAACCATCGGGGGGGATATCACTGCTATTAACTTCATACAAAATTTTATCCAACATTCTTCTCTCAAGGTTAAGTCCAGATATAGATGAAATTATTAGCGATTATCAGTGTGGGTTTTGACATAACAGATCAACTACTGATCAGATCTTTTGCATTTGTCAGATATTGTAGAAAAAATGGCAGTACAATGGGACAGTACATCAGCTATTTGTAGACTTCATAGAAGCCTATGATTCAGTTAGGAGGGAAGTATTATACAATATTCTGAGAGAGTTTGGGATACCCATGATACTAGTTAAGCTGATTAAAATGTGTTTAAATGAAACTTATAGTAAAGTTTGTATAGATCTGATAAATTTCCTATCCAGAATGGTCTAAGACAAGGAGATGCTTCATCACCACTCCTCTTGAACCCTGCTTTAGAATATGCCATTAGGAAGGCCCAGGAAAACCAGGTGAGAGTGAAATTAAATGGGACACATCAACTGTTGGTCTATGCCGATGATGTGAATCTACTGGGTTATATTATAAAGACCATAAAGAAAAACACACAAAACTTTAATTGACACAAGTAAGGAGGTTGGTCTACAAGTAAACACAAAGAAAACTAAGTATGTGTTGCTGTCTCGTTACCAAAATGCAAGGCAAAATCATGACATATAGATAGGAAATTGATGTTTTGAAAATGTGGCACAGTTCAGATAATTGGGAATGACGATAACAAATCAAAACCTGTTAAAAAGTAAAAAGTAAAAAGTAAAAAGTAAAGCTATCCCTGTAACTGGCCATGAAGGCCCATAGGGTTGTGAGACACTGAGGGTCCCACATTATCTAGACAATCTGCTCAAAGATGGCAGTAAGTTTGTCAGCCTTACATGCCAGCTGTGCTTTACTCCCCAGGGAAATTATTTATTTAATTTCTGGTACTCATTTCTGTTAGAGGCTGAGTGAACCCCAGGGCCATAGTGCAGCTGGAAGGATTAGGTCAACTGAAAAAATCCAACGACCTCATTGGTATTTGAACCTGCGACCTTCCGGCTTGTAGTTGTCTAGATAGTGTGGGACCCTCAATGTCTCACAACCCTATGGGCCTTCACGGCCTGGTACAGGGATAGCTTTACTTTTCACTTTACAATTATTTTAACTGCATAAGAATACTGTCACATGCAAGGGGTGTTTTACGTAACTTACAAGACGGGTTCTGGATTGGATGACTGGATTTATTGCACCTTATACATTCGCAACTCGGGACTACAGGAAATACAGCGCTATCGCCGATCTATACACTTTCCCACTCACGGTTACATACGCAATAGGATTCTCAGTCTTCATTAGTCGTATCCTGGCAACGGATTTATAACATTCAGTCACTTAAANTGGGAGGCTGGAGAAAACTGCATACTGAGGAGCTTCATAACTTGTACTCTTCTCCAAGTGTAATTAGAATGATCAAGTCAAGGAGGATGAGGTGGGCAGGGCATGTAGCATGAATGAGGGAGAAGAGAAATGCATATAGGATATTGGTGGGAAAGTCTGAAGGAAAGAGACCACTGAGAAGACCAAGACATAGGTGGGTGGACAATATTAAAATGGATCTCAGATAGACAGGATGGGATGATATGAATTGGATTGATCTAGCTCAGGACAGGGACCAGTGGTGGGCTCTTGTAAACATGGTAATAAACCTTCAGGTTCCATAAAATGCTGGGAAATTCTTGAGTAGCTGCAGATTTTGCTTTTCTTCAAGAAGGGCTCAGCTCCATAAGTAAGTAAGTAATACATCTATAAAATAAATTCAGATTAATAAGAGTAGGACAATCTTGGAGATGGATCAAGGAATTATACTGGCATTTATATTCTGTACAATGAACTTACCATTACCAGTTCTATTTGTGCCAGCTGCAATATTTGTTCTTTATTAATTGCAATGAATTTGCTCCTCCCTGTAATTGGGTCCTCTTCAAGATGACTGTAGTAGTACCACACCACTCCTGTTGAAACCAGGGCACCAGATGCTGTAACATGCTTGTCAACTTTAGTTTCAGAGGCAGGGATTTTTAAACCTAATGAACTTGAACATGGCTTTAAATGTGACTTTTGTTAAATTTTTTTGTGACTTCATCGATGACATCTGAGAAATTGCATGGTTACAGCTAGAAATCTTATTAAATGTGTTCCATATTACTACTGCTTGAGGAGTCCAGGAAACCTCCAACTGAACACCAGCATATATTTTCATCCTTTGATCTTTANCATGACATCTGAGAAATTGCATGGTTACAGCTAGAAAAGAAATCTTATCAAATGTGTACCACATTACTACTGCTTGAGGAGTCCAGGAAACCTCCAACTGAACACCAGCATATATTTTCATCCTTTGATCTTTACAGTCTGTATCTAAGGCAAAATTCTGGTTTCTAGCTTTGGCTGCGCTGTGCACTGAAGTTGCATCAAACTTTCTTTTTAGCACATGGTCGCTTTCAATTCAATAACACCATACTCCACACCCCCGCACTTATTTCCATTCTGATGCTTATACATATACTGTGCCATGGGTCCCTTCCCACTGGATACAACCATGCTCCATAGCTCCAAAATCACTCCCACTGTGACACTTGCACATTAGTCCACGGCCCCTTCCCATAGGATAGCACCATCCTTCAACCCCCCCCCCACATACACACACCCATGTTCACCATAATACTGGTATCAGATGGTATCCTGATTCCATCTCATTCAATCTGAAGATGAAAAATGCTGTAACAGCTTCAACATGACCCAGTTAATGGGTTCTCAAAAATGGCCTTCATATCAAAGACATGTACAACACAATTTCTGAGGGTTTTCTTACAGAAAACGATAAACTCATAATTAAATAAATTTAGTGTTCATAACTGTTAAAACAAATACCTTGACTGGACCAGTCTGCTCTATTTCACATTTTCACAATCAAAATCTCTATGCCAAATAAATGCATACAGGATAGAATTTTTTATCTCAGTGGGCCATAAAAACGTCATCTTATTTCTTTTTGTCTAGCAGTACATAAATAATTCTGGCTTATAAGTCAGATGTTTGGCTGCATAGCCAGGGTTCAATACATGGCAGTGCAAGATTTTCTATTCTCCACAGTATTCAGACTGACCCTGGGGTCCACCCAACTTCATATCCAAGAGGTACCAGGGGGCTCCATCCCTGGGGGTAAAGTGGCATAGGTGTGAAGCTGACCACTCACCTCCATCTAGTGCTGAAGCCAAGAAAGGTGGAGCTATTCTTCCACTCCCCCATATCTTCATGGCAGTGCTTAATTAAGCACAGGGGGAACTTTACCTTTTTTTAACATACCAGCAATGCCATCTTGTTCAACTTCAGTTTCATTAAACAGTAGCATAAAGCCTGCTTTTTTTATATATTAATTGTTTGCTGCACCCATGTAGTACACATATCTAATGCAATGTATTTCTTTATAATACACCAAATCAATATGGATGCCTCATTTGCTGTAAACGTAATGGCATTTTAATGTACTTATCCTGTCTGCAGAAATCTGTAGTTGCACCTTTAAAATAAATTTTTCTCTTCTCATATCTAGACAAACATCTTTATATTTTCTCCAAAAAAATACAAACTTTTATGATAAAGTAAGGTTAGTTTAATATCATCTTATTTACATTACCTCTGTTTTGGGTCTAGTAAGAATAATAAGACATGAATTCTGCTAGACATGTAGGAGTACATGCCATGTGTGCAAGTCAAATGACTCAATATCTTGGTCACTGTATTGTGAAGTTACTCCTAAACTGAAAGCTTGCCTGACAGTAATAGGATACTGTGAATTTAATATTGTGGTAAAGAGTAACTCACCTAGTAATGCCGTCTTGTTCTTCTTCAATCTGAGTATCAAATCTTGTTTCCTGTCTGGAGGCAAGGCTCGCCACCACTTCCTGAAAGTTCTTCCAAACAAAATTGCTGCTACCTTCGACAAAGGCCTAAGAATGATAATGAAAACTGGTGGCAGAGCTTGTCTAGTTGCTGTCACGTGAAAAAGCTTCCTTTGCAGCTCACACTCTGCTCGAAACCCACCACTGGCATTGTTCAAATATGCATGTTTTGTTACACAGTTGTTGATTCTTGAAGCACTGTCCAGTTTTGTGCCACATGAATTTAACAAATTTCTTGCTGGCAGCACAAGCTGCCGACAGTGTTCCACGATTTTTTTTTTATTAAGTACACGAAACATTTCTAACTTTCTTTTTAATTTAATGCATAACACTTGAATTCCTAGACCACTTCATGAACTGTAAACTGAAAAAGGCAATTTACAAATAACAAAAGCCACTGATAATTAAAAAAAGTCATTCAGTTTTGCAGCTGTTACTTACAACAGCAAAAATACATGATTGATTGATTGATTGATTTTGTCACTGTAGATCATTGTACATGACATAGGACAAGTCAAGTTAATTCTGAATATTAACAAAAAAAAAAAAAAAAAAAAAAAAAAAAAAAAAAAAAAAAAAAAAAANCAGGAAACACTGATTTGTCTAAGTCATTGCCCTAGTACAGTGGAAAGCAGAGGAATGCTATTAGAAACCCAAATCGATCAAAGCGATTTATAAGACAAGCTGCCAATCCTATCTTGAGTGCAGCTTTCATAACTCGGGGACTAAAGAAGATCCCAATGAAGGTCAACCACACAGGAGGTTCTCTCTTTGCTATGCTGAAGTCTTTACATGCATAAAGAATGCCATCTGCACCAATGTGACAACTGTAACTATTTCTTCTGGTCTCCATTTTATACCTATGTATTAGTAAGTCCTGCAAACAAACAATCAATGACAACTCAGTTCTGATGGGGACAGAGCAATTCAACTTCTATATCATAACCTTCTATCTCTATTTCATACCTACTTCCTACTCTGTAACCAGCTAAGTACCACATCAAAGATGAAGAAGCTCTCAACTGAGAAACCAAGGATGTGATAAAAGTGCTGCCTGTTTAGGGCTCACGTACATGTCAGGTGGAGATGACAGAGAGGTCGACAAAAATAGTGGAATGATGACGAGTTGGGGAATACTTAGGAAACCCAGAGAAAATCCTGCTACAGTGTTACATCACTCACCATGCCTCCAATAAAATCACCTTGGACAGCATCACAGGCTTCACTGTAAAAAGCCGGCATGTCTGCCTGAGATATGGCATGACCACTATTTTTCATATCCAATATAAATTAACTTATCAAGTGTCATTCAGAAATGGACTTCAGAAGACTAATTAAAATTATCAAAACATACTACAAACATATGTCAGATGTTCACTTAAATAATCAGACTACTAACATTCACTCAAATCATTAAACAGGCCTAATGTATGCATCACAACAAACATCAATGAATCTGATAAAAAAAGCAAAAACAATCTGGAAAATCATTAGATTTGCAGTTCTTATAAAGGTGGCTAGGAAGAGTTCTATCTTCTGAGATATGACACTGTGCAGACGGTTAAAGTCAACTGATATTTCAGACAAACATATTACTTCCACCTTCTGGGCTGAAGAGTAAGACAACCAAAAAATCATCATAAAGCACGTAGCAAGCAGATATTTTCCTCTGAAACCCTGTCTGACTTCCGCTGGACTACACCGTATTACAGTCTAGAAGACAGAATATTCAATTTGGAAAACCATTACCACCACCCAGCCACCCTTCCCCCAAAAAAGAGAGAGAGAGAAACAAACAAATATTTTATGATAGAGGAAAGACCAGTGATTTTTTTTTTCAGCTGGTACACATACCAGCAAACCTGCTTAATAACAAAGTCACGCATCTACTAGTGCTTTGTATGTTTTGGTCTTGAGGCTGCAAGAGCCATAGTAATAGCACAAGTTTGTAGAGGAAAACGAACGATAACAATTATACACAGAATGAACAACAATGTCAATAAAGACTCAACAGTGGATGACAATAAAGTCCTGGGCTAAAGCAATCCTTAGAACCTACTCAAATATAAATTTTGTTCCCACAACAGCAAACAAAATTAAAATGCATATTAAAAATGTTGTTATACTGAAACATAAAAAAATTAACTCAAAATCTGCATAAACGCTCTGCAGTACTTGAGAAAACTAAGTTATGTGTTTCGTAAGTCACATAATCGCATAACCTTAACACCGAAAGAAGTTCAAATAATTTTCACATGAAATGCAAAACTGAACACCTACAACAAATAGTTAACGCTGGGTCCTTATGGTCCTCATTACAAAAAACTGACAACAGTTCAGTTACGCCAGTAACAAGATGAAACTCACATTTAGATTTCATACGTGACGACATGAGACATCTACCGTACGACCCGTACGACAGTCAGACAGCATTCGAACCAATTCGAACCAAACCACACGGACGGAGACCACGGAGACCATCCATCACATCAGAGCCATCAGAGTGCATCAGTGTGTGTGTTTGCCAGTGACCCCAGTACTATCAAAATTTCGGCAGCCAGCTGTTGTTCACACACCCCAACAGGGCGATATATCGGCCTTCAACAGTTCAACATAATGGGAGTCGCAGGCCCACTTTGCCTACCGTGCGTAACATGCCTAATGAAATGAAATGAAATGAAATAATATCGAGTGGTGGTTAAGGTCATTGGGGGTTATGTATGGTTTGTTATGATGGTTGCGACTGTCGAAACGTTTGCCGATAACAAATATGTTGAATGACCTTTATTAAGCGATATCATACTGATTCCAGGAAATATGTATCAAGTTAATAATTTTGTTAGTCTGCTTACTCTGTAAAATTAATTATTTAGTAATTTACCAGGTTAAGCTGGTCCCTTGTCGTCGTGGCATGGCGTGCCCTCAGGTTGCGAATGGAGGAGACAGCGTCCAGATGTGGATGGTAGCTGCAAATATACTGAAAAAGCAGTTGTGGACAGCTGACAATTGGTGGTTCTCCAGCTTTGGTGTGAGGCTACCAGTTCACCGTAAAAAATAAGCATCTTGCAAAATGTGACATGGGCCTTGAACCTGGATGGATTATTTGATCTGGCTCAGGATAGGGACCAGTGGAGGGGCCTTGTGAACATGATAATGAACCTTCAGGTTCCGCGAACTGCTGGGAAGTTCTTGAATAGCTGCACTACCTGTGGCTTCCATTAGTTATGTACTATATATCTTCCTAAGAATAACGTTTTACTGGTGAAGTATTAGGAAGTTTGCAGTCATTTGGGATGTAACATTGTTTGGTCACTGTGATGACTTTGTAGAGTACTATCAGCACTACTGTGTGGGATGTAACACCACATACTGTAGCATAAGTGCACGGGCATCTGGACATGGTGGTAGCATATTCGTTACTATTGCTGGTGGACTTCTACTGAACTGTGTGGAATTACATCCCAGCAGTTATCACTTTTAACCACCTGTGGTCTTTTGTGCAGCAGCACCATGTAGTCATTTGTAGGCAGCTGCATTTTGAAGGAACATGGTGCCTCCATATTCAGGGAGAAGCCAAGTTGTTAAAATGTTATGCAAGAAATATTGGAAAGAAAACTACAAGGGATAGATGTGACCAGCCAGTCTCAGTTGTAAAAGAACACTGATCAAAAGAGTCAATAACAGGATATAGTGTAGAGAATTTTTTGGTGAATTTAAAATTTTAACCTTAACTTCATTGTATATCTTTGAGACGTTGTGTTTTTTAAGGAAAAATAGGATATATAACATCTCGTATTCAGATGTGCACGGTTATAACACAGTACATAAGCAGAATTTGTATGTCCAACCATGTAACACCTCACGTTGTAAAAGGAGTGTGATTAACATGGGAATAAGATTGTATAATAACTTGCCCTCTCAAATAAGAAGTATTCAAGAGTTCAAGGTTTTTAAGCGTCAATTAAAGGATTACTTGTTGTGCAAAGCTTTTTATTCCCTTCAAGAATATTTTTACAAGAATTAGCTTAATAATAGAACAAAGATACTTAGGTAATTTATTTTAGCTATTGCATGTAATTTATAGTTTAGCTTTTGTTGCCTTATTATACTCATCCACTGTTTTATCATATTTAAAGGATTTATTATGTTATTTTTCTATGATTTTTTTATATTATTAGTCATTTGATGTGATGTTTAATCTTATATATTTTTTTTTAAAAAACTGACTTGTCCAATTGTACATAATGTAACAGTTATGGATGTTAAATAAATCAAATCAAAACACACTCTTAATATTCAGGACCCATTTTATTTAAATGTGGTATGAACATGATGCCAAAGAGATCAAACCTTATAGTAGCTTCTAATTCTTTATTACGAACAGCATTAACATGGTGGCTAAGTAAAATCTTTAATTTGCTTTCTGTTCCTTAACAGGAACTAATGAACCATGTAACAAAGCAAGTGAAATTTTGTATATACGAAGATCACAAACATAACTGCACAATGTTTCACAAGAATGTTTTGTATGTTAAAAATTATAAAAATAGCAAATGTATGGGATTTCAAAATTATGTATGAAAATAAATCTGCAACTTGTACAGTGAATTATAATTTCTGATTGCTCCTGTGCAGAAACTGAGGACTTGAAAGTAATGTAGCAGTTCATATTGTGGTCTTCTGTGTTGTGATACTCTGTAGTAGGGTAGGTGAGTATAAACGTTTCAAAAGAATGTATTACCCTCTACTTCAGGGAAGAAATGAGCCAGGTGAGGCAACTGTCAGGTGCTGAGCCGAAATTCATAAAACACAAATTGCAGAATATGTTACACAGAAGAAATTAAAAACTGGAATTATTGAGTTGGGTTTACTAAAATTGAATAAAATTAAGAGTAAACTTTAAGTTGAAGAACATCAGATAGGGGTTGCACTATGATCAGTATTTATATTAGTGAGCTACCCTCAAGTTTTCTCATACTTCCAATTGACATGCATATATTGGCAGTATAGTCAAACTATTTTCTCTTATGTCATTAATGATTTCTCCAGATTTTATTAAAAAATAGAATGAAGTGAAGTAGTATCTGAAATTTTATTTTATTGTAGTTGTTACACAAAGAGAGGCTTCCAGTGTTCAGCAGTTGATATCCACCATCTGCTTGTTTTGTCCTCAACATCATGTGAGAGAGGGCTGGGTGAAATGACTCTTTTAATTTGTGTTTATATGTTTATTTACTCCATATCCATTGATCATTATGCATGATATAGAACAAGTCAAATACTTTACAATACAATAAATAATAATAATAATAATAATAAATAATATGATATAATAATATAATAATCTACTAAGATGACAATAAAATGATGATTCTGATAATAGAACTGATATAATCGTTTAACACACAACACAGGTGCACGCCTCAAGACCCGATCCTTCTGTCCTGGCACAAATACCGTGGAATCCTCCATCTCGTTCCTGTAAGAAAAAAATACAGACCAGGGCAGTAGGCATTCCTATAATATGTACTAATATTAACATCTACAAGTTAATTATTCTTGAAATATATGTTTACAAGTGATTAGAACTAGGATTTGTCCCCAAGCAAGAGAAACTCGTCTCTACTATAGAAACAGTGATCAAGTAGGAATGTTTTCAAAGTCTTTTTAAACTTGTATAGTACTGGTATCTCTTTAATATATTGTGGCAACTGATTTAACATACGAAGTCCAATATCACTGAAATTGTTTTTGTATAGACTCGTCATCTTTTCTTCTTGTATTGTGTGAGTGTATTCCTGAATTGGTTATGAAAACATTGAAATTGGTTTTTATGTAAACTAGAATTTCATATATATATATATATACAGGGTGTCCCAGGAGGAATGTGCCAAACTTCGGGAGGGTGTTCCTTATGTTAAAGTATGCCGATATAACCCAAAACACCTATGTCCAAAGTTGAACGGTTACGGAGATAATGGCCCGAGAANCAGACCACCTTAGATTCTTATCCAGCCAAACTCCCAAGAATTTTGTATATTCTGTATAATTGGTGACTGTATCATAGAGCTTTACTGATAGGCATTCGACTTGCACTTTTTGAGATTGATGAAAGGATATTGCTATTGTTTTCTCTTTATTAATAATTAATCTATTCCTTTCAAACCACTGTTTGAGTGCATTTATTGTGTTATTTTCCTTTGGACATCATTAGCACTATTTCTTGCTATAAGAATACTAGTATTATCAGCAAAAAACGTTGGTCTTCCATGTTCAATGCCGGCTTCTAGATCATTGATATATAGCAAAAACAACACTGATCTGAGAACAGAACCTTGTGGGACTCCATGTCTTATGGGTCTCTTTCACAATAGATAGCTAGTGATTTCATTAGTTTCCTTGCATCTATATGCAATTTCCACTTTTTGTTCCCCGTTTTCTAGATATGATTGAAACCATTTTAGTGCAAGCCCTCTTATTCCCATTCTTGTCATCTTCCTTAGCTATATATCATGATCAACTAAGTCAAATGCCTTTGACAGATCCAGAAATATCCCTATACTTATTTCCCTCTCATCCAGTGATTTATAGAGCCCTTCTATAAACTCTGCAGTTGCAGAAATTGTTAATTTCCCTTTACAGGAACCATGCAGTTTATTAATTATGCTATGATAATTAAAAAATGATAGAAGTCTTTTATGTATGATTTTTTTTCAATTATTTTTGAAAAAAACATAAATTAGTGAAACTGGTCTATAATTCCCAACTTCTGTACCACATGCTCTCTTATACAAACGTTTCACTTTTGCAGTTTTTAGTTGATCCGGAAAATGTCCAGTTGAGAGAGAGATATTTATACGTCAAGGCAGTTATTTTAGGATAACATTTTTTAATAATATACTCTGGAATATCATCTATTCCTGTTGATTTTGTATTACTCAATCCTTTAATTATGCCTGCCACTTCCTCTGCAGTAGTTGGGGTTAAGAACATGCTGTTACTCTTATATCTTACTGCAGTGACATTAACTTCATTGGTTTTTGATAATTGCCACTCAATATCTTTTGAGAAATATTGATATAGTATTCATTAAAGACATTGGCTGTGGCTTTTGGATCTTGTATATTTACTCCATTCTCACTTATTTCAATATTATCTCTAAGGCCGTGCCACAGCTTAAGCGGTTAGTCGCTGGCTTCCCACCGAGGCGGTCTGGTCCAGTGGGATTTGTGATGGACAAAGTGGCACTGGGGCAGGTTTTCTCCGAGTACTTCGGTTTCCCCTGCCAATCTTCATTCCATCAAACTCTCCATAACCATAACCACCCAGGATATATATCATTCGAATCATAATTTTATTATCTTTGTATACTATTATATCATTGTGTTATATATTGTATTATTATTATTATTATTATTATTANATAATAATAATAATGTAAAGTACTTCATTGTATGCCTCGTTCACTGAATTTTGCTTAAAAACAAGCTCGCCAGTATTTTTTTCTAGTAGATAGTTCAGGTATTGTACATTCTCTTCCCTGTAAGATCTAGCTATTCTGAATTATTCCTTTAGTCTAACTTGCCCCTTTTTGTTATACTGCATCTATATTTGTAATATCTGTGCTTTATGGTCAGAAAATCCTGTTTCAATCACCTTAAGATTGTATCCCCCTAAGCCCTTGATCAATATTATTTGATCTAATGCTGTTTGACTTCTAGGTCCTGTTCTCGTTGGGACATCAACTATTGCTTGCAAGCCATGTGAGTTTAACATTGTCTGTAGTTGTAGATTTACTCTTCTTCCTAGGAAATCTATGTTGAGATCACCTATGATAATGATGCTCTTCCCTTTGTTTATTAAATTACTAATTATTGTGTCCATGGTTACAATAAATATATTAATATTACTGTTTGGAGTTCTATATACACAGATAATAATTGTATTAAACTGGATAAGTTCAATTATACTAGCCTCATAGTGTGTATTAATTAGTTGTACTATGACATATTCCACATCATTGGCTTCAACTTTTAGAGGATTGGTAGAATGTAAATAAATTCTAATTCTTTTTCAAAGAATAAGTCATCATAAGTCTCATACACAACTAATGAAACTCTGAACATGCTATTGATTTCTTGTATTTGTTTATAAGACTGTGATATATGAATGAGGAAGGCAAACATAAAAAATACTTATGAACTTATATATTTAAGCCATGTAAAATTACTTACACTGATTTCCCTGAAGTGTTAAGATAAAATCATTTGAAGTAAAATTAACTTTGGTATATTCCCTTCGCTTAGAAGTTTCCTTTTTAAATCTGGGTGTGGCAGGGGACAGATGCCTAACATGGTGGTTGACTTTATTGCTACAGTGGAAAGTGGTGTCTTCACTGATGACAAGTTGTGCTGCATCATTCTCTTCAAGTTTCACTTGAAGCCATAACAGAAATAGTATCACTTGTGTTTGTCATTTGGCTTCAAAGCCTGGCCTGTATTAACTGCAGTCTGCAGTTGTCAAAATCAAATACTTGTGGATAATATATCGGACTGCTGTCTGAGGCAAGTGTAACTCAGATCTGAATCTGTAAATTGACATCCATGGGCTGTGCTGAAAGGCCTCTATCACTAGCGGTACAATTTCAGTGATGTGGGGGCAACAGGTTTTTCACTTACTTACTTTTCACCCCTTGGTTTGAGATTACTCACACAAAAACACATACTTTCCTTATGGTGGATCCTTTTGGTAACATTTACAAAACTCCTATTACACATTTCTAACAGAATTCACCTTCTTATGCTCAGTGACATAGACATCTGTGGCATGTATTAAAAAGAAATTTGGGTCAGATTAGCTACCTGTAAGTATATGTAGTATCACTGTGAAATTAATGAATATTATATTAATATTTGAACACATTTACTTCATTTTGAAATACTCTGCATCCATTTTTGTGGCTATGTATACTGTCAAAATGCCCATTACCAGAGTTCATTTTATACTAACTTACCCTCTGACTGCAGAATTAATAACATTTGTATTAGAAATGTTCATAAGAATGTTAAATAATATTAATATGCAGTATATACTCAATAAGGAATATATCTGCTGGGAGAATTCCACCCTGCATATTCATAGTGCAGCTATGGAATCATCTGAAAGTGACATGAGATGCAATCTTGTACATAATGTGTCTAAATAATAAACAGGCCATTCTCGAGATTACAAAATGGTTTATATACAGCTTGAGGCTTTGTGTAAACCCTCTCCATGCTAGAAATATTATTGCTCAGAAACATTACTTCTATGGACAACTGTGGTACTTCATAATTTCTTTGAAAATTTCTGGCAGGCTATAGGCACTTGAACCACTGGTCATCTGAAGCTGCCAGGGTTAACCACAGATTAGAGCTACAATTCGTGATTTTCATTAACCAGAATTGTTTATCATCATGGAAACGTACAAATAAATGCAAATATTTATTTTTTTTTAAATTAAATGCAGCATGCAAATTGTTGTTTCAAATTGTGAATAGTGCACAGAATAGTGAAATATTTTTAAGAGACGATTGCAACTGTCATTTATATCTATAAGCTCCAGAGCATGCTAACATGCATTAACAACATTTCCTTGTGGGAGTTCCAGAAGCGACCAGTGTGATGTTTGGAGATGTCTCACGATAATTCCTCTGTTCCAGTAGCATAAGGGTGGTAAGAGACCTGCCGGAAATAAATGGTTCAATAGGTCAAAAAGTGGTAGAACATTTGAACATTTATTTGGTTCAGTGCCTTAGATAATACTACATGAATGTATCAATTAATTACAGAAATGTGGATCTGTCAGGTAAATTGCTGCTGGCTCTTTCCAGCACATTCACTCTTGGTTTTGGGACCCATGACCATATTTCTTGGAAATGTGGATCTGTGGAAACCCACTGTGTTCAGATGAATGAATAAAGGGTGGGCCATAAAAATCCAGCCCCCCTTTATTAATCCTACACTCTGAATGACATGTAGGACTTTGTTTATTGTGTTCAGATAGTGTGATCATCTGACAGCTACCCAAATATCATTTGGCTGGTCAGACATAAGAGACAGATGCCCCTCAAATCAACTCAATGTGTTCCTAACAAATGCCAGAATAGTACCTTAAATTAGACCATGTTTGCTCCCTTTCATATCCTTTCCAATTCATTTGACGCTATTTAATATGAGATACTGACTTGTTAAATAAACCATAAATAGAAGAAAAAATGTACAAACTGTGGTATGTTGATTCTAGTAAAATAGTCATATATATATATATAGAGAGAGCGAGAGAGAGAGAGAGTTCATAAATATGTACATCAAACTAAATATGAAAGTCACCACTGACCTTAGGGATTCGTTCACCATGGTGCCTTCTTTCGCTGAAGCTTCCATCCAGCCAGAGAATTGATACTGATTGGAGATCTCCTCAAGTTCTTCTCGAGTAACTTGTTTTTCGCTGTCTGGTATGTCACACTGCAGACAGATAACATGGATACACTTCATCCAAAAAAGAGCACATTTTCTTCTTTTACTTTTCTTTTATGATAGAATAAAGTTGGTGGCTCCACCTTATTGTGATGAGGGGGTTTGAGTATGCCAAGGACCCTGAGAGCTATACCAGCGGTAGTATAGCTACTGGCAGGGCCTCCCTTGTTGGACAGGTCAAAGGGTAGGCATCAGATGAAGAGCGACACCAAAAACTGATGCCGGAAGCAGTGTCATCAGCAGCGACTTAAAGCACAGAGCAAATGATGCTCGAGATGGTTCAAGTTCGTATAGCAGCAGGCCTGACCAGGGTGGTTTGAATGGCTGTTGTACTGCGATGTGGAAAGCAAATGGAAAAACTACCACATTATCACTTTTCCTGGATAGTCTCTTTCCAAAAACAGAGATACCATGTATGCAAGATGTTTCCTCTGGAGACAAAACAATCCAGAGGTAAACTACTCCCCCAATCAGATCTCTGGGGGAGGGGGAGTGTTTCTAGAGGAAATGTCATGCAGGCGTTATGACAAGAAAAAGTGCGAAGATCAGAAGGAACATCATGGCTACAAGATTGGAACATGGAATGTAAGGACCTTGAATCAAGCAGGAAAATTGGAGAATTTGAAAATGGAAATGCAGAAGAATGAGGTGTCAGCAAAGTGCGATGGAAAGGACAAGGTGAAATAAGAAGTGGTGATTATACAGTGTATTATTCGGGAGGTGAACGGGCTGAAAGAGGTGTGGCAATAGTGGCGCATAAAAGTGTAGTGAGGAGTGTTGTTAAGATGATTGTTTGTAATGACAGAATTATTGCTCTGAAGTTAAAGGCGGAACGGGTAGATATACTGATTATGCAAGTGTGCATACCAACATCAGAGTATGAAGATGAAGTGGAAAAAGTATATGACACAATTGAAGAAATTCTTCAGGAAGATGGAAGAGGTGACACAAACAGCATCATATTAGGAGACTGGAATAGCATTGTTGGAGATAAAT